TCTCTGTGATTTTCCAGGCCAACGTCGACTGGCTTCTGACCACGAAACGATGGACGCTTTGGAAGAGTCTCTAAACCATTTACTTGGTTTGGATGGTTGTATCCATCCACTCCACACTGGGAAAGCATTAGCAGGAGGGGTAAGGAAGTAGTCAAATGGGCAATTATAATAGCAGCTCCAGGTATGTTATACGTACAACATCGTCAGCTTTTAACAATAACACACGTGACGCAAACAAAATAGTAAATAGTGACTGTATTCATAGTACTCTATTACGTCATTAAAAACACCCCGCTGTCATTTTAGTAGGCAAGCTATACCTCTGACTATGATCTGACAGAGCTGGTCTCGTCACCATTGCTGCAGCCAGGTGGACCCTTTAGTGTCCAGGAAATGCTACAAGTAAAAATGTATACATATAGATATAAGATTAGCTTCTTATTCACCAACTTCTTATTAAAATTTTTTTATTCCACCTTAAATGGTGCTGCAACTGCATTAAAAGGCCTTAAACGTACAACAAATTTCAAACAAAAAGCTTCGAATAAGAAGCCAACATCAGCTTTCCTCAATAAAATGCATTAATATACCTCAACAAACGCATCCATAATCAAGAAATACAATAAACCTTTGCTTGGATTTGTTTAATGAGCAGCTAACAAGCAGCACAGCAGAGCCACTGGAGCTGCTGCACTGTTGAATGTGTCACCGATCTAACGTCGCATCCCAAATCACACACTTCTGTGCTTCACCTACTACACTACACGGTAAACAGTGGCTCATCAGATCTACTTAAAAAACTACTTATGTGGTGACAAGCAACTGAACTGGTTTTATTCAACTTGAAAAACTACACAGATTGAAAGAATCGTTCAAAGTATTTATTTAGGTTGAATAAAACTAGTTAATTTACTTGTTACCACATGAAGTAATTTTCTTAGATAGTTCTGAGGAGCCACTTTTTACAGTGTAATGAGGGCGGTTCTAATGGTATATGCGCTGTTTGTGGCGTACGATTTAGCGTGCTGATATGCAGTTCATGACACAGCAATAATAACTAAGCGGGAAAACCCAGCTTAGATTTCAGCTTTCATTTATCACTACAGCAATAGATCAAATAAAATATATCACCTAAATGTAAAACACTCAAATATATCTGTTCATACACTAAAAATGCTGAAAAAAGCGTGTTTTACTGCCTTTGCTGGATCAGTTATGGCTTTATCAGCTCATAACAAACCGCCCTTGCGCTCCAATCGGTTGAATTTGTATGTTTGGTCTTGCATAGTTTTCTCCTTTCTTATGAGCACATGAAAGTTTTAAAAGTTCACTCGAAAAGAAACAAAAATCTTTAGTCGAAGTGAAATAAGTGCCTCCTGATGAACTGATGGATGATTCTACTGAATTAGTTGCTGAACCACAAACCTATTTGAAAAAACAGGTAACACTGAAAGAAAAAAAATTATTCAAAAATACCGTCCAAAGTTTTCACGTCAATACCGAAACACAAAGAGTTTTAATCTGTGGGCGGAGCCTAATTTTAGCCACGCCCCTGCATTCTAGAGCAGAAAGTGAGGCTGCATTCCTGTCCCTCATGGCCACATGGTGAGCAGTTAGATCCATGCTTTGACAAAAACGTGCCCCAAAGTCTCAAAATCAGTGTGGAACATTACGAATTGTCACTACCGAAACACAGATTTTCCACAATCAATCAAACATTTTTGTTTTACTGAAAAATATGATGATTTTATGTGTAAACTGTTCAAAGCTGTGTCTGCTAGTCATGTACTGGCTAGCGTTTTTGAGTTCTGCTCAAAATGAGTTACAACTGTCACCACTGAAACAGTCACCACTGAAACATCTGGTAATATCTGGAAGTGTTATGATTGTTTTGGTAGTGATATGGTAGTGAGAGGTAATCTGATGGTGATAGTTGTATTTAATGTTTTGGTCACTCCAAGCGAAAGGATTTTAGTCTAAAAATAAAACGTGTTTTGAACTTTGACTTTGAACAAATGTGGCAGAATGACACGAAAAAAAAAACACTATCTATACTTTGTGCTTTAAATGGACAGAGACGCAGCTAGTTGTGTTACACTACGTGGGCTTATACAGGAAAAGGGAGGTGGACTGCACTGTGACTGATTTAAATGCTTTAAGTTAGACAAACATGTCAAAACTTTGAACCGAAGTAGAGACAATGCCACACAGGAACTGTGTGGCACCGAGATCAGCCTATTTTAGAATGCCAATGATTTAGCATTGATTAGTGCGAGAGAGAGAGAGAGAGAGTCCGGTGGTGTCATTGGTAAGGCCTGGAGGGTCTTTATAACAGTTCTAAAGTTTCCCTTTCTCTCCATTCAGGAGGTCCCTTGGAGCCCAGGCTTTTTCCCCCACTGTTGGTATTACAAAATCCCCATTCAATATAACCCTTGTCACCTGTCAACTAAGCCAGGCTGGTTTTCTAGGTCTTTATCCTCTACACACACACAGAAGAAAAAAAAAGTGAGGAGCTAAGCTTATTCGTCCACCTCCCCCCCACACCCCCCCCCTTCCAAAATCCAACCAATCCAACCTAGACACACACCACTGAAACCACATGTGTAGGATCTGTTACTCTTGCAGATTAAAATTCATTACCCTGTTCTTTTTAAGAAACGTTTACATTGCATCGGTTATTGTTGGTCATTCATTGGACGGTTGGGGGAGTTCTCATGAGCCCCCCACGGGTGGCCGACATCTAATCCCCAAATCCGACCTTGTAAATTCAACTATACCCAACCGTCTAAATCAAACTGCTCCATAAAAATTGTTCAGCAATTCATGCAATATTGTAGTATTTAGTAAACACAGCCACGTCTAAACATCTGATATCTAATACTGGAGTTTTTTAAAGAAAAATATCCACACATCTATATTTCATTCTAAATAAAAGCGTCAAATTTCCATCTTTACACATCACATTAACTATCAAAATGCTACCCATTAATATCACATTACATTTACTAACTATAAGAGCATTTATTTAGATTTTGTCATACTTTATAACAATGTTATGACTGCTACACTCTATTACTTATAACAACTCCCATTATTATCACATAACAATAATCACATTATTTTTTATTTATTTTTGCTACTGTGAACTTATCCATTCCACCTCAGAGCCAACAATTCTGTGAATGTTTCATTAATTACAATTGATTTGAAAGAACATACTTAAAAATGATGGTTCTCCAAGGGTTCTTTGGTAAAGGCAATGGCTCATGAGTTCTATATAGAAACATTTGCATGCTTACATAGTTCTTTGTCTGGTGAAATGGTTCTTCAGATGGAAGAATGCGTTAAAAATGGTTCTATATAGCACCAGAAAGGGTTCTGTTATTGTTACCATGTCAAGCTTGTAACAATAGCAGAACCCTTTTGGTGCTATACAGAAAGATATAAAACACATTCTCCATCAATTTGAAGAACCATTTTAACATGCAAAGAACTATGTAAGCATGCAAACGGTTCTAGATAGAACTCAAGAGCCATTGCCTTTGCTAAAGAACCCTTGAAGAACCATCATTTTAAGTGTGTAATACGTCCACAAATCAATGTTATTCAACAACGACATTGAACAATTCAGACAGAAGTGGTTGATCTCTTTTTAGCAATCTATGAGCAAAGAGCTCAAAGGTCAGAGACAAAAAATAAAAGGCATGAATGCAGTTCATTCTGGAAAATGTGATGAAATTTTGCTCTGTAATCTACTCTGACTCAATTTCAAGAAGAGAACTTAAGTCCAAAAAAGACTCAAAGGGGAGCAAACAGCCACCCCACAATAACACTAACAAAACAATCCCAAATATGGCTTGATTTCATTGATTCACTGATTATGTCTCGACTTAACTGACTGCCACTCAGTTGACTAGTTTCAATAATAGCTAAATAAACATATTATTGAAAAAAATATGAATAACGCTAATTGTTCATACAGAACATTTGATATTTTTAATAAAAACAGATTTGTGGCATTTTAGTTAACAAAAATGACAGTTTTCAAATGTTTCTAATAAAAAGTTCCTCTTCGAGTTCTGTTTTAAAGCAGATGAACTGATTTAACAACGTCAGATCTACATCACAAAGTAAATAATAAAGAACTTTCATCAAGCCATCAAGTAATCTACTGGTTGTTTTGACAATTAAGTGAGTAATCACTTTTTTTAAAATGACGAAAGAAGAAAAATGGACTGAACAAAAGTACAAAAAAAACCTGGAAAGCGATTAAAAAGAAAATCATTAAAAAAAAAATTAGTACTGTAGGAGTGATGTGCATATGTGTATATACATATATATATATATATATATATATATATATATATATATATGTTTTCTCTGGAAGAAAACCTTGTATCTCCATTTTTGTTGTTTTTCAGTTTTTGACATAATTTGAAAGTACCTGTTGTTCTTTACATTGTATGTAAATTTCATGATGAATGGATCAAAAGAAACGACCCAAAATCACTTGTAAAACCCTCTGGTTCCATTGACTTACATTAAAAGTATAGTAAGTTTTTCCTTCTCCTGTAAAGTTACCATTTTTGAGATATGAGGTTTTCTTATGACAACAGATGTATATATATATATATATATATACATATATATAGATAGATAGATAGATATACATATATATATTTTTAGTAAATAGTATTTATACATTTTACATGAAAAATATACTCGTCTAAAAATTATAAATCATTAGCAATTTCTTTGGTTATGGTTAAGACAACAATCACTAACGAGGCTAACTTAGCGACTGTTTTCTAGCTAATGGTAGGATTTCCCACGTAAAGGAACATGTGACTTAGTCATGGATTCCATAGTTTAGAGACAGATTTCGTAAATAGACGAAATTTTGATGCACTTGCTGTTTTAATCCAGAATTTGATTGAATCCATCACTGCAGTCAGAATAGAAGTGTGATGTGTGAGGTGCTCCAGTAAGTAATGCTGTACCTTGTGTCAAACGCTGCCATAAAAACGCCATACAGCACATTTCCGAGACGGTCAAGGGGCAGCCTGTCCACCAGCTGTTCAAACTCTCTGTCGGAAATCACCAGTCCAAACCTGCGGAGAGAGTTTGAGAGGTCAGTGAAGGGTCACCGAGAGGTCAATGCAGGACGAGAGTCCACTCATCTGAGCTGATCGGCGAAGAAGGCCGACAGCATACGCCACTCATTGACCCTCTTACACATTGCAGGGTCGGGAGGTCGAGAGGTCAACTGCCCTTTCCACCCAACCATGGCACAGAGCTGGACACACACTGACCAATCTCTCAATCGCACACCCAAACCCCTACCTCTCAATCACAGGATTAAACGTCTCTCTCTCACGTACACTCCTACAAACCAGAACCTTCACTCGGTCCAGAAAACACACATAATGACCAATTGATTTATCAAACATTATGAATAACTTTGCCTGTATGTCTTTGGGCTCTAATAGACTTGGCCCTCGCTGACCAAGAGAGTGACCACAATTGGTAGAGGTGGTAGCCCAGATGGATTGGACTATAGAAAGGAATGAGCTTTAAAGATTATATAAAGAACAAATAAACAATTTTGGAAATAAAGAGGTTTGAAGAAAATAGCTGCTGATATGAGAGGAAAAAAGTTTTTATTTCTATAATACAGGTTATAATAATAATAATACAGCATTGATATTTCTGCTGTGTGTAAAGCAGAAAAAAATGAAAAAGAAAAAGGAAAATTAATGAATTTTGAAACAAAACCTTTCATATATACAAATATAAACCAAAGCAACCCCAAAAGGACTAGGTCTTCGCATTATAAAGAATTATCATTATTATTATTAATAATTAAGAAAACTACTGTATAATAATTATCGAATCTTAACTGTAACATCATGTTTGTATTTTTTTATTTTTGTACCCCATATAAAAGTGTGAGAACAATTCATGACAAATGAATGAATAGAAATGACTCAGAATTAAATCCTGTCATATATTAACTTACAGTACAGTCATGAATGTTTATTTTCTTTGTTCTATAAACTCTATAAGTTTTGTTTTTACACTGACAATATGAAAGATTCATAATTAAAAGATCATAAGGACATCATATTTCAGTAATTAATGAAAGTGCTTTAGTTAAAGGTGATTCCTGTCATTTTCTTCAAAATGTCTGCACAACATAATCATTAAGATTGAAATAGTCATTCAGAGCGGTTTGGTGTGAAATGCTCCATCCTAGAGAAACTACGCAGTCAGAACTGTTCACAGTGGTGGTGATAGGAACCAGACGTCTGAGGCGTTAATGCCTCTACAAGTTCCCTCACAGAACCTTTTTACTTTACCAAGTAAAGTCTGGCCTAAAGCATAATCTATTTTACGGTTTACTATTTATGTGGCAGTACATAAAATGGCCTTATTTGTGTTGTAGACATTGTGACCCCTGGTTCCTATCAGCACCACTGTGAAGAAATCTGAGCCTCTACAATCAACCATTTTACATCAAACCACTCCGAATGACTCTGTTTACATCTTAACTATGCAGAATTTTTTGTGAAAAATCAGTAAAATTCCCTTTTAAAGTAAGAGAGGGGTTGAAAAGGTGAGAAGAAAGAGGAGATGAGTGGAACGAGAAAAGGAGAAGCGAAGAGGAGACAAGAAGAAAAGGAGAAAGGAGAAATTTGTACCTGTTCTCCACAGCTGCCCTGAACTCCTCTTGACTAATGATCCCCTTATTGAGCTTATCAGTCTTCCTACAAGCACGCACACACACACACACACACACACACACACAGAGTTCAGTTAAAAGGCCTTCCTTGTGTCTCAGTGCTATTAAAAAGCATTCAACGGACGAATCAACCCCGCACTACTCCAGTAGATGAATGGGCTTCGGTAATAGAGGCATGGAGCCTGAGCTATTGAGAAGTACTTCACATGCAGACAGAGATATTAGGCTTTAATGAACATTCTCCGTTTAAAACGCCCTATGAGAGTTTCATTCATACGGTGAAGTTTTAATTAAACACCCAAGAGGCCCTGTCAGCCTTTGACCTCAAGACACAAAGCCTGTATGGACTAGTAAAGAGATGAAGAGAGGGAAAGGCACCTGTAAATACTTCTGAAATGTGTTAATGGCCACTTATTGCCACACAGAACAGTACAAAGATAGAGAGGGCAAAAAGAAAGGGAACGAAAGAAAGAAATGAAATGAAATAAAGAGGGGGTGATGTACTCACTGAAAGGTTTCTAAGAGAGAGAGATACTCAGCGTGCAAGAGGCGAGTGAGTTTGGCTTCTACTTCAGTCACAGAGGAGCTGTGACGGATGTCCTCCGTGGAGTGAAACCTGCCCAAACACAAAAATAACAAAACACATAAATATTAATCATATCATCATCAGCAGCAACAACAATAACAAAACTAACAACAACTAAGGAGCAGCTTCAACTGTTGCTATACGGTTGCTGCCAAGTGGGTACTACAGTATTCTTGGTGGTTGCTAACATGTTGATATCCATTTGTTAGGGTTTTCCAGTTGGTTGCTAGGTGGTTACTATGGTATCCCATGTGGTTGCTAGGGTGTTGCTAGGCAGTTGCTACGGTACTGCAGATGGTTGCTATGGTCTTTTCTATGGTACCGCACACGGTTAATAGGGTGTTGCTAATGGACTTGACTCATCGTGATAGAAGCTGGGTGCACAAAACGCTTGCACCCTATTCATTCCTATTCCTTCATACAATGAAGATTGTACGAAAACTGTACATTAGATCAAACAGCTGTATACAAGCACACCATTCCCGATCACTGCTTTGCATTCTCTAATTAATGGATGTTTTTATATAATTATTTTTTCAATTAATAACAACATATTTACTCTATTATTAGCAATAATACATGTGTGGTCCCATGAGGGTTCCGAAAGAGGGAAAACAGCAGCTCCATGTTTCTAAATAAATCACAGAATGATAAAAAAGAAAAAAAACAGCACTGCGCAGTGCAACTGTTTTTTAAAATACTTTTTATAAAAATCTATATTTTAGTGCACACATACAGTACTTTTCTGTAGGAAAGTAGAAGATACCACTGAGTGTTATATTACGAAGCCTAAAGCTGATGGATCTTACATACATACATACATCATCTAAACCGCTTATCCTTCTGGGTCGCGACCCTGATGGATCTTGTACAGAGAAATATCAATTTTTCCTTTAATGGGTCACTGGGTATATTCGAAGACAACTGCCGTTAACCAAATCTATTTTAATTGAATCGGCGGGCTGACTATTACTATAAGCAAAATAAGCGAGCCACGTCGCCGCGAGACGTAGCAAAACACTTTTGGAGCTACGCTGAAACCATCTAATGTTTGAAGAAATGAAGGATATCAATATTCTTCATCTTCTAGATGATGTGAGTTCATAATTTCAGGTAAAGTGGCACAATGTTTTTTTTTTTTAAGCTGCATTATGAAGTTTGAATTTATGTTACATTTATATCATGTCTTATTCTGGGAGTTTATCGGCCAGTTGCAAAACAGAAATCTGATTACTGTCTGACTCATGTAGACCCAGAGTTTTCCCATTATCTGATTACTCAAAATCAGATTTTCTGCAGTTATCAGATTATTAAGTGCATGTAAACGCACTCACTGGTTTTAAGATCTAATTGTGTACCTTCAGGACGTTTTTCCCAGGGAGAAAGTATATTTGTACTTTTTCATGTTACAGAACAAGAAAAAGCCTGGAGACAAAACAGTGTGTGCTGAGTCAATGCAACCTTAAAAAATTAACTGCAATGGAATATGGTACAATTATATTACCTTAACTAAAAGTACGGCAGATGTACCCTTGAGGGTACCACCCCAGTGACAGTTAACCTTTTAACACCTAAGTACTGTTTTGCTACTGCTGCGTTAGCCTCTTAGTGTAATGCCAGCTTATTTAACCTTATTTTAAGACTGTATTTCATAGTGATATTAGTGATATTAGCAAGCTTCAGTCAATGGAACAGCATCTACGACGCCAGGCAGGCCAGCTCGGCAGGGGGGACCACCACAATCACCTCACCATCACATTAGCTGTGGTCACTGTTAATGAATTCCGATCAAATCTGATTTAATGCTGTTAGTGCTGTGTACAACCAAACAGGTTGATTAAAAGGAAAACAAGGCAAAAAATCAGCCATAATGTGAAACGTTGTGATCAGGGGCACTAGCCAACAGGCATTGTCCACCCCTGCTTACATACCAACAAATTCACGTTTAACCAAATCTAAAGAGTAACTGCTTTTCTAACCCACAAGCCGACTATTTGTCAACCAACAAATCCTTTGAGCAAACACACACACACACACACACACACACACACTCTCTCACACACACACACACACACACACACACACACACACACACACACGGGCCTTTAACACTCCTAACTGCCCAGATCCTTCCCTAAAAGCCCCAGCCAACAGCCTCAGCAACCGTCTCCACGGTGACAGAGCCCTTTCCTGGTTGCACTATTTGTCGTTTCTTTCCTTCAGTTGTCCCCAAATCCTTTAAGCTGTGGACATCAGCTGCTGGCCCGGCCTGACCCAGGGCACAGCAGAACTATGGCCGTAAGCCTGTTACAGCCACAGTTAGTTTGAGTACAAGAGTTAGCAGCCGAAATCTGTGTGGCTGTGTGTAATTTGGGAATCCTGTTAGCAGAGAGGCGGTTTCATGAAGTGAGGAGAATTTTTTTTCTCAGACTGTTTGCTTTGTTTGATGAGCTGCTGCTTTTGTAATGGAGAAGGGAGAGTTCGACCTGATACACACTGTATGTACAAAAGACTGTAGACACCTGCTCATCTAACGCTTCTCCTGAAATCAAGAGTTCAGAGGTAAGCCAGAAGAAATCAAGAGCTCTGCTGCAGTTACAGCCTCTACTTTCTTGGGAAGGCTTTACACTAGAATTTGGAAACATTGCTGTAAGGATATTATTGCATTCAGCCACAAGTGCGTTAGTGAGGTCAGGTACTGATGTTGGATGATCAGCTCTGAACCACACCAACTCATCCCAACGGTGTTGGATGGAGCTCCATCTCTCCAGAGAATGCAATTTCGTACCCCTCTAGCCGATTCTTGGTACTAGGCATGGTGACCTTAGGTTCATGTGTGGCTTTTCCAGAGTGCCCTATTCTATTGGTGATACTTTCCTCTTAGAGACTTGCTACCTGACAAAAAAATGCCCCAAAAATATTGGGTTTCTTGTACAACACTGGCCTTGGGTCAGGCTTTGGGTTTGTTTTCTAATGAGTGTCTTTTTATGTTGTAGTTCTATGGAGAAAATATGTATACATCCTCTACAGAAAACACATTTAGTGCACAATTACTGTTTATTTAATGTATTGGAAAAGTATAGGACTTTTAATAGGTTTTGCTTTATTTTTTTCCAATTATTACTTTATTTTTTTTCCAATTATCCAACATAGAGGACGCATTTTCTTATTTTCACTCAATTTGCCCAGGAGTGTTCAGACTTTTGCATATGCATATGACTGTACACTCCCATGCAAAAAAATAGGCCCAGATTTTAGAGCCCAGATTTAAGCCCTATAGCGAATATTTGATCTCACATTAATGCAAACTAGCTTGACAATGTTTTCAACTGTTGAAACTCATCAATGCTAAACAGAAAAATACTGAATCTCCTTTCTGTAAAAGACTGTCTTCAACTTTACCTACAAGACTTCCACATTTAAAGGAATCAAAGAAAAAAATATCCCATAAAATTATTTTATTTTTCGTTTATTTTTGTTAAGACCATTAAAAGCTGAATGTTTTGCCATTTTTCAGGGGGTGTATATGAACACTTCCTCAGGTATGAGTAAGTAGAGATCTTTTAATTAGTTTAAATTCATATTTCGAGTAAAAGTAACTGCTTCACCAACTCACCAAACGAATGTATGCGTAAATAAATAAATAAAGGACTGTCCAGTTGAGTGTAATGACGTCTGACCGGTGTTGGGGGTTAGAGATGATCCTGTGTGTGATGCCGTCTTGGCTTCGGTCCTGAAATCTGCGGAGGAAACGTGTGTAGTCCACACCGCCCTTCCGGAGCTCCACACCGCAGCGGGAGAGGAAGAGCCCCAGGTGCTCTCTCTTCAGCTGCAGGTCAAATGTTGCCAGCACCTGTAGGAAATCTTCACTGCTCACCTGTGTGCAGGAAACAACGTTAACAGAAACATCTGTATGCAGACAACGGTTTCAAAATACCTGTATTACCTATACAGAGATATCCGTACAGAAACTTCTGTACAGATACACGGACACACCTGTATTCTAATGACGATGTATACATGGATCCACTGCAAAAGAATTCTAAGTAATAAATACAAACTCATAAATAGTTCATTTCCTACTTGTGATGTATGGATGAACTATACAAACTGACATTAAGGGTTGTAGATTGGATGCATAGCGGTGAATAGGGGTCTGTGCGGGACTGATTTTTTAGTCATGCTCCTGCAAGATCTCACCTGCTACCTAAACGTTTTGTCCTGCTCCCGCTCGCAGTCCCGTTTATCTGGTTTCCTTCTAGTCACAACTGAAAATGACTGTTATGCAATAAACATGCCTTTAGTAAGCTTAATTACCACGTTTTCACCTTTATTAAGAGCACTTTCAGGATCAGCTCTGCCGTTTCTGTAGCCTACAAATGTAATTCATATGCTGTTCGTGTGATTGGTTGCTTCTATTTAAAACTAGTTTAGAACTTCTGTTTATAAAGAGTTCATCCACTTTCGGTATTTTGCTGTTAAATGCTCAGTATTAAGTGATATATATCATTTCACTTTGGCTATTCATTCATTTGCAGGATTTCTTTACACACATTCTTTGTGTTGTCCCACTCCTGCCCACACTGGGCTGGTTAACCGGCGACTCCAGTGTGTCACACAAAAATTAGCATCATACGATATTGTAGACTTCTACTTCAGAACATGTCCATTCAAGATGCCTCATATTTGGATTTTAAAGAACTCATTAAGGAATTCTGCACCTGTCCAACGTCCTCTACTGTAAATGAGTTTTGAGAGAACAGGTTTTCCATTCTATTCTCTCTAGAGGGAGAAGGATCACTTTTTTCCTGTTCTTAACTGTATTTATGTGTTCAGACAGAAAACCAGTATGTGATTTGCTATCCAAACAAAGCCCAAATCAAATCAGTTTCTGACATCAGATTCCAGTTCTGTACCTTTCCACATCCATCTGGGTCCCGCTTATCAAACTCTGCCTTCATCCTCTGAACGCCCGCCCTGAACCTGTCCTTCAGCCACGTTTCCATGGCAATGGATGCCTGACACTCCTCCTCTGCCTTTGAGGGTGGCGTATCCGGGACTGGCAATGACAGGAAAAAGTTGGTTTTAAAATGAACAGATAACAATAATTATAATAATAGTTTAAGACAAACAACACAAACGTTAATGTTAACTTTATATTGAGATTACGCTAATAGAACCATGAGTTCTATATAGAACCATTTCATGCTTAAATTTCTTTGCAAGGTGAAATGGTTCTTCAGATTGATGTGGTGAAAAAATGGTGTTTTTCTATTGTTGCGATGTCAAGCTTGTAATAATAGAAGAACCCTTTTTGGTCTATCTAGAACCATTTACAACACATTCTCCATCTATCTGAAAAACCATTTCACCATGCAAAGAACTGTTTAAGGATGAACTGGTTCTATATAAAACACATTGTTCTAAATAGATCCATTCTCTTAACTAAAGAACCCTTTAAAGAACCAACTTTTTTAAGAGTGTGGAATATTACTAAATCACTCTCACATAATATACATGTACTATATCTCCTCACATTATCGTAAATATAAAAACGAACATGGTTACAATAACACAAATAATGCCAAGACTAGTACAGCCCATAATGTTATTTATTATAATGATTATTTTACATATTAAACTATTATTTGTCTCAGTAATTCATATTAACTTTATTTTCTAATAAATTGCGATTGCCTTCAAAAAATGCAACTTAGTATCCGCTGTAACAGTAGTTATGTTTTTCTTTTAAAAACGGTTTGTTTGTTATTAAAGAGTTTCAATATTTACTGTTGTTGTCCTGAGCTTTGGACGGTGAGGAGCACTTGTTGTTCTTGTTTGAAGTGTGTAGGTTACTTCTCTTGTCCAGTCCCAGTTTCTGCAGTAGTACACTGAGTTTCACGGCTCCAATCCCATTTGTGTCCAACCTAACAGGCAGAAATGTAACACTGTTGCTGTTTTGTTTCGTTTAGCATTCATATTTTCACATATCTGAAAGCACTTCTGGGTCCTGAATGCATCTGTTTTACCGTTTCCATAACTGCTCGAATTCAGAGTTGCGCAGACGAAGCTTCAGTTTATCCAGAATGTCCCTCAGTTGGGAGGCAGATATCCAACTCTGGCTGCGCAACTCTTTATCTGTGAGGTTTTCCACACACTCAAGAAATCTGTGAAGACATGAGGAACAAATCTGAAGGACAAATCTGAGAGTTGAAACTTTCACAGTACATGGCTGTAGGAATATATTACAGCTTTCTATGAAAATAAATATTCAGGTGGTGAATCACACACAGCTGTAATGCAATATGCATCTTGGTATCACTCAAAATACAGTTCCAACTAAAGTTCATTTTGCAGAACTGGATCTTTCTGTGTGCTACTGTATCTATCTATCTATCTATCTATCTATATATATATATATATATATATATATATATAATTTATACATACACGTGTATATGACAATGTAGATATACATATTTCTTAAACTTCTCAAAAGTAGTTTTACAAGAGAAAATGGCTCAGCTTGCAGAACTGGATCTTTCTGTGCTCTACTGTATTTTTATCACTAAATAGGTTCTGTGCTGCCTTTATTGATGGCTGGACTGTAATGTTTCTGAGTAAGTGTGTGCACACAATCAAAAAACAACTCACATAAACGTTTATGAGGGGTCCAAGCACCCAAGGTGCTGGATCCTTATTGTTTTTGCTCAGATTTACATAAATTATTTTTCTCTGCTAATATGGACGATGCAGACCAAACCACCTGTAAGTCAACTGGGGGTGCTATAAAAGCTAAGTAGCAGTTAGCTAGGTTTCAGCATCCATATATTAAATCAAGCTGAGACTTTGCTTGCTGCATCTTTGGGCTTACTTACAAGTGAGTTTTTGTGTTGAAGATGAAGAGCTGTTCCAGGATCAGCTTTGGAGTGGAATGCTGTGTTGAAGAGGAGGAGCTGATACAGGACCAATTTTAGAGTGTAATACTGTGCTAAAGAGGAGGAGCTGATACAGGATCAGTTTTGGAGTGTAATGCTGTGTTGAAGACAAGAGGCTGATCCAGGATCAATTTTAGAGTGTAATATTGTGCTAAAGAGGAGGAGCTGATCCAGGAACAGTTTTAGAGTGTAATGTTGTGTTGAAGAGAAGAAGCTCGTCCAGGATCAGTTTTGGAGTGTAATGCACTGTTGAAGAGCAGAGGCTGATCCAGGATCAGTTTTGGAGTGTAGTGTGTTGAAAAAAAGAAGCTCATCCAGGATCAGTTTTGGAGTGTAATGTTATGTTGAAGAGCAGAGGCTGATCCAGGATCAGTTTTGGAGTGTAATGTGTTGAAGAGAAGAAGCTCTTCCAGGATTAGTTTTGGAGTGTAATGCACTGTTGAAGAGCAGAGGCTGATCCAGGATCAGTTTTAGAGTGTAGTGTGTTGAAAAGAAGAAGCTCATCCAGGATCAGTTTTGGAGTGTAATGCTGTGCTAAAGAGCAGAGGCTAATCCAGGATCAGTTTTGGAGTGTAATGTTGTGTTGAAGAGCAGAGGCTGATCCAGGATCAGTTTTGGAGTGTAATGCTGTGTTAAAGAGCAGAGGCTGATCCAGGATCAGTTTTGGAGTGTAATGCTGTGTTAAAGAGCAGAGGCTAATCCAGGATCAGTTTTGGAGTGTAATGTTGTGTTGAAGAGCAGAGGCTGATCCAGGATCAGTTTGGGAGTGTAATGTTGTGTTGAAGAGCAGAGGCTGATCCAGGATCAGTTTTGGAGTGTAATGTTGTGTTGAAGAGCAGAGGCTGATCCAGGATCAGTTTTGGAGTGTAATGCTGTGTTGAAGAGAAGAAGCTGGTCCAGTATCAGTTTTAGGGTGTAATGTTCTGTTAAAGTGGAGGAGCTGATCCAGAATCAGTTTTGGAGTGTAATGTTATGATGAAGAGGAGGAGCTGATTGTGGATTGGGTGGTCAGGGCTCACCTGTTGCGAGTGGCTCCACGGAGCAGCATCAAGGTCATTGGGAGGCTTAGCGTGGTGAACGAGTCAGGACCTCTCAGAGCATTGTATAACTCATCAAATGAAATGAGAGCTCTGTCAGACAGCTGCAGACTGAGAGAGAGAGATTTATTATTATTTAAATTAAAAACAAGTTTTAAAACGTTTGTGTCTTATTTTATTTTCCTTTAATATTAATAAACCAAGCTATTGCACTTCAAACACTGCATCTTGTTTCATACCAATAAAGTCAACTGAACTGAACAGAGTTGCAGACAACAGTTTGATACCCTGCAAGTCTTTCTTTGACCTGAAGGATGACTCTTCATGGCTAAACGTCAGCAGAATTCAGAATGAATCATACAGTGGTGTGTTATTTACATATCAATTTCACATATATCCTCATGTCTGTGCATCAAATTCATGCAAAGTTGGGCAAAATACGAAAAAAAGTAGTGATCACTGAATAATAATAATACTATACTGTCCCAAAACATAAAAGAGTAATGTATTCAGAATACACTTTGAATACGTTCAGAATGCATGTAGAGTACATATTGATGAGGCAGATGGGAAAAGCTAATAATTAATACCCCTAGCTGGTACTGGATGGCAGATTTCTTCGTGTAATTATTCTGTTAGTATGTTTCATGAAAAATCCTTTATCATTTAAATGAAGCTCCAAAAATATGTAACTTTTTTTCTGGTTCTCACTGCTGCTTCGGTCCAGTACAAAACTGATGCTAAACTCATCACTTGCAAACATGTCCACTGCTGAGGCGTTTATTAGTTTGACCATCTTTCAAAAGAGATCAGCCAGTTTGTCAGTCTACTCAGGCTTTAGCAGGACCTTCAGCGTTTGTAAAGAAGCCGATAAACGATCTTCTTTTTCGTCTAACAAGCACGTTTGCTACATTTATCAGATTGTATGTTTTTATTAAATGATGTAGGTGTTCTAAAACTATTCTCCACACATTGTAAAATTATTCTGAATACTGCCTTTACTAAACATAATTTGGACTGAATACAGATACTTAATTTCTATATTCTGAATATGTATTCTGATACTTTTATTCCGTTACAACCCAACCCCAATTACATGTTACTTTTCCAGTACTCTCTGTGTCTCTCACCGCTGTAGAAGGAGTTTGAGCTGCTTGGCTGTGATGAGTTGTCTCAGGAATTTGGTGAGAATCAAAAGCACCACAGATCTGGTATAACAGAAACATCATACAGTAACTGTGTGTATGTGGGTGTTTTTGTAAGGGACTGTTATTGATTATAATTTAAATCACTATGTTAGTCAGCTTTTGTATGTCCGTGTACCTGTTGGCCACGGGTTTGCCTTCAGGGTGGTTATTTTTGAACATTGTTTTGAGTGTGAGAGCTCCTGTGCTTTGAATCCGCTCCTTTAAACTGTCCTCCAGCTAAAACAGACATATAGATAAAGAGAGTAGATAAAGAGAGAGAGAGAGAGAGAGAGAGAGAGAGAGAGAGGTAATGTCAAACACTGTAACCAATGATCACTCTGCATTAAAGGTGGGCAATATGGGAAAACTATAATATTGCATTATTAAAAATAAGACATTTTCATAACACCCGACAGGTCATAATATATATATTTTTTGACTTTTGATGACACTCAAAAATACTCTCTTACTATCAGAAATAATACAGTTATGTACATTTTACACCATTAGGGCAGTGCAGTGAAGTTTGAAATCACTATATATTAATATTTATGATTTCATTCAATAACAGCTTACACAGCCTCAACTAAAATACCATAAATTGCACACCAAAATATATATTTTCAGATATTTTATTTACTATCTCAGGGTTTGTTGGTAATGTAAACTTTATTATAACTTCAATATGGATATCATTTCTATTATAACACCATCCCTAATGTTCTGCAGCTTCCTCAGTCTTTGCAGAATCATCTACAGCTCCGTTAGTCATTCTGGACAGACCTCCATTTTCCTAATTTTTTAAAGGTTTCCTACAAATTGTTCAAAACATTTAATATGTACTAACATCAGATGAACTGTAGCTGTGTTTACTCTTGAGTGCAGTAAACTGAAAGTCTTTTTTAGCCATGCCTCTCCTTATACTGTCATTAGACTGCCTGTTTGTTTATGTAAGCTGCAGTGTAATTCTACAGTGATTTATCTTTGTGCATTGCCACTTAGAAACTCCCTTGGTGTTCAGACTGCATGACCCTTCATCTTAAATCGACAGTCTGAAACTGAAGTGAAAATAAGCTCTGTGGAAAACACATTTCTGCACGTTTTAACGCAACCTTTCTGTTTATTTGCTGAATTTGCTCCCAGTAGAGGATGAGTTAACTAATCATGCAGTTTGAGGGTGTTCAAACTTTTGCATACAGCTGTATATTAAGGTATGTTTGATTGGATGGAAAGAGGGTGACTTTTCTCTTTTGTCTTTTTTAACCAAGTTATGGTTATGGTTTACCAGCACAGCTGCAGTTACTGTCTATTAATATTGTCTTATGCTATATATATAATAAATTCTTTCAAAAAAAACAAAAAAAAAAACAATTTGGCTGTGTAAATGGTTCTCTGCACGGTGAAACGGTTCTTCAGATTGATGGAGAACATGTAGTTTTGAAAATGGTTCCAAAACGGGTACTGCTATTGTTACGGTGTCAAGCTCGTCACAATAAAAGAACCCTTTTTAGTGTTCTTTAGAAACATTTTCAAAAAGGTTCTATATAGAAGCGTACACAACACATTCTCCATCAATCTGAAGAACATCTCACCATGCAATGAACCCACATACATCCACTGTCTTTACTAAAGAACCCCTTGAAGAACCATCACTGAGTCATCGAGCATCTGTTTTAACTGAAAGGAACATCTTTTGCATGTGTCTGGACGTGAGTGTATGTAAATGGGGAGGTGTTAAACAGGAGATGGGGTGCGTAGCCGTTAGCGTGTCAGTGGAGACGATGGGGTTTGTTTGGTATTAGGCATAAACGTGAATGTGTGTGACCAGGGTGCAGCTGCCTAGTGGATTTGTGTATATGAGTTTAAGTGTGTGTGTGTGTGTGTGTGTGTGTGTGTGTGTGTGTGTGTGTGCGCATGTGTGCACTGTGACTAAGTGCAGCTCTCGTGACTGGGAGGGTCTGTCTGGTGGGGGTCATGCAGAGACAGACAGACACAGACACACACACACACACACACAGTCTAAGCTAATCTCTTTTCTGGTTTCAGCATAAAAGTTTCAGAATAATACGCTTTACCAGTCGGTCTCCCCACAGCAAGACACTCTAACTTTCAGTTGGACCACAGGCTCCTCACAATAGACCGAAATGGGAGACGTATCAAACCACCAACACCAACACTGAAACCTTACGTAGGGGCTGATACTTTAAAAAGAACCTATTTTTATGAGCTATTTATAATCGAAGACTTTATTTAAGATGAGCATCTAAATGCAGGCTATCATGCTGAAATTACTACCCACAGACGTCCATCCACACAGATATGCGATCTGAGTTTTATTACTTTGTATGTTATATTAAATCTACTTACATTCCTAGTCACACTGGATTTGATTATGCTTTAACTGGGTGTGAAAATATGAAATATATATATATATATAAAAAATAAAAAATCAAATGGACACTTGGATATTCATTCACACTGTAATTATACAAAAGTACATCACTAAAGACAAATCAGAGCAAGTTTTGTGACATTTTTCCTTATAATATTATGTTTGGGCATGAAAAGGTTAATACAAATAATACTGTTTATAGGCAATTATACTGGAGTCCATACAGGCAGCTGTATATTAATGGTGCTTACTTCTATATGAGAGTATGAGTGGGAAACAGATGAAGACAGAGACAGACAGACAGACAGACAGAGAGACAGACAGACAGGTAAACAGACAGACTGACAGGTAAACAGATAAACAGACAGACTTTGCGACAACAACTGTTGTAAAAAGGCGCTATATAAATAAATAAATTTGACAAATAGACAGACAGATAGACAGACAGATAGATAGACAGACAGACAGACAGATAGATAGATAGACAGATAGATAGACAGACAGACAGACAGACAGATAGATAGACAGACAGACAGATAGACAAATAGACAGACAAATGGATAGATGGACAGACAGGTCAACAGATAAATAGACAGACTGACAGATAGATTAACAGACAAATAGACAGGTAAACAGATATATAGATAGATAGATAGATAGATAGACAGACAGATTGACAGACAGACAGATAGATAGATAGATAGATAGATAGATAGACAGATTGACAGATTGACAGACAGACAGATAGATAGATAGACAGACAGATAGACAAATAGACAGACAGACAGACAAATAAATAGATAGATGGACAGACAGGTCAACAGATAAACAGATAGACTGACAGATAGATTAACAGACAAATAGACAGGTAAACAGATAGATAGATAGATAGATAGATAGATAGATAGACAGACAGATAGACAGACAGATAGATAGATAGACAGACAGATAGACAGACAGACAGACAGACAGATAGATAGATAGACAGATAGACAGACAGACAGATATAGTTAGACAGATAGAGACAGATAAATAGATATAGATAGATAGATAGATAGACAGATAGATAGATAGATAGATAGATAGATAGATAAAAACTTGACTTGAAAGTTACTATAAATAGGTAAGTACAGTATGTTTAGAAAGAAGCAGCTTCTTGTTGTTTTCCAAACTCTCCAGGAATGAAATAAAAATGAAAGAGTACCTGATCTACTTGTTCTTTTAGCTGTGGTTCAGTAAAGATGGATGATGTGCTGTCTGAGACTCGACTCATGGCACGACCCTCTGCTGCCCCCTTCTGGCCTACAGATGGAAACACACGCACACGTTGTATTCCTGTCTTTACGGGGTGTCCCCGTGGGCTTCTGTGTAGAATTTCCTGAGGGTGTAAATTCTGCTCCACCTAACCCCAACCTAACAACTCCACAACACCTGAACCACTGTTTAAACACATTTCAAACTTATGTCACCATGAACTTCAACCGTTAATCTGAACCTCTGAAGTTGGACCAGTTCCAAGTGCTCGAGTTTTAACACATTATAAATACTTACCGAAAGGGGAACTCCACTGATTTTTCAAAATTTTGACATAATCAAATGGCTGAGATGTAAACAGAGTCATTCAAAGTGGTTTGATGTGAAACAGTTCATTGTGGAGAAGCTTACAGACTTAGATTTCTCTACAGTGGTGGTGATAGGAACCAGACTAGGAGTCACAATGACTACAACACAAATATAGACATTTTATTTACTATCCAAAACCACCAGTAACCCTACACGTGTCTTCTGAGCTTTTTAACGTGATGTTGATGATGGTGAAATATCCAAAAAAAAAGTTTCTTTGAGAACTATTTTGTCTCACAACACCCTGCATGTATCCCTCTTCCACAAATGAATTAAAATACATTTTAAGCCAAAACTCACCACAAAGCTATCATAAAACAAAATGTCAGACGTCAGACAGTGTATATCTAACCATTTCATTTAATAACTTTCTGTAAGGGAGCTTTTAGAGGTGGACGTCTGGTTCCTATCACCACCACTGTGCACTATTCTGACTCAGTAAGTTTCTCTAGAGCAGAGCGTTTCACACCAAACCACTCTGAATGACTCTGTTTACATCTCAGCCATTTGATTATGTCAAAATTTTGAAAAATCAGTGGAGTTCACCTTTAAGATCTCATTCGACCACATGAAACCACCTCCGGCCTTAGAATAAAGCTCTAAACTCTTCTGAGTCCTCGCTGTTTAAAGGGCCCATATCATCCACAGTGAACCATTTCACACCAAACCACTCTGGATGACTCTTGTTTACATCTCAAGTGCTTAATATATTTACATATTTTGAAAAGTTGATGGAATTCCCCTTTAATCCCGCATTAGACGTCTTTGCTCATGAGATCAAACCGCATGCAGTGATAAACTGTGACGGTTTTAAACAGCCTAATGCATTTCTGGGGACTGGGAGGGGGTCTAAAGTTTATCTACTAAAGTGTCTTATACGTTCATGTACTATTGACTTGATACACGAAACACTTATAACTCAGACTTTCATTCATAACAGCCTGTAATGGAGCGCCCTCGTGTGGCCAGTCTTGTACAGTGTATTAACCTCGGGCAATAACTGGTCGCCTAAACATTGAAGAGGAAACTTTCTGCATTATTCATTATTTGAGATATAAACGAAGTCATTTAGTGTGTTTTTTATGCTTAGTGGTTTGACCTAAATTACTGACTCAGATGTCTTTACAGTGGTGGTGATGGGAACCAGGGGTCGAAATCACTTCAACACAAATATAGACATTTTATTTACTATCCAAAACCAACAGTGAACCTACACGAGTCTTCTGAGTTTATATGTAATCTGATTTAAAAAAAAAAAGTTTTCTTTTGGGACTATTTTGCCTTACAACACCCTGCGTGTACCCCTCCGCCATGTACGAATTAAAATAAATGGATTAAAGCACATTTGACGTCAAAACTTCGAGACATCAGGCAGTGAATTCATAACCATTTCATATAGCCTAATAACGTTAACCTCCTGTGAGGGAGCTTTTAGATGTGGACGTCTGGTTCCTATCACCACCACTGTGAACAGTTCTGACTCAGTAAGTTTATCTAGAACGGACCTTTTCACACCAAACCACTCTGAACGACTCTGTTTACATCGTAACAATTTAATTATGCATAATTTTAGCAAAAAATCGGTGGAGTTGCCCTTTACAACACCGCATACAAGCCAGTGCTAACGTGCTAACTTTACTGGGTTAACCTAGATGTCAGGAAGAAAAGACTGGCGGTTTGACGGTTAGCGTTAAATCAATGACCACTCTCCTCTTTCTTTGCTAGGAGAAGCTTATCTAGACTGGCTAAGTTCGCTAAACGCTGAAGAAACTAACGCTAATGTTGGCTCAACCTACCTGACGTTGAAGCTGCTAACGTTAGTTCACATTAACGAATGAATTAATTATCAACCCGTGTTATCAAACTTATACTGACACGTCATTATTAGCCCGGTAATCTGTCTAAAAGCGGTATTTTTTAGAAAATCAGCTAGAAAAATTAAGCTATTTTCCTCAGCTGTAGCGGTTCGGCTGACCATTAGGTCTGAATCCGTTATGTTTCCGTTAAATTTTGAATCTGAGGTAAAAGCTTCATTACGCGCGCGGACGCGAAGTTGACTCCGACTCTCGAATCTTTCCAGTGGAATCGAAGGAGTCGACTCCTCAACTGCAGTTGATTTTAACTAAGACAACTGGTGATAAAGGGACACAGCACGTATTAAACCATCCTAAACATTTTTGGTTCGGCTGACCATTAGGTCTGAATTCGCTAGGCTTCCGTTAAATTTTGAATCTGAAGTAAAAGGTTTAGTTGACTCTGATTCTCGAATCTTTCCAGTGCAGTCGAAGGAGTCGACTCCTCGACTGCAGTTCATTTTAACCGAGAAAGCCAGTGATAAAGGGACACAGCACGTATTAAACCATCCTAAACATTTTTGAGTAACTACATATTCCAGTGATATGATGAAAGTTCAGCTTATTTCACACAATGAGGGGAAACTCAGAGTAATATACTGAGAAAATCAGTACTGTAGTCAGAGTTCTTTGAAAAAGAAGGGTGGTTAGCTTCGTATTCGCCACATTCATATTCGACTTTTCCGGTCCACCTTAAGTGATGCAGCAGTAATGTACCTTAATGGTGCGCCGACGCCAGAATCTAACTGAAGCACCGTTTCCCTGCTGAAAAGGACTATTAGAAACAATCAGGATTGAAAGCTAATGGTTTTGCTTTCTAATGGGAATTGGTTTCCAACAGAGGCCGCTAGTGTTTTGTATAACACCTTTAGATCCCATATTAAAACCATCAAATGCATTTAGTATCAGCCACTGGTCACCTGTTAAACCATTAGGATCCTTTACACGGTGATATCAACCCATTAAAAAAGCCAAAACACATTACAAAACGATCAGGAACCAACGGAAACACAATGTTTTTTATGGGTTTTTGAACAGAGTTTAAGGTGGAATGGAAAATTTGTATAAGAAGCTGGGAAATAAGGAGCAAATCTCAGCTTCATCCTCCTTTCCACAGCATTCTGTGAAAAACACTGTTTGTTTCTGGTTTTCGTCTTCGTTCAGTGTAACGATTCTGATCACTGAGTGTGTTTACATGCACTCAGTAATCTGATCACAATCTGATTTCTGCAGTTATCTGATTATTCAAATGGTCACGTAAACACCATACTCCGATCTAGAAATCCCCTTAAGAAATCCAATAAAGAGGCTGGATTTTAGCTCAGTGATCAGATTTCTCAGTGCATGTGAACTCTTACTCTGATTTCTTTCAGATTTCTCAGTCTGTGCATGTGTGAAAACAGACGACAGTACCGGAAATAAGCGAGCAGCGTCGTCGCGAGACGCAGCAAAACACTTTTGGAGTGACGCTGAAACCAAATACTTGCTTGACGAAATGAAGGATTTAAATATTCTTCATCTTCTAGATGATGTATGTTCATATTTTCAGGTACAGTGGTGCAACGTTTAAAGAAAGGTTGAAGGTCTTACGTTACGGTTACGTCTTGTCATTCTGTAAGTTTATTGGCTGGTTGTAAAGCAGAAATCTGATTACTGTCTGACTCATGTAAACCTGGAGTTTCCCCATTATCTGATTACTTAAGTGCATGTAAACGCGTTGATCAGATTACTGTCAAAATCTGATTTTCTGCAGTTATCGGATGATTAAGTGCATGTTTATTGCAGCCCTAATCAGAAAATGAAGAGTTGCCATGCAGGACGGACTAAAAATGCCGTTTCTGTGAGCTGTAAGCACAACAACAGCTGGTGATCCGCGTTTCTTAAAGCTGATAATTAAACAGCTCTTTCCAGTATTACACACTCCTCCGTCCAAACGTCCATCGAGCCAATTGCAATGAAAGAACACAGAATTGAAGACTCGACTCCAAGCATTTTGACTCTTAGAGTCTTTGGCCAAGAGTCAAATCTGACTTCCTGAGTCGAAGAATCGATTCTTTTGGAATCGACTCCCCATCACTACGCAGCAGTGCAGTAGCTCCTAGTGCTGGATTAGAGATGAATTGTTCCCTGATTTCTGCATATTTAAATGTTTAGGATGTAAACAAAGCCTTTCGGAGTTGTTTAAGGTGAAATGCTCCGTTCTAGATAAGCAGTAAGCCACGAGAGGCCGTGTGTTAGAGATTTTATCACCCGCGTTCCCACTTCCCCCTGATAAAATTGCAGTAACGCATGGCCTCAAGAGGCTTATTGCTTTTATTAAACGGCGGCCAACATAAAATATGATAAAATACACATTTGTTTGAGAAAATAGATATCTGTGAGGGAGCTTTTAGAGGTGGACTTCTGGTTCCTATCACTACCACTGTGAACAGTTCTGACTCTGCAAGTTTATCTAGAACAGAGCGTTTCACACCAAACCACTCTGAATGACTCTGTTTACGTCTTAACCACTGAATTATGCTGGAATTTTGAAAAATCAGTAGAATTGCCGTTTCAAAAAGTGATGGGGCGGACAAAACTGGACATTTCAGAATTTTCCATTATCCACAGTGGGAATGTTTGACTGTGGGTTAGCCCTCCTCTGCTCAGTGGTGTCTGTATTCATCTGGACAGTGAAGGAAAGTGTGTATATAAAAATGACCAGTTTGTTTAAAAGGGGAACTCCACCAATTTTTCAAAATTTCTGAATGATTCAGTCCTTGAAATGTAAACAGAGAGATTCAGAGCGGTTTGGTGTGAAATGGTTCAGATGTCTTTACAGTGGTGGTGATAGGAACCAGGGGTCGCCACGACTACAACACAAATATAGACATTTTATTTACTATCCAAAACCACCAGTGAACCTACTGAGTTTATATGAAATGTTGATGATGGTAAAATAGTCATAAATCTGACAAAATAAATTTTTTGGGGGGACTATGTTGCCTCACAACACCCTGTATGTATCCCTCCATCATGAATGAATTAAAATACATGGATTAACATCAATTTTAGGCCAAAACCTTCTCGCAAAACTATCATAAAACAGTGTCTCAGTCATCAGGCAGTGAATTCATAACCATTTCATGTAGTAACTTTCTGGGAGGGAGCTTTTAGAGGTGGACGTCTGGTTCCTATCACTACCACTGTGAACAATTCTGACCCTAAGTTTCCCAACAAACCACTCTGAATGACTTTGTTTACATCTTAACCATTTAATTACGTAGAAATTTTGAAAAAACTGTTGGATAAGCAGTTTTAAGTGCTGTTTTCTGAGGTGCACTGGACTGTAGAACATGTATGTCAGTGTGGCTACTGACCCAGCACGGGCAACTCTGTTCTGTGCATGTGGCCACCCTGGTTCTCACGCGCCGCGGGACCCTTCTCCATCCCAAAACGGAAGTCCCTCACCACGCTCTGGCTCCGGAACGGAGAGTCCAGGCTCCCACTGACCAGGGACAGAGGGGTGGACGGTGCCCATGTGCTGCAGCCGCTGACCGAAATGTTGTCTGGGTGTGCCAGTCTGGATGAAGGATGCTGGATGGCTGGGAGCCACATCCGGGCAACTGAGGACGCTCGGGTGGCCATGCCTGGAGCCTGTTTCTAGTGCAAAGAGGGGTTTCGTCGCTCAGTGCAGTGCAAAATGCAGAAACAGTGAAATTTCCACTGCTCAGTGTGGCAAAAGATGTATTTTTCTCTTTTTGTTCTGGTGCAAAAGCAATAAAAAGGCTTCATCTGATGCAAAAGAGGAGAAAAAGACGAGTTGCTTTGCTTTATGAAGTACAAAAGTTTGAAAAAATGAATTGTTGTTGCTTTTTCTAGTGAAAATTGCAGCAAAATATGTATTTTCCTTGCTCCAAAAGCCAATAAAAGGGGGTTCTTTGCTTTAAAAGCATGCAAATTCAAAGGTTACTGTGTAAAATAGTTAAAAATATAATTTTCCTCACTTTTTTAAGCACAAAAGTCTGCAAAAAGGAAGATGTCTTTGCTTTATCTGGTGCAAAGGAGCAGAAAAAAGAAGTTGCTCTGCTTTATCCAGTGCAAAAAAACTGAATTGTCTTTGCTTTTTTTTTAGTGAAAATTGCAGCAAAATGTGTATTTTCCTCACTTTTTCTGGTGTAAAAAGCAAAAACAAGGCTTTCTCCACTTTATCCAGTGCAAAAGCAGAAAAATAAAGTTTTTTTCTTGTGTAAAATAATTCAAAAGATGTTTTTTCCTCACTTTTTCAAGCTTTATGGAGTGGAGAGGGTCGAAAAGTGAATTGCTGTAGCTTTTTCTAATGTAAATTGCAGCAAATATGTATTTTTCTGCTGCAAAAAAGCAATAAAAGCAAATAAAAAGTGCGAAGGCAGGAAAATAAGTTTTTTTTTCTAGTGTAAAATAATTCAAATCATGTTTTTACCTCCTTTTTCTAGCGCAAAATGCAGCAAAAAGGTGTGCAAACGGTCGAAAAATGACTCGTGGTCGCTTTTTCCAGTGCAAAAAGCGTCAGACTGCGTCGATAGTCGCTGTTCTTTAGCGCAAAAGGCGTCTTTCTTTGCTTTACGCGCGACCGGAGCGCGCGGAATCCGCTCGTTAAACGCGTCCTCGCGCCCATTCAGCGCCTGTAAGCCGTCTAACCGCAATGCAGAGCTTCGGTGGGGAAACGCTTTAATGACCCCCGCCTCGCTCTCGCGACTGTTTTTGCCGGTGGTTGTCCGTGGCAACGTCGGACGCGCGCGCGCGAGCGAGACAGAGTCGTGACGTGCGTGAACAGGAGCTCGAGACAAGGCGCAACATAAGAGGTTTAGAAGCGTAGACGTCATCACGTTATAAGGTACCCGTATGTAGTTCTGCAGTTACAGACTGTAGTCCATCTGTTTCTGTGCACCTCAACAGCCTCAAAACACTGTGTCCACTCACTGTCCACTCTATTAGACACTCCTACCTTGTCGGTCCACCTTGTAGATGTAAAGTCAGAGACGATAGCTCATCTGCTGCTGCACAGTTTGTGTTGGTCATCCTCTAGTCCTTCATCAGTGGTCACAGGACGCTGCCCACAGGACGCTGCTGGCTGGATATTTTTGGTTGGTGGACTATTCTCAGTCCAGCAGTGACACTGAGGTGTTTAAAACTCCAGCAGCACTGCTGTGTCTGATCCACTCAGACCAGCACAACACACACTAACACACCACCACCACATCAGTGTTACTGCAGTACTGAGAATGATCCACCACCCAAATAGAACCTGCTCTGTGAGGGTCCATGGGGGTCCTGACCACTGAAGAACAGGGTAAAAGGGGGCTAACAAAGTATCAGAGAAACAGATGGACTACAGTCTGTAACTGTAGAACTACAAAGTGCACCTATATGGACAGTGGAGCTCCTTTTCTCTGGCCTGAGACTAAACGCGCCGTCATGCACGACTGTATGACATAATGTCCTTTAAACTCCACACCTTGTCCTCTCTCTCAGTGATGAAGAGGAGCCGCACTGCTGGCATGTGCTTCGATTCCCATTGTGCTTTAATTACGGCCTTCTTGTTTCAGCAACACAGAGAACCAGGCTGGAGGCCCATCGCCAGGCAACCGAAGCAACAGAGCCAGCTCAGGCCATTTGTTAGTGTTTACTGGTCACTAACCGGCCTCCTGGAGACCTGTATTAAACACATTCATTCATTCGTTCATTCATTCAGTAAAACTGCAGGCCTTGCAGCTGCACATCAGCTCAAAGTGGACTTATGCCCCTCTCCTGCTTACATGACCACCTTATAACCTCTCTTCATTCTTTAGAATCAAAGGTCCAGTCCCTTTTCTCATTTTTACCCCTACCCCTGGTTTTCGGGGCTCTCCTCGCTCCCTGGAACTGAGTTACAAGGGGTAGTGGTTGAAATCTTCCCTCTGAAATGGGACCCTCAAATAAAAAGAGCATCACTTCATTAACAGCTACCAGCGCTGCTCTGTAGGCAACCCTGCCAGTCTGCAGTGACAGCAGAGGAGGGTAAAGTTCAGCTCCTCACTGCTGGGCTTTAGTTACATTTAGGGCATCATATGCCTTCAAAGAGGGGGGGCAATTATTTATTATCACCCACCCCTAATTCTTCAGTGATATGAAGCTGAAGTCAGATATTCTCCAGATACTTGTTGAAATTTTCCCGTTCCACCTTAATGGTTACGTTTTGGCACCTCGGGTGTCAGAGGTCACTTCTAGTCTTCATAACTTCAGAACAGTTTGAGCTTCAGACATGATCCATGTATCAGGACATTCAGCAGACCCACCCCTAACTACTTAGTGTGACGTCATCGAGCTGTGACGTCAGAATCAGTGAGTAATTTGGCTCGTAACATCAAACCCAAACCCAAAATCCTGATAATATTGCTCTGCTTTTTGACCTTCATATTCCAACAAAGGGTTAAAACAGCGACAGGATTCACAAATCAGATCACTCATCAGACTCCGCCTCACCATCCAGAGTGATTTCATCCACCTCTGACCGTCCATCAGCCAGAGATCCAGTTCTCCCAATTCACCCAAACCCACTCACTGCTTTTAGCCTTCATGTTATAAACAAAGGGTTAAAAACAGTGACATGATTCACAACCAGAGCACTCAGAGGAACCTGCATCACTAACAGAGTGAGAGAAACCAGCTCTAACATCCCACAACCCAGAAATACAGCACAAACACACAGCCGGATCACTGTAAGACCTGCTATTAGCTCCCTGCTTTAGCCTTCATATGGCAACAAAAGGGTTAAAAAGATAAAACAGTGGGTATTGTAATTTTATAATGAAGGAAATTCTCACATTTGTGGGTGTCTTTGGTCTCTTGTGCTCCATCTGGCTGGTTTTTCTTTTTTTCTCATATCTCTCTGTTTGGAGTCTCTGAAAAACCTCTGTTTGGAGGGTCATGTAGCCCCAACACTTCATCCTACCCCTCTATCTCAACTAGAATCGGGACACCCTACACCTAGACGTGAACGAATTAGAGGCTGTTTTTTGTTACCGTTGCCTTTAGAACTCAGGCGGGGGGCAACTCTGGTCCTGGATGGCTGGGGTCCAGCACAGTTTGGTAGTCTCAGTTGAGTTGAGCAGGTAAATCACCAAGTTGTGCTGGACGCAGGCCCTCCAGGACCACAGCTGTGCAGCCCTGCCTGGTGAGGTCAGTGTAAATGGGCGGGGCTACACCGATGTAGGTGGCATAGGCTAGATGAATATAAATTATCAGCTTTTTAATGACATCACAAAAACAATGAAGTCAAATTTTTTGTCATTTTTCAGTTTTTGAGATAATTTGAACACATATAGTGGCCTTTACATTGTGTGTAAATTTCATGAAGAATGGACCAAAAGAAACGGTCCAAAATGACTTGGAAAGACGTCTGGTTCCATTGACTTCCATTAAAAGTAAAGTAGGTTTTTTTCTTCTCCTGTAAAGTTACCATTTTGGCAATACGAGTTTTTTTCCGACAACAATTTGTCTTTACATGACATGGGCCCTTTAAACAGAGTGAGGCACTTTAAACTGCTAGACTGAGGAAGTTTGAGAGACTCTGTTCTTGGACAGTCCTGCGTGTATGAACATCAGAAAGCCCTGCACTGTAATTAAAAGGTTCTTCAGAGGTTCTTTAGTAATGATGTACTGCATACAGAACCACAGCAACTCAGACAATTCAGATGCCTTTTTGGTGCCTAAAGATGCTACAGCTGCCTCCACCAGATCATTATTATTATTGTTATTATTATTTTATGATGTTGTCTACACGAAATAGCATATCGCTGCTGTCGGGACAAAACCTCATACAGTATGTCCATTTTTGTTGATTTTGAGTTTTTGTCATAATTTGAAAACGCCTGTTGTTCTTTACATTGTGTGTAAATTTGATGATGAATGGACAGACAGAAACAACCCAAAATGATTTGGAAATAATTCTGGTTCCATTGACTTACATTAAAAGTAAAGTAGGTTTTTTCCCTCTCCTGTAAAGTTACCAGTTTGGAGATACGAGGTTTTGTTCCCACAACAGCGATAATTTCATTTTAAAAATAGAATATCAAAACAAAAAAAGAACAACAACAAAAAAAAGTTCTTTTTGGCTCTGTATACAGCCGCGTGCAAAAGTTTGAACACCCCTGGTCAAATGAACTGTTTGTTGATTTCATGAGTGGGAATAAGTGAAAACGTCCTAAACAGAGAACTTTCATTCAGAGAATGTTTCATTCACTATATTGAAAGCTTTTAGAAAACATCATTCAGTTATTAAAGTGGTAATAAACTGTATTCATTTATTTATGGCCATTTCTTTATAAGTTATGTATATGTACGCCGTCACCGCGCGCTTTGGCCACGTGCACATGCGCGCGGTGCCAGAGACCTTCAGGGGGAAACGGATCCGATAACCGAGGCGCAGAGCAGCTTCACCCCCTTTAAGATGTTAAGGGCGCGCGATAAACAGGGGTCATGTCACAGCGGACGCTTCAAAACTGTTCAGATTCTGAAAGGACAGTTAGGAGATTAAGGGTCAGTTAAAAAAACATGAAATTATAACCCTGCTCAAAAACAGACCACCAGAAACCATCAGGATTAAAACCTAATGGGATTTGGCTTAATGGTTTGCAATAGAGACCACTAGTGTCCTGTAGAACACCTTTAGATCCCATTAAGAGACCATCAAATGCATTTAGAATCAGCCACTGGTCGCCTGTTAAACCATCCTTCACACTAATATCAACCAATTTAAAAGCCAAAACACCATCAGGAACCAACAGAAACACTTAATGGTTTTATGGCTTTTTCAGCAGAGAAGTATTAAGTATGAAATTATGACGTAGATCGTTTAACAGATAAGCTGCCAATAGGTTCTGCTTTATATATAAATATAATAAGGTTTATATTAAAAGGATATGGAGTCTTAATGACGCTTTAATGAAACAGGCGTTTGTGTATAAAACCGATGGCCGGTCCATTCTCCACTGCCCATAACGTATCCATGCGTAAAAGCGCGTCCACCCCGCTGTGCCGCACCTTTACGCACAACAAACAAAGATGTGGAAATAAGTCATAACTCTGCAGAAATGCCAAGGGGCAGCCTGGATTCGTCCTTTAGACGTCCCCAAATCGTGGCACGGACACTATTTTTACCGCTCATGGCGCTGGACCTCGACCCCTGCCCTCGGAAATTTATTCGCGCTCGGCTCCCGGTTCGACGCGCCCGCGCCTCCGTCAGCGCTGCGCTCTCGCGAGACCACGTGGGGCTTTTATTAGGCGCGCACAGCGGCACGGTTCGTCCATTTGGAGGGTGCTGGGCATCTGGGAGGCCTCTGCTGGATCCGTGCGTAAAAGTCTACAGGAACCATGGCTGCTGAAGGGGTGGTGAGCTTTCTGAAGGATTTTCTGGCCGGCGGTGTCGCCGCTGCCATCTCCAAAACGGCCGTAGCGCCCATTGAGAGAGTCAAGCTGTTGCTCCAGGTAGGACAGAGTTGGGTGTTTCCTTGATTTTTTACTCGAATTAGCCCTCAGTAATAGAGTCAAATGTGCGCTTTCTTTTGCATCCAATCTGGACTCCTTATAGTTTTCCTTGAAAGATGGTCTTCCTTTCTGTTTTTTATCCAGTATTGGTGTCTGTTAGCTCTTATAATAGCCAAGCTGTAGGAGGTCAAGCTGCAAGGAAGCCTGACTAAACCTTTCCCTTCTATCTTTTGCAAAATTGCATTTTTTGTTAGTCCCTAATTTGTCCTACTTGCGACAGGTGAGCTATACTGAGGCAGTCCTTAGGCAAAATGCAGTTATCTATGTGAAAAGCTTCAGCATAAACTCATGAGCGACCCTCAGATTATGCAGAACAGAAGGTGGTGGAGATTTTGAAGATTCTGCGTCAAATTCCGAGTTTAACTCAAGCTAAACTAGAATGATACTCCGGATCAGTTTACTGAAGGTATATGTAAATAATTCAGCGATATTTTAAACACTATATGTTTTAAAATGTTATACTTATTCTCATTTATTTCCATTCTTATTTTGCCTTCAGTGAGTTCTTAACAAGCAGTCATGTGTGTTCAGACCAGCGGAAAACGTGTTTAGAGCTAAAAATAGCAAGGGGTTTGCAACCCAATACTTGCACCCTGCCCACCCCCCAACCCCCAGCCCCTACTTACCCCATCCCAGCACACCCCGGCTCGTGCAGGAGGCAGATCTAATTCTTGGAATGAGAAAGGCCAACAGAGTTGAGAGCTGATCCTTGGTTTGAAAAGGGTAACAGTGTTATTACTGCAGCAGAACTGAATTAAGTCAGACAAACAAACATGCGACTCCAAGACAGGCCTTAAATGCAAAACCAGAGGTTTGAGGAGTCACAGATATGCGGCCGACCCGCAGCTAACAGACCCAATCCAGCTAATTAACATCTTCTGAAAGGTCCAGTTCTACTGCAGCCGTTTAGCTGGAGCAGGTGAAGCAGATCTGGGTTTGAACTAAACCCTGCAGCATGGTGGATCTCCAGGATGGAGGGTTGGTGACAACTGGGATAGACATTTGATATCCAATAGCAAATGCAGGGATGTGCATTGAGCATAAGCTGCTGAACTGAATACTGTATAATATCATAAACTTTTAGTCATAGCATTTACATAGCAGCTATTACAAGCCCAGCAAAAGACTTGTAATAAATGCCCGTTTAATGGGTAGCTGAGAAAATAAAAAAAAAAAACACTATTAAAATAAACTGAAATAGCACAAAATAAAAAACATAAAATGGGAACAAAGTACATTAATTACAAGGTAATAATAAAGTAACTCTACACATACAGAGATCTGTATTCCACCTTTGGGCAACTCTTAACACCAACTATTCTGCCGCTGTAGGTCCAGCATGCCAGCAAGCAGATCACGGCCGACATGCAGTACAAAGGCATCATCGACTGCACACTGAGGATCCCCAAAGAGCAGGGCTTCCTATCCTTCTGGAGAGGCAACCTGGCCAACGTCATCAGGTACTTCCCAACGCAGGCCCTCAACTTTGCCTTCAAGGACAAGTATAAGAAGGTCTTCCTCGGTGGAGTGGACAAGAATAAGCAGTTCTGGCGCTACTTTGCCGGTAACCTGGCCTCCGGTGGTGCTGCCGGTGCCACTTCCCTGTGCTTCGTCTACCCTCTGGACTTCGCCAGGACCAGGCTAGCTGCCGACATTGGTAAAGGGGCTGCAGAAAGAGAGTTCACCGGCCTTGGCAACTGCCTCGCAAAGATCTTCAAGTCAGACGGTATTAGGGGTCTGTACCTCGGCTTCAACGTGTCCGTCCAGGGTATCATCATCTACAGAGCCGCTTACTTCGGTATCTATGACACAGCTAAAGGTAAGCGGCGAAGATGCCAATGGAAAATCTACACAGCTGTTTGTGTCCGATCCCACGGTACCACCAGATGGTCCACAATTTTGCTCTATAGTGTTGGACACAGCAAGAATGTGGAACGTCTAGTGGTGCCTGAGGGGTGGACTGGGGACCACTACACATTAGGGTGTACAGTCCCTTTGTAAATAAGTTAGTGAACAAATAAACAATAAAGTTTAACAGTGGTTATGGACACTGTCTTCCAGGCATGCTCCCAGATCCCAAGAACACACACATCGTCGTCAGCTGGATGATCGCCCAGACTGTAACTGCTGTTGCTGGTCTCATCTCCTACCCCTTCGACACTGTCAGACGTCGTATGATGATGCAGTCAGGACGCAAAGGAGGTGAGCTTAGGCTTTTTACAGTATACGGCTGGTTTTCAGCCCTTGTCCCGGAGTACCCTTGCCCTGCAACTTGGGCACTCTAGGACAACGGTTGTCAAACATTACAATGGGCTTTTAACTCAGTGGTTCCCAATCCTGGTTCTGGAGTACTGGTGCCAAGCATATTTTGGTGTTTTCCCTGCTTGGACATACTCACTTCAACTCCGAAAGCAGTTGCTAATTAGCCGATTAGTTGCATCATTTACATTAATGGCATTTGACTTACAATTTTGATCATTTTACACAGGTAGCTGAAGGTAGTGTTAGGAGTCTTGCCCAAGGACTCTTATTGGTATAGTGTAGGGCGCTTGCCCAGCCAGGGATTGAACTCCAGTCTACAGCGTAGACGGCAGAGGTGTTACCCACTACGCTCTACTAACCATATCAGGGTCTATGACCATGACTGGGTACCACCGCACTAAATGCACTGCACATATGCAGTTACACATTAAGCATGACATTTCGAAGTAAATGTTTGTCTTTCATCCAACAGCCGACATCATGTACAAGGGCACACTCGACTGTTGGAAGAGGATCACCAAGGACGAGGGTCCAAGAGCCTTCTTCAAGGGTGCCTGGTCGAACGTGCTCAGGGGCATGGGCGGTGCCTTTGTGCTCGTCCTCTACGATGAGATCAAGAAGTACACATAAACATTCTCTGTCCAAACCCATCCCACCGAAGGAGACCCTTGACGCCGTGTTTTGTCTTAATCCTGTAGCGTGAAACCACCACTCGGCGGAAGGAACGGGGGTAGATGCGCGTCCCACTTAAGAGAACTAGCCCAGATGTGGCGCATGTGTGAATGTTGGAGGGAGCGAGAGTAAACGGCCACTTCATCACCCACTCCTAAACCCTTGTAAATATATTTAACTCTAGCCACTGCATATCAGATTACAATTATCCCGTCGGTCCGATTACTCTCGGTACGGAAAGATTTTTTTTATTTTTTGTTCCATTTAGAAACCCCATGACTAGCGCGAGCGTGGAAGCGGCCGTACACTGGAAGGTCGACTATTCTTGTGGCATTGTCCACCTTATATGTGTTCTTTTAATAAAAATAAAAAAAAAGAAATAACACTTCAGTTTGTTTTCCTTATTTAACTCAAACAATTTAGCATGGCTGTACCAGGACAAGACACTGATCGGAATCAGTCACAAAAAAATAGCAGTGATCAGGTAACACGTACGGTGTCTTAAGTTTACTTCTTTAGTTTTGCACTGGGGCTAGGAGGCTCATGTAGATAACAAAGGTTCAACTCTAAGGCCAATTCCAGTTCTCTTAACAGTCAAGTTGGCCTTTGTCTGATTTTCTTAAACACCCAAAGCTCACACTGTGGAAGCCAAGTGAACACCTGAGACACACCAGCACATTTCCAGTGCTTTCTATGAACCAAATTTGCAATAAAAATAAGATTTGCTATTTGAAAGGCCAAAGTGACTTTTTAAATTCTTAAAAACAAAATATCAGTTACTTACATAACATGAACAAACTTACATATGGCATGTTTTTCTCCAAATTCTCAGGCACTATTTTCCTTTATTTGCAGTGTTTTAACATATTGGGGAAAAACAAGACATGCAATATAAAATGTGGCATTACTTTTGCTTTTCGTTTTTATGCAATCAAACAGTAAATGTGCATTAAAATGAGCAGACGTGTTCTCTGTAGAGGATGTGTTCACTTTTCACTTCAAATCAACAAAATGTAATATGACCAGGGGCGCCCAAACTTCTGCATACAACTGTAATAATCACAGACCTTGATCACAGACTTGCTTATGTGGTTTCAGACACTGTATGACATACATTTCTATAAACATGGACAAAAAACAGACAAACTTAAGGCTTTACGATGGCAGCTTCTACTGCTGTAGCTGTGTGGTTTACTTCTGGCCTGTTAGGGGGGAATCCCCCTTAAGAGCAATATCCATTTACTGTAAAGCTAAACTGTATCTATGATTGAGTTTATCATGTAGAAGATGAAGTATAAACTCAGACACAATTAGAGAAAATAAACAGGAAAGGCATGCAGTTTTGCTTTTATAGAATTTTTGTATACATTACCTAAATCAGGGCAAGTTGCCCCTTACCTGGGATAAACTCCCCTCTGCTGAATCTTATTTTACAGAATGTATAATTTATGCCATACAATTCATAAATAGTGATATTAATCAAAGCACAACACTAATATATATGTGTGTATATATATATATATATATATATATATATATATATATATACACTTTTTTTTTTTAAATAAACGAGGTCTCAGTTTATGTCTCAATGATTCCACTTAAAAATATAACAAATGGCAGAAAAATAGAAACATGTCATTTTGTTCATTATTTAAGCAGTTATTGTGATTATATAACTTACCTGAACAGATGTGGCGCAGCTGTAAAACTCAAAATGTATATATATACATTTTTGGTTCAGATTGCTTCATCCTAACGGGAGTTACAGCAGAATATTCAGGGCCTCTTTCGAATGAATCTCCCTGTATATATATATATATATGTGTATATATATATATATATATATATATATATATAAAATAAAATACAGTTTTTATGTGATCATTACATTTCTTGCGACACCTATGTGATACGATTGCAAAAGTGATTGCCCCTTAAACATAACGACGGGTTGTGCTTCCAAGTGCTCCTATAACTGGACTTCGGTCTTTCACATTGTTTTGGAAGAATTCTGGTCCATTTGAGGGTTTTTGAGCATTAAGGTCCTGCCACAGCATCTCAATGGATTTCAAGTTCTGTGTTCACTCAGGTTGACTTTTTGTTTGAAGTTCTTAAACGACCAAGTACAACAATAGAAGAACTCAGGAGGGGGCAAATACTTTTCCACAGTGCTGTACAAAGTAGGAGCTTTAGAATATTACTTTAAAAGAACCAACACTCTTAAAAAAGACGGCTCTTCAAGGATTCTTTAGTAAAGAAACTGGTTCTATATGAAACCATGAACACTCAAAAAACACTCTGTATGATTACAGGGTTCTTTGCATTGTGAAATGCTTCTTCAGATTGATGGAGAATGCGTTGTATATGGTTCTATATAGAACCTTTTTGAAAAGGGTTCTATATAGCACCGAATAGGGTTCTTCTATCATTACAGACTTGACATTGTAACAAGAGAAAAACCCTTTTTGGTGCTATATAGAACCATCTACAGCACATTCTCCATCAATCTGAAGAACCATTTCACCATGCAAAGAAACATTTAATTGGTTCTTGGAGTGTTCATGGTTCTATTTAGAACCAGTTTCTTTACTACAGAACCCTTGAAAAGCCATCTTTTTTCTTAAGTAATATTCTAAAGCTCCTACTTACAGAAGTCCAGAGAGGCTATGAGCTGTTGTCATAATTTTCTGGATCGTTTTCTTGAGATAATGAGTTAATTAACTTGTTATCTCAAGAAAACAACTTTGTTATCTTGAGATCACAAGAAAATTAACTTCTTTTCTCAAAAAAACAACTTTGTTATCTTGAGATCACAAGAAAATTAACTCGCTTTCTCAAGAAAACAACTTTGGTATCTTGAGATCACAAGAAAATTAACTCGCTTTCTCAAGAAAACAACTTTGGTATCTTGAGATCACAAGAAAATTAACTCGCTTTCTCAAGAAAACAACTTTGTTATCTTGAGATCACAAGATAATTAACTCCATAATTAAATCTAGAATATTATATCACCTCTTGGCCTCTCTGGACCTCTGTACCTACTACATACAGTGCTAAGGAAAAGTATTTGCTCCCTCCTGAGTCCATTTTCTTTGCTAAAGAACCCTAAAGAACCCTTTTTTGGTAGTGAAGCAGAACCTGTAGAGCTGATCTTGAACTAAATCACACTGCCAGTGAGGACAGTTCAATTATAAATCATTAGAACTAGGCCTGACATGACTTTGGACACCAGGCAACATAACAACATCCCCAATGTTATTTTTAATCACCCGAACGTTATTTAGAGCCGTCATCATGAAGGAGCCCCTGCTTCAGGAATACTAATGGATCCCTGACCTAATGTGGGTCAAACAATGCAATAAAACACAGTGACTGACGAGTCACTCTCACTGCATGCCAGCAATAACAGCTTCGGTCTGTCTGCAAGCTAACGAGAGTCAAAAGGGTCAGCGTGGTCAGCATTGTCAGCATGGACTGGAATGCAAATGGCACTGTAGTGACCGTGGATGTGCGTATGTGGCATTCAAGCGCTGCACAACTGTTTCAAGACTTTTATTTCAATACCAAAACAAAAACAGATTGACAATATCAAATATATAATTTGTCTTTAAACTTCATTATCATTCTTTCACCAGACAGACAAACTGCTCTAATAACAGTCAACACCAAACGCTAGCTGTTTAACTCTGTCATTGGTGGATTATTACTTTCAATCACACAGACATTAAGCATAAAGGCTGCTTAGTGAGCTGCACACAGACAGGCACGGACAGAGAGGAATGTCTTCTAAACATCTTTCAGCAGCTATAACTACATTTGCTGACATACAGTCCACACTCCTGGTCAGATTTTGTTGATTTTCTCACAAGAAACGAAAATACGGTATATTTTCTGTTAATTTCAGTGCACAACTGTTTTTAGAGTGTAACATAGTGGGAAAGAATCAAACCACTAAATATAAAATGTGCCATATGTTATATTTAATGCTTTATTTCTTTCCTAATATGTTCCACTCAGCAAATAAACAGTTGTGCACTGAAATTTCCAGAAAATATACCGTATTTGCAGCACTTTATGTTCTTTTTCCCAATATTAAATTTAGCAAATAAAGAGTAATTGTGTATTAAAATGTGCCTCTGTAGAGGATGTGTTCACTTATTTTTACTTAGGGAATCACAGAACATGTCATTTGACCAGGGGCACTCAGATGTTTGCATATGACTGTATTTCCTAAAGCTATTGAGTGCAATATACAGTGCTTCTATAGCTGCAGTATGAAGATTAAGGACGCCAAAACGAGTGGTCACAATTCTGTGGGATACAGTTGCATGCAAACGTTTGAACAACCCAGTCAATCTGGCTTTGTTGCTCATCCAAGTGAAAATAAGTGAACACATACTTGACAGAGAACACACTTAAATAACTTTATTCTACAAATTTTAGCACACGATTTCTATATATTTGCAAAGTCTAACATATTGAGAAAAATAAAACAAAATATAAAGTACTATAACTATATTTGACCACACTGAATGTTTTATTTTTCCCCCAATATGTTAAATTCAGCAAATACACAGTAATCATGCTCTAAAACGTGCAGAAGTGTGTTCTCTGTGGAGGACAGGTTCACTTATCTTCACTTAGAAATTCAACAAAACAGGTCATTCGACCAAGGGTGCCCAAACTTTTGCATACCACTGTATCTACGCTGCCTTAGCCACAGCTGACTCACCTCATTAGCTGATTGTCAAGTCCTTCAATGCGTGTAAGAGCAGGAAAACCATAACCTGCACAGCCTAGGACTGGAACTGAGAACTGCTCATATAGATTATCACTCGCGTTACACTGTGTGTCAATGGGAGAAGCTGTTTTTATCTACCTTCAGGCCAAACCTGCTGGAAAGCAATGGAAGTTCTAGCTCATGTTTAAACCAGTTTATTAAAACTAGCAGACAAGAGTCTAGTACCTGCATGTTGAAGTCACTTGAGGAACATCATGGCATCATTATTATTATTATTATTATTACTGTAGCAGAGTGAAGAGAGCATTTAAAGTGGTTCTCACTCCACCATCTACCATCTCACAATGACTACTCGTGAGGCTGGCTTGGGAAACCAGGCCCCGCTTAAGGAATCTGGAAATGTACAGCTAATGGTGGGGACACAGACTAAGAACTGTATCCGGTTACTAAGGTTAAAGGTCAGAGTTCAAGTTAATATTGAGGTTCAGGCCTCAAGATGAGACCTGAGATGGAATTTTAGAAGCTGAATTTCTGCTTACGCAAAATATTTAAAAACTACGATGGTTTGTGGGTAATTTTACAGGGTGAAGTGACAAGAAAGGGGGTTAACTTTAAGGAATAAAGAGGATCTTTTCAAGATTTCTGCATAACGTGCGTGAGGTGTAAACAGAGTGATTCAGAGTGGTTTGGTGTGAAATGGTTCAGATGTCTTTACAGTGGTGGTGATAGGAACCAGGGGTCGCCATGACTACAACACAAATATAGACATTTTATTTACTATCCAGAACCACCAGTGAACCTACACGAGTCTTCTGAGGTTTTGTATGTATTGTTGATGATGGGAAAATAGTGGAAAATCTGGAAAAAAGGGTTTCTTTAAGGACTATTTTGCCTCTTTACCATGAATAGATTGGAAAAAAAAAACTGTTTCATATTGTAAAACAATGTCTCAGGCAGGTCTCATAACCATTTCATGTAATAACCTCCTGTGAGGGAGCTTTTAGAGGTGGACGTCTGGTTCCTATCACCACCACTGTGAACAGTTTTGACTGGGTAAGTTTATCTAGAACAGAGCGTTTCACACCAAACCACTCTGAATGACTCTGTTTACATCTTAATTGCTTAATTATGAAGAAGCTTTAAGAATCAGTGCAATTTAACCTTAAGGACTGGGTGTTAGGTTGGCATCAGATTCGGAGTTTAGGCACTGCCAGCAAAGGAGTTAAGCTTAACAGCGAGGTAAGTGATCATAACCAGGATTTGGCTTTTTCCGTTTTCTAACTTGGCTAAAATTAATAAGTTTTCTCTTGTACTCAAAGCAACCAGTGCCAAAAAAGATGAACAGACAGTGGACAGTGGAACGTGGAGTGCCCTATCTAGAACATTCACTTGCCCATCAGAGTCCTTCAGGTGCTGTACTGCAGAAAATGTACTAGTCGTTTCCAGAGAGTGAAGGAAAGGGTACCTGGGACTGGGACAAGTCTAGGCTAGGCTAGGAGTTTATAGGCTGTGGTTCTGGATCAGGACCAGGCGGGTCGTGGGGCTGTGGTTCTGCTAGGTTTCGCTGTTTCGGGCCTGGTTCTGAGAGGACTGGTTGTACTGCAGGGTCTGGATCCCCTCCCTGTAGAGAAAACAAAATGCCAGACCAGTGATTCTGTTCCTGCACACAATTAAAAATGGTTCTTTAGTAAAGGAAATGGTTCTATACGGAACCATGAATACTCAAAGAACCCTTTGAATGATTGAAGTGGTCTTTGTATGGTGAAATGGTTCTTCAGAATGATGGAGAACGTGATTTATATGGAACCTTTTTGAAAAGGGTTCTATGTAGCACCAAAAAGGGTTCTTTTGTTGTTACAAGCTTGACACTGTCACAATAAAAGAACGCTTTCTGGTGCTACATAGAAAAGACATTTTCAAAAAGGGTCCACATAGAACCATATACAACACATTCTCAATCAATTTAAAGAACCTTTTAATGGTGCAAAGACCTCTTTAATTATGTCTATATAGAACCATTTTCTTTACTAAAGAACCCTTGAAGCACCATCATTTTTGAGAGTGTAGTTAATCGAAAGTCAAACGCTTTTATCAAATATAGCGTAATCGTTCTATTAGCTAGTTATTGTCATTAAGTTTACTACATTTTGGCCCTACTAGTCAGTATTTCGCTGCTTTTGGAATGAAACCTCGTATCTCCAAAAAGGCAACTTTACAGCATAAGAAAAAACAAACATTCTTAACTTTTAATGGACATAAATGGAAAAATATTTTCCCCCCCCCAAGTAATTTTGGACCATTTGGTCCGTTCATCATGAGTTTTTGACACAACATTAAGGGCAACTGCCTTTTTCAAATTATGTCAAAAAATTAAAAACGACAAAAATGGAGACACAAGGTTTTGTCCCAACAGCAACGACATGCACATGTGCATCGTTACTATGGCAACCAATGTGGATTTAAGAGCAAATGCACCCACAGTCTGACCATCCAAATCAGATTTGGCTACTTGAAATCTGAACAGTTGGGCTGAAAAGTCAGATATAAAAACAAAAGCGACTGAACAAAGCCAATATGTGCTTTTAACAGGGCTGAGTGTTGTTCAAATTTTCGATAATACCAATATTCTGTGGGTGTGGCTTAAACTACAAATGAGCGTGAGGTGCTGGAACTGAGCAAATTTACAGCTATGGATTTAGGACTAATCAAGGAACACTAACGTTAATAACATGCAAACAGAAAGTCATTTAGACAACCAATCAGCAGTCTAGAATTTGGAACAAGCATGTTTATTGGTTCTCTGACACTGGCTGTGTTTACATGCAAAGACTTTTGCCAATCAGATCGAAAACATTACGATTACAGATGAAGACTGAGGTGTTTTTATTCTCAGTCTACTCAACAATCTGATGAAAATCTCCGTTTACCTGCTCACTACAAGTAATCAGATCGAAAATTACACGTATGCTTAGAGAACCGCTTAGTGTAAACGTTACCATGACAACCAGCATCACGTGAGTCCAGTCAGAGTGAGATGAGCAGCAGTGAGCAGTGCTTGTGTTTTTAACTGCTTTAAAATGATGTCAGACTCAGGAAAACGTCCTTCACATGTCCTTATTAAAGAAGGCCGAGAGGAAGACGTCGTGTTCTGAGACACATAAGCTGGACGTCCGTCCCACCGCCGTCTTTTAAAGATCAGAGCATAAACTTCGTCTCCTCTGCAGACCAGTTTCTGCTCCGCCATGTTGAACGGTATAAACTTTCACTATGACGCAACGAACATTATCAGAACGGACTTAAACTTTGCGATAGGGAATGTAATCAGATACAGGCGTTTACACGGATATTATTCTTCTATTTAACGGATTATTTATAGGATTACCCACCTCGATCAGTCGGATAGAAACTGTATTCTGAATGGCCTCAATCAGACTAGACTATTCCGACTGAGGTGTATACATGGACGTATTCTATTCCAATTGAGCTATTAGTCAGATTATTGATAGATTATTAAGATATTATTAGGCTCTTTATCAATAGTTTAAAAAAACAGTCAAACCATTATGCAGGCAAAACCTGCTCTTCATGCCAAGGAGGACACTTTGATGAACATGAAGCTGAGTGAAGCGCTTTATGCTAACAAAACTTTCCACCCAAGTGAAAAGCAACTGTGAGAAAACTCAGGTATCAGAAGGCTGGGTGTCCCCTCACTATCGAATGACAGTGCACCTAAAGGATAAGATATCTCTGCTGAGGATGAGGTGAGAATTCAGAGGGGCAGGTGTGTGTGTACCTGAAGTGGGTCTCATAAGTGGGGTAGGTATTCCGAGGTATCCGGCCTGGCGCTGGTAGTCTGCTAGCTGCTCTGCTCGGGTCATTCCTGGAGTGGGCTTCACTGACTCCAGGCGCTTCAGGAAGGCCTACCATACCATACATAAAGAGAAACACAGAGAGAGAACCAAATTACCTTTACTTACGACGATTCTTACTTAAACACCCTGAAGGATGCGTCTTTATTCACACGAGTCTCCTATTTTTATATACTGGGCTAAACCACTTCAAATCACCAGATTCCATAAAATATTCCTGACCGACCAACTCAGACCAACAGACAGTGTGCAAAATGATCTCGTTTTTGAGTTGTAGAGGTTTTAAAAGTGGGCATAACCTTAATTTTTGCCTTAAAGGGCCCATTTTAATAACGTGTTTTTCTGCGTCACATGACAGTCATAATTCATTTTACATGACCTTTTACTCCTTAGAATTAAACAGGTTGGTTTTGTTACTGTACCTTTAAGAAATATATGTAAATGAGCTCTGTTCTCATTAGCTGTCTTGTATTGTGCCTCATTCACACAGCAGTCCATCCAGAAACACTCCATATAACTTCAGTGTGAATGGGCGGAGCTAAACCACTGGCTGTATTCAGTTGACTGGAGGCTGAATTAGGTGGTAAATGACATCAGGAAACCCATCAATTCAAAACAGTCAGGTTTTGCAGCTTAGTTTACATATATGGGGGGCAGTCGTGGGTTGGAGGTTAGGGAACCAGCCTTGTGACCGGAAGACCAGTTCGATCTGACAGTACGCGACTAAAGTGCCCGTGAGCAAGACACTAAACAAAAAATAATCCTCAGATTTACAGCAAGCCATTATTGCTGTAAGGATGAAGCAGATCTGAGATCAGCGGGTCTTTGGTGATTTCAATGCACCGGCCCTTTTCACTTTTTGTGGCAGGAGCTGTTTTTAGCATCGTTTTCATGCAGCATAAATACAGGAGTGGACTGAATATTTATTTTCCGAAGGTGCCCAGAGAACTTACATTACGCAGCCTGAACTTAATGAGGCGAACAGGCTACTGGTCACTCATGACCATTTAAGGGGCTAACACAACAGAGTTCAGTCGAGAGTTCCCATGGTGCCCTGCTGTGACGCACTTGCTGGTCAGTTTAACCCCTCTGATACAAAACACTGCCCCTATCATTCCCAGGCCTTCAGGACTTCAGAGGTCAGCAGGTGTCAACAGACACTCTCTTTATAGCCTGGGCCAAAGCCATGACCCTGGCCTTATAGTGGGCAGTCACGAAAGATCAACTGGACCGATTTCCAACACTGCAATTAACCATAACATCTTATTATTCACTGTTTACTCTCACCAAACGCTAAATTTAATAATAATCTTCATAGCTTGAGAGTCTTTACTTTCTGAGACCTGCTGTAGTAAAACTGCAACGGTTGTTTAAGGGACTCTCTTTATGTCTCTGTCTGACTTAAACTAAAACTACATCTCCCAACAGTTCACACTCTAAACTGTATCATAGCATTGTGGTTAAATGGTATAATCTGAATTTAATAATGCGGCAAAATTAAATGGGCGGATGGTGTATGGACGGGTGGGCGGATGGTGTATGGACGGGTGGGCGGATGGTGTATGGACGGGTGGGCGGGTGTATGGATGGTGTATGGATGGATGGAGGAGTGGATGGGTGGGTGGATGGGTGGGTTGATGGTGTATGGGTGGATGGAGGGGTGGATGGAGGTGTGGATGGGTGGGTGGATGGGCAGATGGGTGGGTGAGTGTATGGATGGGTGGGCGAGTGTATGGATGGGTGGATGGATGGTGTATGGATGGATGGAGGAGCGGATGGGTGGGTGGATGGGCGGATGGGTGGGCGAGTGTATGGTCGGACGGGTGGGCGAGTGTATGGACGGACGGGTGGGCTGGTGTATGGACGGGTGGGCGAGTGTATAGACGGGTGGGCGAGTGTATGGACGGGTGGGCGGGTGTACGGACGGACGGGTGGGCGAGTGTATAGACGGGTGGGCGAGTGTATGGACGGGTGGGCGGGTGTACGGACGGACGGGTGGGCGAGTGTATGGACGGACGGGTGGGCGGGTGTATGGACGGGTGGGCGAGTGTATAGACGGGTGGGCGAGTGTATGGACGGGTGGGCAGGTGTACGGATGGACGGGTGGGCGAGTGTATGGACGGACGGGTGGGCGAGTGTATGGACGGACGGGTGGGCGGGTGTATGGATGGGTGGGCGAGTGTATGGACGGGTGGGCGGGTGTACGGACGGACGGGTGGGCGAGTGTATAGACGGGTGGGGGAGCGTATGGACGGGTGGGCGAGTGTATGGACGGGTGGGCGAGTGTATGGACGGGTGGGCGGGTGTACGGACGGACGGGTGGGCGAGTGTACGGACGGACGGGTGGGTGAGTGTATGGACGGACGGGTGGGCGGGTGTATGGACGGGTGGGCGAGTGTATGGACGGGTGGGCGGGTGTACGGACGGACGGGTGGGCGAGTGTATGGATGGACGGGTGGGCGAGTGTATGGACGGACGGGTGGGCGGGTGTATGGACGGGTGGGCGAGTGTATGGATGGATAAGAAGAATCACAAGGAGAAAAATTTGTAACATTTAAAACCTTTAAAATGATCAGACTTTTTCTCAAATCCAGCCCAAAAAAATCAAAAGCATTATGTTTTTTATATCAGTGTTTGGGCCTCTGAGGGCTAAACTGAAGCAGGAGCAGCACAACGTTTATTCCCCATTCATCAGGAATGGGCGGGGCTAAACTGCTGCAGGCCGCTACGAGATCATAGGCCTGTGTTCCAGCGGCTGTACCAAATGGCAGAACAGAGTGTAAGCAAGTTTAGTGTGACCCATTGAAGGTATAAATAACCAGAGGCTTGGGATCAGAATGTCACCAGCAGTCATGCCTCCTGGAGACGGCGCGAGAAGTGCTTTGGAAACCCTACAGTAAGCAGAAAGACACAGAATAGCATCAGTGGAAATAGAGCAAGGGTGAAGGAGCTGCCACCAAGACTGGGGGAACTCAGGAAGCCTTCAATGGGATCCTGATCCAGCAACTCACCACAGTGTCACTATGTAATAAAGCAACAGAACAGCAGTCTGGAAACACTTGTACAAATGGGCATACGTTCACAATGACCATGGAACTGGTCAAACACTTATATATTACATAATATTTTAAAAAATAAAATTAAGGCATTTTCAACCACTATTTCAAATTTAAACAAATGATGGAACCAAAAACTGACAAGACAGAGCTGTGAGGGCTTAGCCTACCTGACAGTGCAGAGTGACGACGCTTAGCCTACCTGACAGTGCAGAGTGACGACGCTTAGCCTACCTGACAGTGCAGAGTGACGACGCTTAGCCTACCTGATAGTGTTAAGTCACAACGCTTAGCCTACCTGATAGTGCAGAGTGACGACGCTTAGCCTACCTGACAGTGCAGAGTGACGATGCTAGCCTACCTGACAGTGCAGAGTGACGACGCTTAGCCTACCTGATAGTGCAGAGTGACGACGCTTAGCCTACCTGATAGTGTTAAGTCACGACGCTTAGCCTACCTGACAGTGCAGAGTGACGACGCTTAGCCTACCTGACAGTGCAGAGTGACGACGCTTAGCCTACCTGACAGGGCAGAGTGACGACGCTTAGCCTACCTGACAGGGCAGAGTGACGACGCTTAGCCTACCTGACAGTGCAGAGTGACGACGCTTAGCCTACCTGACAGTGCAGAGTGACGACGCTTAGCCTACCTGACAGGGCAGAGTGACGACGCTTAGCCTACCTGACAGTGCAGAGTGACGACGCTTAGCCTACCTGATAGTGCAGAGTGACAACGCTAGCCCACGTGATAGTGCAGAGTGACAACGCTTAGCCCACCTGATAGTGCAGAGTGACAACGCTTAGCCTACCTGATAGTGCAGAGTGACAACGCTAGCCCACGTGATAGTGCAGAGTGACAACGCTAGCCTACCTGATAGTGCAGAGTGACAACGCTAGCCCACCTGATAGTGCAGAGTGACAACGCTTAGCCCACCTGATAGTGCAGAGTGACAACGCTAGCCCACGTGATAGTGCAGAGTGACAACGCTAGCCCACGTGATAGTGCAGAGTGACAACGCTAGCCTACCTGATAGTGCAGTGACAACGCTAGCCCACGTGATAGTGCAGAGTGACAACGCTTAGCCTACCTGATAGTGCAGAGTGACAACGCTAGCCCACGTGATAGTGCAGAGTGACAACGCTTAGCCTACCTGATAGTGTTAAGTCACAATGCTTAGGCTAGCTGATAGTGTTAAGTCACAATGCTTAGACTAGCTGATAGTGCTAAGTAACGGTGCTAAGTGACAATGCTACGTGATAGTGCTATGCCTAGGTGTTAGTGCTAACAGCTAATGCTTAGCTAAGCTGATAGTGTTAAAAACCAGTACTGATAGTGCTTAACCTAGTAAGCACTAGGCTAGTAGCTCAGCCTGGTGTTTACAGTAGCCTTAACTTCCAGTTACCGTACTAAGTGACGGTGCTCAGCCTGGTTAACAGTGCTGAGTACTAACATTAGCAATGCAGGCTTGTGTTCTACACACGGTCAGTTATTATGTTTGACCACTGCAAGCACTGAAAATGCAGTGCAGGATAAAACTAATTGTATATATGCTACTGAGAACCGTATAGATTAATGATTAACAATGAGAACCCTGTTTGTCAGGATATGAGGAGGTTGTGTCCACTGTAGGTTCATTTACTGGACTTAGAACCAGAAACACTGAGGCAAAACTGGAGAGAGAGAGAGAGAGAGGGAGCGAAGGGCTTTGAAAGCAAGGGCGAAAGTGTAAGTGTCTGAGAGTGTGTGAAGGAAGGGGGGTTAAAATGGTCAGAGGGTGGGTCAGGTTACTCCTTGGAACTAAGAATAGAGAGAGAGAGAGAGAGAGAGGGAGAGAGAGGTTACCCAAGACTGAGTACAGTGTGTCCCATTCTCGCACAGCCACCACACTATTACTCAAGAACGACACCACAAGACTCGGAGAACTCTGAGAACTTTAACACCGTTCATAACCTTCACACACCTTTCAGGCTCTCGCTCTGACTGACCACACGGCACTACTTATCCACACGGATCCGCACGGTCTTTTCACTCAGTTTGTTCATGACAACGAGTTACTTTTATTTGTTTTCTTGAGATCCAGAGATATTTATGCCACTATCACAACAAAACAAATGTTATCTCGATAAAACAATGTTTATGTTGCGATAATGATATAAACAACTTGTGATATTGAGAAAACAACATTCGTTTTGCTGTGATACTGACATAAATATCTCGAGAAGAAAATGAAAATAACTTATTATCATGAAAAACAGTTTACTTTTTTATGTACTTTAGATACTTTATATGCTTCATTGATTTTTTATTCATTTAACAGAAATCATGCTGTGCTATTACGCTCATTTTTGCCTTAAAATTTGCTTTATTTGTTCATTTAAATGAACTGCAAAGCATTTTGAGCTGTAGTTTTAGGTATGAAAGATGCTTTAACAACAACAACAACAACAACAACAACAACAATAATAATAATAATAATATGAACATAACAACTAAACAAAATATATTAATATATTACAAATAATACATTTGAACTTAATACCACTACAGCACAAACGCTTCAGCCAATCAGCTTCCTACTCCATCATCTGCAGCAACTCATTTTCGCCCGAATTAGGTCCCTAGAAGTGCACTTAAACTCACAATCAAGCTCTGCCTCTTAAATGGTCACCCTGGAGAAGCAGCAGAGTAGATTAGCCCTGATTGACCCTTTGAATATGATTAAAATTCTTTTTGTTCTATTAATAATGTGCTTCAATTACCCTTCATATTCAAACTCTTTTATACGTTACTCATATATGCCTCCATGAGACGTTTCCCAATTCAAATATGGAGAAGAACTGAGAAGAAAATATTAGATAAAAAAACCTTTTATGTCTCCATGTTTTTGTACCACAACACCTGAAAGAGTATTAAATGACGATCATAAACACCTTTTGGAGACTTGGACGGTTGGGTTCCTGTGGGCCTAAAGAGGTTTCACCTGCAAATATCAATGGATATGAAGATAAATATCAAAATATTACAACTTTTTTCTCAAAATATTACGACTTTTTCCTGAAATATAACAACATTTATTCTCGAAATATTCTGACTCTTTTCGAAATATTCCGATTTTTTTTTAAATTACAACTTTTTTCTCAAAATATTACGACTTCTTTTCTCGAAATATTACGACTTTTTTCCTGAAATATTACAACATTTTTTCTTGAAATATTATGACTTTTTTCTAAATATTCTGATTTTTTTTTTTAATTACGACTTTTTTCTCAAAATATTACGACTTCTTTTCTCTAAATATTACGACTTTTTTTCCTCAAAATATTGTGATTTTATTTTTATTAACAGTGACCCTAAAACACTGTCGTAATATTTTCGTTATCTAAAATCATGGGTATTTAACATTAATATTCAGTATATCTAGAGCAGTTTCCAGTTGCACCAGAGGGGGGCAACAAAGCCCAAAACTCGGAGTCTGAGTTTCAGAGACTGGACTTGCCAACACGAGTTTTGAAAACACGCTCAGCACCAACGTCGTCTTTCCCATCAGAGCTCATGGCTGCTCCTGTGGTTTGTTCACTTTTTTCATCGCTCAGAGCTTCGAACTGACAGCGCTGCTCCTCTGAGCCACTGATGAACGTTTTAACAGGATGGGCTGTTAAACAGTGTCTGCGTCTTTGAGCCACTGGCCAAAATAAAAATGATAACTCTGCTGCAGTTACTTCTTGATGAATTTATTTACGCACCAAAGATTTTCACTCACCATGCACCTGTGTAAATGTGATGTGACAATAAACATGATTTGATTTGATTTAAAACAATACTGTCATAGGTTTACCTGTATATTGTCCAGTTTTGTTTTACTAATTTGCACAATAAAAATATTTCAGATACACTTCTGTAGTTTAAAATGATTCTTATTAAAAAGTGAAAGAACGTCCCAGAAAAGCAAGCAATTGTTCACCGACAAAAGTTTTTAGTTCACTAATTAAAAGTTACTAAAAAGCTTACTTAACCATGTAACATGGTTTTATTTTCCACATACAGCAGTGCTAATACTGCTGTATGTACAAATGAAACCAGGGCTGGAGTTTAAGATGCAAACAAGATGGAATCGATTTCATGGCTGTTTTCGATAAAGCGCCCCAGCCTTATTAAATATATGGCTTTCCAATCTCCTACTGGAACCACTCGCCACGTCACTCTGAAACATATAGACCTAAATCAGGTTTAGATCATCCTCTCTCTGCACATCCTTCATCACAGCTTTACCGCTGTGCCAAATCAGGTCCTTCTGAAATGCACTCATACCAGTCAAGCTCGCTCTCGTCACTGTAGGGAAGCAGAGGAGTGGATTAGCTGTGAATGACTGCACCGCGGGGTGAGGGGGGTGAACACTTTCACTCACAGACTGCCCCCACCTGTCTCTGCCCGTCTGACAGGGTGAATGTGCCTCTCTTCTCAATCTGCACTCAGACACTCACAGAGACAGACATGCACTTCACACAAGACCAGCTCCTGATGACTGAACAGGGGCAAGTTGGTCTGAAGGAGTTGAGTAATATCACAATGGACTTCTCTGAAATTTTCCAGTCACAGTTATTATTATTATTATTATTATTATTATTATTATTATTATAACTACAATAATAATGCTATCCACTAAACCCAGGCAACAGCTGTGGCATTAACCCCCTGATGATATGTTAGTTCTTTACATTGATCCAAAAACACAGCTAAAAATGGTCAAGTGAGGGGTCCCTCTAGTGGACATTAGAGGAACAACACCTCAGTCACTCACACACACTCACTTTTTCTTCAGCCCGGTCTGTTTTGACAGGTGCGAACACGCCGCCCGTACTTGCACAAGTTGTTAACTGACGTGGTCCAGATGCAGCCTTAGCGAAGTATTTCAGTGGATTAGTACATGAGATACATGTTTTTCTTTGGACAGAGACGATAGATTTTTAATTTTATTGACTATTCCTGGTCTCGGGCCAATTTGGCTCATTCAAAAAATGGTATCAAGTTGTATTGAGTATGAGTACAAACAAATGAGCACAGTATCAGTCCAATACATGGTACCAGCATCTGTACCAATGCACCCCTGGAAAAAAATCTTCACCTCCGTTAGCTTGACACTAACACACTCTTACAAAAGATGGTTCTTCAAGCAGCCTATCTGCAACAAGAATGCTAATTTCTGCTAGCAGGAATGTGAGATCTTTCTTTACACACTCTTAAGTTACTTCTTCAAGGGTTCTTTAGTAAAGGAAATGGTTCTATATAGAACCATGAACACTCAAAGAATATAGAAATGCATAGTGAAATGGTTCCTCTGATTGACAGAGAATGTGTTGCATATGATTCCATATAGAACCTTTCTGAAAGGTGTTCTATACAGCAACAAAAAGGGTTCTTTTATTGCTACAATATGAAACTATTTTCAAAAAGAATCTATACAGAAGCATCCACAGCACATTCTCCATCAATCTGAAGAACCCCTAAACCATGCCCTTTAATCAAGCCAAGGGTTCATGGTTTGAATGTTCACGGTTCTATATAAAACCATTTTCTTTACTAAAGAACCCTTGAAGAATCATCTTTTTTAAAAGTGTATAATGAAAAATCTTGTTTTTAGAAGCTGCTAACACTGTGAAACGTTCCACATTAAACGCTGTTATATAATGACTGTTGTGGCGTGTACAGGATCATTATACGATACAGTGCAGCATATGCCATCTGTTATGCTGGTGCTGTATTATAAGTGCAGGTAGTACATTTAATGCTGTGTTTTATGTTGGAGCCGCTTCACAGCTCTTAGTAAAGGTCTCAGTGCTCTGAACAGGCGTAATGACATCTTGGGGAGAATAATAAAGTATTTTACACACTGACCAGGTTCTCTCGTTGGATGCGCTGCTGCTCGCGCTGCCTGTTGAGGGCGCTGTGGTAGAGGCGAGCTGTGGGTGGGGCACTGCGGCGGGCAGCAGCGGAGTGGGCAGAGCCGCTGCGCGAGTGTGGAGAGGAGCGCGAGAGCTCCCTAAGCAGGCGCTGGTTTTCGCGCTCGATCCGCCGCACCTCTTCGTCGGTGAAAGAAAAGTTCTTCCGGCGCCGGCCACCGCAGCTGCTGCTGGACGCACTGCTGGGGCTGGAGATGACCAACACGCTGTCCATGTCCACATGCCTGCCTGCACTCAGTACAGCTAGAGCGAAGGGTGGGAAGGAAAGAAAGAAAGAGGCAAAGGAATAAATGTATAAAGTACTTTGAAGAGACGTATACAGACAGATCAGGCATAACATGATGACCACCTCCTTGTTTCTACGCTCTTTGTCCATTTTATCAGCTCCACTTACTATATAGGTGCACTTTGTAGTTCTACAGTTACAGACTGTAGTCCATCTGTTTCTCTGATACTTTGTTAGCCCCCTTTTACCCTGTTCTGCAGTGGTCAGGACCCCCATGGACCCTCACAGAGCAGGTACTGTTTTGGTGGTGGATCATTCTCAGCACTGCAGTGACACTGACGTTGTAGTGATGTGTTAGTGTGTTAGTAGACGCTCATGGGGGCTCGGACCCGGATTTTTCTGTAAAGCTGCTTTGTGACAACACCTGTTGTAAAAAGAGCTATATAAATAAACTTTGACTTGACTTGCCGTCTGCCCCCATTATCCCTGTGAAATATGCTGATGACCTTACAATCACGGAGCTCCTGAATGGGTCTCTACTTGGCCTTGGGTTGTGTGGCTGAACGGTGACAGGAGTTTTCACTTGAGGATGTGGTAATCAGTGCCAGGACAGAGGACAACAGCCCCTCTCCACCGTCTCCAATCATTTCTAGACAAACATCTGTAGAGTCTCCACCTTTAACATGCTTATAGTTCAGATATCATCTGATTTATCTTGGGATGCCCACATTAACTGGTTGCTCTCGAAGACAAGGTCAAGGATCCATTACCTCAGTGCTGCCAAAAGAGCCCGTCTTCCATGTGATGCTCTAAAATAGACATACCCGACCTTCGTTCGTCCAACCCTTGAGTATTCTAGCCCAGTATGGTGGGCTGAGAAAAGGCCTCTTTTCCACCATTTACGCCATTTGACCAACGCTCTTACCCAGAGCAACTAACACTTTGATAATTTTACACAGGTAGGCGAAGGTAGAGTTTGGAGTCTTGCCTAAGGACTCTTCGAGGTACAGTGTAGGGTGCTTGGCCAGGTGGGGGATTGAAGCCCAGTCTACAGCGTAGAAGGCAGATGTGTTACCCATTACAATACACCAACCATCGGCAAAGTGCCAGTGCTCGTGCCAGAGCTGGTGCTGGTTCCTAGGAACTGGCGATCCTTTTAAGAATGGGCCCATGTTTCCACTGGCTTGAGAGATGAGCCCATTAGGCATTTGGATGTGGGTGCTCTCTAGCCCGGAAACAGAAGTCGACTTCTTTTTAAGCTTTATAGTTTACTCTGATGCTCTGCTGAATCCGGCTTTAAGCATCTCTTCTTGTATGTCCCCTTGTGCATCTTGGCTTTCCTTGGAGAGCTTTCCAGTTTGTCTTGTATTTCTCATGAAGACCAAGTCGTTGGTTTCTTCCACAGATTAATTTTGCTGCTGCTTTCACCGTCTTCACTCACCATTCTCCTGTTTTTTTGGAAAATGGTGGTGTCGACAACTTTACGTGGTGACGGCAGCGCCACGCCCTTCTGCCACCTGCATCACGAGTTCCTTGCTTCCAGACCAGCAAGTTTATGGGGCTGGAACGGCACCATTTTTGCCAGCTGAGAACCAGTGTGTTCAGGGTGGAAAAGAACGGTTTGTGATTTTTGGCATCGGCACCATGTCGGTGGAAAAGAGCTATGTGAGGAGCTGGAAAGGATCCAGAAACGATGCTGTAGGATCATCTGCATTCCAACATCTTCTTATCTATTGTTACAAGCTTGACATCATAATAATACCAGAACGCTTTTTGGTGCTATATAGAACCCTTTTCAAAAAGGTGCTGTAAAGAACAATGTACCACACATTCTCCTTCAATCCGAAGAACGATTTCATTGTGCAAAGAACCATTTAATCTTTGTAGAACCACTGTTTGTACTAAAGAACTTTTAAAGGTGTACATCTGAAGTTGAAGTAAAAAAAAGGATGAATCGACAAACTATCGCTTTAAAACATCCTGTTATACCCACCAGATCTCTCGTCCCCATCTGTGTCCGAGCTCCTCCTCCGTACCGCGTCTACCTCAGTAACCGACGGCTCCTCGATGACGTCCTCCTGCTGTGGCCCAGTAACCGTAACCAAGGGTTCAGTGGGCAGAGTCAGGTCGAACGACTGTCCTGGGCTAACGTCAGGAGTGGAGAGAGGAGTAACGTCTGTCACCGTGTCCTCAGACTCTGCCGTTTCTGAACCTTTAGCTCTCTCTCTCTGGTTGGCCGAACCTGGACGAGGCCGTCGGCGTGGCGACGAGGTCGCCTGGGTGGCAGAGAGCTTGTGCGAGGGGGCGGGGCTTCCCCCATCCCCGCCGAGTGAGCCTTCGCGATCGGACGACGACGACGAACGGCTACGGCTCCGGAACTTTCCTAAAGACTTTTTGGAGGCATCTGAAGGATGTTTGAAGGGTGGAGGTTCTGGAAGTTCCTCTCTTTCGTTGTTGTCGCTCTCAGTGTCGCTGTATCCATCATCGTCATCATCCTTTAAAATGCCACCGTCATCATCCTCTCTCTCCTCAGCCGACGAATCAGAATGCGGCTCTACAGAGGAGTAGGAGCAGGCGCTGGACGAGTCATCTGACTGGCTGCTCTCAGAGCGGGGCGGCGGCGAGGACTTCCTGGACGAAGCGTCCGAATCTTCTCTTCCAGACTCCGTCTCTCTCCTTTCTTTCACAGCACTGCTCTCGGAATCATCCTCCTTTCTTTCTTCCGTGCAGTCAGAATGACCCATGGACTCATCCTTCTCGCTCTGAATCTGAAGGCTGGAAAAAACTTCCTCCAAACTTTCTGCTTTCAAAACAGCGTCTTTTTCTACCTCCTTTTTCTTCACCTGCACTCTTCCACCCCCCTCAGTCTTTCTCTCCATCTGAGAGGATTCGGTTTGACTGGGTTTCTTCACAAGGTTGCCCTCCTTCTCCTCTGGATCCTGGTGGACGGTCTTTCCTGGCTCACCGTCACTGTCGAAGAACGAGTGATCCACCTCGCCTTCCAGCTCTTTTGGACTGAACATGGCTCTGTCCTTTCTTTCCTTTCTAAAGAGACAGAAGAAGACAGAATCAGTACAGGACTCACACTAATCTTAAGGCCCAGCAACACTTGAGTAAGCAAATTTTCATCAGAGAAACGACATTCCACCGAAATTCTTGTGTCCCTAGTGTTTACAGATATATTGCACTTAAAAAAAACATGTTAGGGTTACAATTTATTAATATTTTCGAATAAAACAATACATTATTTTAACAGTTACACCTTCTTCAGCCATCAATTTAGCAATATTGGTTTTCAAATCAATTATCTAGAATTCCAAGCACCACAGAAGAGCTCGTCCTCACAGTCATGTGTGAAGGCTGAGGCTGTATTTTGAAGAAAAAAAAACACATTTTTCTGCTGTTTTAACTACAATAATCTATACATGACTATGAAATTTATAAATTAAATGACATAAAGAAAACAAATGCCAAATAAATATTATAAAATATATAATGAAAGCTGTTGGCTCCAGGAGTCGAGTCACTGTGTAACAAAAAAACTCTTATTATGAAATAAAAGTCACACTGATGACATCACTTGACTTCCTTTTACCTGTTTTCTGAGGATCTATGAAGAAAAGCTCATGGTGAGTCCACTGTGTCTTTCAGTTCTCAGAGATTTTCTCATTTAGCTCATGATTTCATATGAAGCTTTTAGCTGAAGTCACTGGTGTGACCGACTTTATTCTGAGGTAACTGTGAAAAAATAGAATACAAATGGATTAAATTACATATTTTAGTGGATATTCCATGATTGACAACATGTGGTTTGATGCGCTGTAGCAGTTATTCTGTAAAATGCATTGTTCATTAAAAATGTCTCTGGTGTTCCTTTATTATGTGTAACACCAATGAGGATCAGTAACACCAGTGACCCCTATGGAGAGATAGAAAAGTGGACGTTTCTGTAGAATGACCCACGTATGCATCACAGGCTTTCGCATCGAGTTCAACTTTGGTAACTCTGACATGCAAATTCTCATTTTCAGGGCTTCGGCTGTGTTGACCTCTGAAGAGGTGGTCCTTCACACAGGAGCACAACAAGGAGCATGAATCTTTTAACATGATCACCACCACTGGCTATGAATCAACTCAGGACAGAAAGACAGCATGACACACAGTCATTCAAGAGACTGCTACTATTATAACTTTGTTGTTTTACTGTTTGTGGTAGACGAGTTAGCCAGCTTGCTAGCGGCTATGGCTTGGCTGACCACAGCTACACACAACAGCTACACACACTTAGCGAACTGCGAATGTTTAGTGTGACGGCAGCTTTAAGATGGTATCAGTGACGCCGACTGTTTGGCCGAAAATCAGATCTACGCAATTTTTCCACTTATTCCAAACATAGTCGATCAACCAAGACATGTTTGCTGTCTCAAAGGTCCTAGTTTTCCACTGGCGCTATGAGGCTAATGTATCTAACAAATAATGGAAGCTTATACCTCACTAGGTTAGCATCATGCTAACCGCCTACATTATCACACACATCTCAAAACGTACTGAAATGTTATCTCAAACAGACTTGCTTGTGTGGTTTCTGGCACTGTATGACACCCCGTTATCTCTAAAAACGGACCTAATTGTCCATTACTTCTTCGCTACGTTCGCCCAGTGAGGGTAAAAACGTATTTAACACAGGTTTAAAAAGCTGTTGCTCATTTGTTGAATTATTTCATGCAAAATATAAGATACTAGCATCCTCACACGAACATATCTGAACGGTTAAACGTGCCGGGAGGTGAGATGTTCTACTTTAACACCACATTTATTTTACCCAGCATAGAGGAGATGCAGATGAGTTCTAGAAATGTGGCTGTTGACCTGCACTGGTTGAACAGGCTTCGGGGAGCCACTGTGTACAACTGCAGCATGATGATATCACGTTACCTACCGTATGGGATATAGGGCTGGGCAGTATGACAATATATGCTTTTCTGATCATATCATGTATATCGTCAGTACCTGTAGAACTGACCAACTGCATGTTTCATTACAAAGAGAGCAAAATTAGTCCTGTTTAACTAGATGTAGTGCCAAACACTGAATAAAAATCTCTGTGTTCACAGTTTTTGGTAATATATTGTGGCATATCATGTATAGTGGAAATTTCTTTAAGTGTCACAATATTAGATTTTGGCCATATTGCCCAGCTCTAATGGGGTATGTTTTAGGACATCCTAAACTAACTGGTTTCAGATGGACAAAACGGCTTCAGTTCTCGAGAAAAAACACTGTCATATCTCAGCTCTCGTACATCAGGTGAAACAGCCTCAGACAAAAAGGCCTCAGGCTAAGCTAAACAGCTACAGACACCACGGCTTTGGATGGAAAAGTCCATGTGATATTCAGAATTCTGCTCTTTATGATCTTCTTACTTACAGTCAAAGATGGCAATAAACCACAACTACAGCTTTTACCATCTGTGCTTTTACAATGTCTTTAATTTGGCAAAGGTTAAGCTTCAACTTACAAGCTGTCACTTTGTTTGCTCTCGTGTCCGCATCAGTGTTGGGGCAGTCTTACATACATACATACATACATCATCTAAACCGCTTATCCTTCTGGGTCGCGGTGGGGTGCTGGAACCTATCCCAGCTGTCATTGGGCGGAAGGCTGGGGCAGTCTTAGAATATAAAAAAAAATTGTTATTGTTCTTATTATTACTATAAATTTTTCATTATTGCTATGCCTGTAAACACTTTGTGAACATAAAAACTAAAAGCTAAGGCAAAGAAAGAGGCATTAAATGCTTCAGGCATCTGGTTCCCATCACCACCTCTGTCAACAATTCAGACTCGGCTAGTTTCTCTAGAATGGAGCATTTCACACCGAACCACTCTGAATGACTCTCTTTAGATCTTACTGGCTAAATTATGCAGAAATCTTGAGAAGAATCAGTGGAATTTCTATTTTCAGATTATAGTTCAGATTATACACTATACATCACCATACAGCAAAACTGTATGGCTACTTATCAGGCCTACATTCTCACTAAGTCATTCTCACTGCTGGGTGACAGTCGTCTTCTTCCAGCAGGCACCATCATAACACTGCTCTTTAATATGTCCTCTCAGCTCTTCTCTACAGAGTCTTCCACCTACACATGCGGCTCCGAGAGACCAGTGCAGGCTGAGAGTCTGGGGAATAGCTGAGTGAACTCTCTGCGTCATGGTGTGGGTCTATTTTAGAGATACGCCATTCCCTCGGGTTTTCTTCATGCCACGGTTCAGTTTCCATCAGCCTGATTAGACTAGTTTCCCAGGTCCAGTTCTGCTGTAAAACACTTTGTTCAACTCAGAAATGGCATCAGCCCCCAGCTGACACTTTGGGTACGTTCACAGTACACACCTCATTGCTCAAATCTGATTTGTTGCTCAGATCCGATCTCTCTGACACAAGGTAAGTGACTCAGATCTGTCATTAATGTGAACGAACCGGCGTCCTGAAATGACCCTCATGAGCTCATCCTACTCAGTAACGTCACGTGAATGAATCACTGCATCATCAGCACAAACGAACGAGCAGAACGAGCTTCGCTGAGAAGATAATTAACTCTGATCAGCTCTCAGCTTCATTATTAGAGCGAGACGAAGGAGAAAAAGGGGAGATGAGCTGCTTTTCCACCATTTACAGGCTTTAACTTCTGTTTGGCGCTGCTGCCATGGTAACGCTGAATGATGGCGCACGCACAGTGGAAAAAAGCACATGAATTCAGATCTGAGCATCACATTAAGGTCACACGGCCACAAATCAGATATATATCCGATCTAGGACCACATATAAAAGTGCCTCAGGTCGGATTTGAAAAGATCAGATCTGTGTCCACACAGCCCTGAAAACATCAGATCTGAGTCATATTAGGGCAAAAAATCGGATTTGTGCCACTTCAACCTGGTAATGTGAACGTAGGCTATAGGTCCAAAAGTACCCAAACAAACACTTCAGGTAAATAACTGATACGAATGTATGTGTATATAAACACACACAACAGAAAAGACAAATGGAGCTCAATCCAGACCCAGAAATGATCATCCAACATCAGTACCTGAAGTCACTAATGCTCAAACAGATCCTCACAGCAATGTTCCTTCCTTCCCAGAAGAGTAGAGGCCGTTGCTGCAGCAAAGGAGGAACAAACTCCCTATTAAACCCCTGATTTCAGAAGAAATGCTGGGTGAGCAGGTGTCCACAAACGGTTGGGCACCTACTGCAGGTGTATGAGAGCAGCACAGACACTATGGGCTCTCCTGCCCTGGAGCAGGTAAACACTGGTCTAATGAGAGTGATGGAAAATGAACCATGACTCCTCTCTGAACGAAGCCTGAGGGAACGGTTTCTATGTGTGACAGGCTGGCTGACAACCAGGCAGTTATACATTATCTATGCCAGCTGGCTGAGAGGCTCTTTGGTGTACAGTAGAATACATAGCTCACTGCTGGCACTAGATAATGTATATCACACGTTTCAGCAGCGCGGTTATATATATAATATACATTATACGGTATATCATACGTTTCAGCACTGCGGTTATACGTGTAATATACGTTATACTGTATATCACACGTTTTAGCACCGCGGTTATACGTGTAATATATGTTATACTGTATATCACACGTTTTAGCACTGTGGTTATACGTGTAATATACGTTATACTGTATATTACACATTTCAGCACTGTGGATAATTAATTTGTGGCCACAACTTAGTAAGGCCTAGGAATGAGATCATGCCTTATTAAGCTGTGGTCAAGGCTTAACTATCTCATTCCCATGCCTTACTCAGTTGTGGCTACGTATTAAGATCCTGTTCCCATGCCTTACTAAGTCGTGGCCACTAATTGATTATTACTAAGTTGTGGTCACGAATTAAGTATCTCGTTCCCACGCCTTACAAAGCCGTGACCACAAATTAAGTATCTTATTTCCACGCCTTACTAAATCACGGCCACGCATTAGGGTCTTGTTCCTATGCCTTACTAAGTCGTGGCCGCGAATTAGGATCTCGTTTCCATGCCATAGTAATTCATGGCCACGAATTAATGATCTCATTCCCATGCCTTACTAAGTCATAGCAACACATTAGGATCTCGTTCCCACACCTTACTAAATCACGGCCACACATTAGGGTCTTGTTCCTATGCCTTACTAAGTCATAGCCACGCATTATTTTTATTTATAAGGGATGACACCAGCAGGGCTCCGTAGTACTATACTGAGGCCACAAATCACTATATCAAGGCCACAAATAAAAATACTGAGACCACCCATTGCTATATTGAGGCCACAAGTTAATACACTGAGGCAACGAGTTAACAGATTCTTACGCAGCCCCGCTGGCGACATCCAGCACAAATAAAAATAACGTATGGCCACGACTTAATAAGGCGTGGAAATGACACGATTAAGCCGTGGCCACGACTTAGTAAGGAATGGGAACGAGATCCTAATGCATGGCCACAACTTAGTAAGCCGCGATCTCGTTCCCACGCCTTACTAAGTCGTGGCCACGCATTGGGATCTGGTTCCTAAGCGTTAATAAGGCGTGACCACGCATTATTTTCATTTATACAGGATGTCACCAGCGGGGCTCCGTAGAATCTTAACTCCTGGCCTCAATATATTAATTTGTGACCACGCCTTATTCAAAATGAATCAACACGCCACCCCAGGGGCTGAACACAGTTATGTAAACAGGAGGGAGAGAATGTGTGCCGTTACCGTTAAAGGGGGACAGCGATTAATAACACTGTCCCTTATAAAAACTGCATTTACATTTACATACATGTCGAACACAGAAGGGCACTCAGGTTCAGGTTACCTTCAGCTACAGCGGGAGGACCTCTATACGCTGCGGACGAAGCGCCAGCCGGCTCGCCGCCGACCTGCAGGTCTCAGACAGGCTGTGATCATTAAATCGGCGGCCCGAGCTGAACAGCGCCACGAACGAGCCGAACACAAAACCGCCCCAAACTGGCCTCACCGCCACAGCTCAACCCCCGCGGCGGAGAAACCGCGCCGTCCTGCAGAGAACCAGAGAAGCCGCTCCGCCTGACCCCGGCCGGACTTAGCCTAGCCTGCTAACCCTCAGAGCTGGCGACTGTGTGGGTTGTCTAGCTACGGTAACTAGGCAACGTCACTTCCTCAAGCGGTCCCCGGAACACTAGGAAAACTAACGCCGCGTCCCAAACCGCACACTAGCTCCCTAAATAGTGAGTGAAAATGCCGCCCACACCGTTAGAAGTGCACTCATTAGTGTAGTATGTGAAGTACAGGAGTGTGGGGTTTGGGACGCGGAGTGATAGATTTTTTTTTTTTAAATATTATTTTATCAAATATGTGTTTGCAATGTATGGAAATGTATTATTAAATACGTTTAAAAATTTTTAAACGTATTTTCCAAATATATTTATCAAATATATTTTTGCAACGTATGAAAATATATTTGTAAAATGCCCTTATTTATATTTGTTGTTATATTTTTTTCCGTTGTATGCAGTTTTAATAATGTTTACAGATAGAACTGAATATCCATGAGCTGAATGAACGGTACTGACGTCTGTGATCTGCACTGTACTTTAACCATGTACGTCTGCAGTGAGACTCTCACACACAATACTTCACATAAACAAGATATCAGATCATAACTGCATTTCAATATCATCAATAATAGTAGAGTATCAATACCCACAACACTCGCTTCTGTCCTGTTAAAGGTTCATTTGATCATATTTAAAATGAAGATACTGGAACACAAACTCATTTCTAAAGGTATCAGACAGTAAACAGTGGATTAGACATCATTTTGGCTGTTTTCATACATTTTCAAATGGATTTAATAAACACATTTACACACATTTATTTTGGTACATTTCTATGTGTAATATTTCTCCATACTTTTTAAAAATAAATGCATTCTAAAATATATGTGGTTAATATGGCAACATATTCTGAAATAAATCCATATATTTTTCCATATGGGTGTAAACGTGTGTCCAAAATTAAAAGAAGGTTCTGGATAAATGGTTAGAAACTATTTTAATTTTCTTGGCATTCACTGCTATTCACTGAGGACTCGCTCGCGGGCGCCCTCTGGCGTTTCACAGCCTTATTTTTCGGTTTTTCTTTATATGGGTCCTTTAATATGTGCTGCTCTGGTGATCCAGCAGATGGCGCTGCCGCTGCATACTTAAACGGGCTGTATCTCAAACGGCTCCTGCTTGTAAACCATGGCTACATTAAGGGGGCCTCTGACTGTTAAGTCTTACACGCTTTACAATAATGTAAAAGTCCAATACTATTAAAATATAATGTATAAAACAAATGGAAACGTTTGTTTATCATAAAAAAACATGACAACTCGACAAAATCCCTAATTATTAAAAGGAAATAAATTTCCATGTATTTTTTCAAAATGTGTGTCGAGTTAGAAATATATTTATATACAATTTTGGCATATATGTAAATATAAAAATTCAGATTATATATATATATATATATATATATATATATATATATATATATATATGTATATATATATATATATATATATATAAAATCTGAAACTACGTGAACAATCTTCTACAAAGATACACTTCTGTACATTTTAACATTAATTAACATTTATTTGCTGAATTTAACCTATTGAAAAAAAAAAATTAAACAAAATGTGACAGGTGAAAAAGTTTTGCCACATTTACACCGTATGTTTTCTGTTTTTTTCCAATATGTTAAAGCAAATAAATCGAAATAAACTGAAAAACAGCGCCGGCTCATTATCCCACCTCCACCAAACTTTACTGTTGGTACTGTGCTGAGTCCAGCGGTGATGCGCTTTACACCCCTCCAGCCGACATTTGGCATTGAGCATAGTGACCTTAGGCTTGTGTGCAGCTGATCAGCCATGGAAACCCTTGTCATGAAGCTCCGGACGCTCAGTTTTCGTGCTGATGTTTCTTCCAGAGGCAGTTTGGAGCTCTGTAGTGAGTGATGCAGGTGATTTTTCCAGTGCCTCGCTCTGTGAGTTTGCGAGGTCTGCTGCCTCGCGGCTGAGCTGTTGTTGCTCCTGTACGCTTCTGTCTCCATTTCCACCTAAGACACTTTTGTAAATCTGGTCTCTGTATCTTTACAGTGAACCATTTCAAATCACACCACTCTGAATGACTTTCTTTACATCTTAATCACTGAATTAGACATAAACTATGAAAACTCTGAATTCCCCTTTAACTGTATCTACAAAGCGGATCTCAGCTGTTGGTCTGAGTGTTCGGTTATGTCAGTATGTCAGCGCTTGTCTACGTGCTCAGTCTGCACGTTTCTCTGAAGTGCCCGGGCGTGAGGCCAGATCCTGGCACGGCCTGCAGAATGGTGGGCATAGAGCACATAGCGTACCCCCCACCTCTACCCCCACAGGCCATTGTGCACGCTGCCCTGGCACACTATTATTGGGATGCCAGCTTAGCTCAGTAAATAGTACAACAGTTTGTGTGTTGAGCATTGGCCATGCACCCCCTAGTGGCCACAGGTGAAATAACTCTTGAGTTAAAATGAGCACAACTGAAAAGAATACAGCATGAATAACAAGTCTATTTAACATAATAATAATAATAATAATAATAATAATAATAGCAGCACACTGTAAAATGTCCTTAAAGGGTCTAACATGGAACTTTCCTCTTTTTTTCACATATACCCATATTTAACCTACAGCAGTTTAGCTCCTCCCATTCTTGGTGACGGTGTAAAGCGTGTTTCAGCCTGCACTGAGTCACAGCCAATCAGAACAGAGCTCATTTACATAGATCAGTCTTAAAGGCTCAGCAACAAAACAGCCTCTTTAATTCCAAGGGATGAGCAGAGGTTGGAAAACAGTCATGAAAAAAATGATTTATGACCGTTTTTGGGATATAAATCCACACAAGTGTCATCAGTGGACATAAGCACTTACAAGTGGCCGCATGTGGACGTAGCATACAGGGCCTTTACTGGAGAAAAGCCCCAAAAGTGAGCTCACTATGTGTATGTGCTTGGAGTGGTGGTGCGGTTGCTGTAGCTGGTTCAGTAGGTGAAAGTGGAGAGTGTGGTACTTTCTACAGTCGTCCAGTGCAGGAAGACCACACCTGATACAGCTCATCAGCTGTTAGAAGACAGAGATCTGATTAAAAAAGAGGAATTTAGGTGAGATCCTGCTTGGCTGGAGTGAAAACCTGCAGCCACACCTGTAATTGACTGAATAACCCTCAAACAATGGCTTAAATACTCTCATTTCCTGTTTTTGGAGTGATTTCTTGGTGTGTGTATCATTTGAATTTCTTTTTTGATTTACTGCAAGTGGAATTTACAGTGTTGAATCAACTCTTGTTTAGCTTAAGGTGACCAGATTTCTGAAACCGGAGACATTTACAGTTCAGCAGTCAATATATCATTAAAATATCTAATATCTATTGTTTATTTATATATGAAATAAAAAAGGGGGGCAGTTCTGGTGCCATGTATTTTGACAGTGTTAACTGTTGTGCTGTAATAAGGCCGACTGATAAAACTGGGTACTAAGTAAGGGCCTCAAAAGTCAATAAGTCTCTCTGCATACTTTGTTAGCCCCCTTCTACCCTGTTCTTCAGTGGTCAGGACCCCCATGGACCCTCACAGAGCATGTACTATTTGGGTGGTGGATCATTCTCAGCACTGCAGTAACACTGACGTGGTGGTGGTGTGTTAGTGTGTGTTGCGCTGGTCTGAGTGGATCAGACACAGCAGTGCTGCTGGAGTTTTAAACACTGTGTCAACTCACTGTCCACTCTATTAGACACTCCTACCTTGTCAGTCCACCTTGTAGATGTAAAGTCAGAGACGATAGCTCATCTGCTGCTGCACAGTTTGTGTTGGTCATCCTCTAGTCCTTCATCAGTGGTCACAGGACGCTGCCCACAGGACGCTGCTGGCTGGATATTTTTGGTTGGTGGACTATTCTCAGTCCAGCAGTGACACTGAGGTGTTTAAAAACTCCAGCAGCACTGCTGTGTCTGATCCACTCAGACCAGCACAACACACACTAACACACCACCACCACGTCAGTGTTACTGCAGTGCTGAGAATGATCCACCACCCAAATAGTACATGCTCTGTGAGGGTCCATGGGGGTCCTGACCACTGAAGAACAGGGTAAAAGGGGGCTAACAAAGTATGCAGAGAAACAGATGGACTACAGTCTGTAACTGTAGAACTACTGGACATTAGAACAGGGGTGCACAACTCCGGTCCTGAAGGGCCGGTGTCCAGCACAGTTTGGAAGTTTCCTTACTCAACCACACCCACTAAACCTGGCAACTAACAGAAGGGTGTAATCTGGTGTGCTGCAGCAGCAACATCACCAAACTGTGCCGGACACCGGCCCTCCAGGACCGGAGTTGGGCACCCTTGCATTAGAAGCTTGTTACAACAGCAGAACCCTTTTTGGTGCTAATGAGTGAATGGTGGGCCACGCCCCTTTATCCCTCCATCCCTGAAAAAAAGTGGTTTTCGTCTGTGTAAGAATCACATTTTTCCATATCGGTGGTGTAAACATTTTCCAGTAACACCTGCTGAAAAAACCCAATAGAAACCATTAAGTGTTTCTGATGGTTCCTTATGGTTTTGGTAATGGGTTGACATCACAGTGTAAAGGATCCCATTAGAAAGCAAAACAATCAGGTTTTAATCCTAATGGTTAAAAAGCCTGACAGCAACAAGTTCCTCTGAGTGTGTGTGTAGGTGATGAACTGGGCTGCGCTCGAGCCCGCGCACTGCGTACGTGTGAACCCGCACAGCTCGCGAAGCACGCGTGCACGCGCACTTGTGGAGAGCTGCGCGGTCACGTGACGCGAGATGCAGCTAATAAAGCCGAAGGCAGCAGTGCGAGTGTGTGTAAGGGAGGACGTGCAGTGTGTGAGGAGACAGTTCTCAGAGGGGATTTACCGCACTGACCATGTTTCTGCTCGACACAGACACGGTAGGTCACTGGAATTACCATTTTAAAGGCTTTTACACTGAAAATATGACGAGAATGCAGTGAAAAATGCAGTATAGTAGTATAAAACTCAGTTATATACAATATATATAGAAGTCTGCTTCTTATTCGCCAGCTTAGTGTTCGAATTTCCCCGTTCCACCTTAAATGGGAAATGCGCTAAAGTGGCTGAGCAGTACAAAACTGCTATATATGTATTTATATACGTTAGGTTCCTATTTGTCAGCTTCTTGTTCGAATTCGAAGTTAACTTTTTAATTTTTCAGTTCATTTTTTTGTATATTAACTTAATTTTTAGTTAACTGCTGCACCATTTAAGGTGGAACGGGAAATTCAAACAACAAGCAGGCGAATACTCGTAAAAAAAACACGGAAATGTTTGTATTTTCTTCCAAAAAAGGACGAAAAGAACAAAAATGAACTGTATTAATGCTGTTTAAAACGATAAGATTCATATATTGCTGTACAATTTCTGTAAAATAATCTGTAACTACTGTTTTTCGCATAACAGTCCTCTAGTAATGTCCCATAATGTTTCCTGGTACACTGAATCCTGGAGTAGTAGATATTTTGCTGACAGGTTTTACCTTAATTGCAATAATGACTAGAAGTATCTCTGCTGAGTTCCTTAAAGAACAGCAGTGGAACCTATAGACTGTGGGAGGTATATAACCCACCGTGTGTGGTGGTACCTCTTAGTCCATCCAGCATCTCTCAGCAGAGGAACTGAAGCTAAAATAAAATGCTAAAGCTCACCCAGATTCATAAGCAGTCCATAAAAGCACTTAAAGGGGAAGTCCACCAATTTTTCAAAATTTCTGCATGATTAAATGGTTAAAATGTGAACTTACTGAGTCAGAGCTGCTCACAGTGGTGGTGATAGGAACCGGACGTCCACCTCTAAAAGCTCCCTCACAGAAAGGTATTACATAACATGGTTTTGAATACACTGCCTGATGTCTGAGACACTGTTTTACGTGGGTTTTGTGATAATTGTTGTAGTCAAACATATTTTAATAAATTTTTTAATTTATTTATGACAGAGGGATACAAGAAGGCCCCAAAGAACTTATATTTTTCTAGATTTATGTCTATTTTCCATCATCAACATTCCATATAATCACTCAGAAGACTAGTGTAGGTTCCCTGGTGGTTTCGGATAATAAATAAAAATAGTAAAATGGATTTGTGTTGTAGTCATGGCGATCCCTGGTTACCATCACCACCACGGTAAAGAAATGCGAGTCGGCAAGCAAATGACTCATTGCACATCAGAAAACTCCGAATGACTTTGTTTACATCTTCATGATTAAATTATACAGATTATTTATTAAAATAATTAACAAGAATTATAATTTGATTGTCAAAGGTTCTACGTGGAACTGAATGAAGGTGAAACTGAGCTGTAGTTTCTTGTTGTAAAGCTACAAAAAGCCCAACTTTTCTGAACAAAGTGCTGGACATCAGTGCCAGGTGCTCTAGTGTTTGATGAGAGTGAGTTATGAGGTTTTAATGGTTTTATTCAGCTGTTTGAGGCTAATGGATTAAGCGTATAGGCAAAGCACCACACCCTCCATATGAGAACATCACGTACACAGACGTATTCCCAGTGCTGGATTTACAGCCTGTACTGTGTTTGGATCCAGCTGGACTAGAATGAGCACCATGTGTTCAGTTACTTCAGCCTTGTGGGTGTTAATCCGTCACGGAGTTCAGTGACAGATGTGCATTCAGTACAGATGCCATGACACCACGTTTCACGCATTGGCTGATAATGATGTTTTTTCTTTAAAAACACGTTATTTACTTCTCCCTTTATTTAGTGTGAAGTATTTCCGCACACAGCCAAAATAACAGCCTCCCTCACGTGGGTTCGCTTGGTAGTGAGACACTTCTCACTCCATACAGGCCATACAGTCCATATATGGAAGCTAAGCTGCAAAACAAGCCTGTTTTGAATTCATTGTTTCTGTGATGCCATAAAAACCAACACATGTACATATATCCACCCATCTGGCCTACAGCAGTTTAGCTCCGCCCACTCACGTCGAAGGTGTAAGAAGTGTTTCAGCCTTCTGCATTTAGAATAAGGCATGAAACGGCAGCCAATCAAAACAGAACTCATTTACATATATATTAGTCTTAAAGGTAAAGTAATAGCTCTATACCAAACAAATTAATATGTGGGACAAAGAGTTTGGAAAATCGTGAAAATTTCATCACGTTACTTTATTTCTGTTAATGTTATGTAGATCTACAAGCAGTTCTGGAACTTTGCAGATTAGATTCTGATTGGATTTGTTCTTTTTTACTTCCGATATCCAATCCAGCACTTTAATTAATTCATTCATTCATTCATTTTCTTAGTAGTTAGTGGCATCTCTAGAATTAAAGGAATGGTTCACAAGAAAAAAACGAAAACGATATTTCTCCCCTCACCCCAAACATAGTCGATCAGCCCAGACTTGTTTGATGCCTGAAGTTTGTTTAGTTTTGCGCTGGAGCTAAAAGACTATGAATCTGAGTCACCGAAAAAGGTTTCACTCTTCCATCACTCTTTAGCCCCGTTAGCCTCGTAGCTCCAGTGCACAGTTAACCCTCTGGGATCGACAAATGCGCTGGCGCATCAAATTAGATGTTTCTTGGTTTTGGAAAGTAGCGATGAGGAGAACGTTTATCTACTATTTTATTCAGACAACCACTGCTTTTGTGATCCTGAGACTTCAGTAAACACATTTCAAGCACCAAAACAACCCGTCCACATGAGTAAAGCAGTGTTTTCACAAGAGATATTAAGAATTTCTAAAAACAAATTTCAATTTTTCAGCTTTTTGGCTGAAATTTCTCTTTACACAGAGCTCCAGGTCAAAAGGGCCTCATTATAGAGAGAACTGAGATTGTTCTAAACATTTTAATATATAACATGTGGGTATCATATCGTATGCAAGTGCCTTCAAAAGCGTTTTTAGCAAGTATGCAAAAATCAAGAAGATGCAAAAGAAGCAAACTTCAGCCAACAAACCAGCCTTGGATGATCAGCCGTGTTTGGGGTAAAAGGGGGAAACTTGATTTGTATTCTGTGAACTTTAACTCAGTAATGCAGGTGTTAATAGAGTGAATTAAATGGAAATTTCAGTTCTTGTTTCATGGAGATTTTGTCATTTACCATTTTGCTGTCATTCTGCTCGCGCAGCTGTTTTGCACTAGCAGTCTTCTGGAGGCCGGGTCCGCGGTGAACGGGGGCGAGGATGCTTCCGGTCAGTCTCCGGCGCACGTGGCGGCTTGTGGTGGGGAGGCCTTCTGTTTGCTGTGGCTGCTTCAAACAGGGGCTGATCCCAACCAGCAGGTAACTTAAGCATAGTACATCTACGGTTAAAGAAACCTTGTACAGTGGTCGTTTTACTGTAGCTGTTAAATGATCATAGATGTTGGCATTTCTAAACAGTCCATTATGAGCTAAGAAGCTGCATGTGTGCAAGTTAGGGATGCACAATATCAGGAAAATACCAAAACATGATCATATAGATAATTGCTAATTAGTCAACCCTTGATGTGACATGGATTGGCCTGCATTGTTTGGACCAAAAATGTGACCATTTATTGGATCTCATGCAAACGTTAGTTTGTCTAAACATCATCTAACCCGAGGTTGGTCAGCTTGCTCAAAAACTAGGACTGAGTATTGTTTAAAAAATCTCAGTACTGATATCCAGACTTCAATAATGATTCCTGAACTTTCTCTGGTAACGTGTTTTAATGTACAAACCGATCTGTGAGGAGCTGAAGTGAGTATATTTACTGATTGCAGTGAGTTTAGACTAATTAAGAAGTGCCAGGGTTAATCACATGCACACAGAATGTGATTTAGACAATTTAGCCAGTCAGCACTCTAGATTTTTGGAACGCAGCATGCTTATTGGCCAGCCGCATTCACTACTCACTATTAAAGAACTGAGTAATTTACATATTTTACCGGTTTCGTGATAATCATACACAAACTTGCCTTGACATGAGCTCTTTTTCTTTTTCAGGACGCTTTTGGGGAAACTCCAGTGCATAAAGCAGCCAGAGCAGGAAGTCTAGAGTGCATCAGTGTTCTCGTGGCTAGCTATGCACAACTTGAGTAAGTTATACTTACACTCACAGTGTAAATATACACTCACAGACTCCTCTATCAGTAGAGACAATCTGTGTAGGTCATCCTCTACTCCTCAGTTTCTGACTAGAGCTGCTGTAGGCTGGATATTTTTGGGTGGTGGACCACTCTCAACCACTTTTTTACCAGTGGTACATTTTTAAGCACCTACAGCAGCAGGGATGGCTACACCAACCGGAAACACATCTGCATTACTGCCTTAGCTGCATAAATCACTGCATAAATCACTAAGTATCTAACAATTATTTGAGCTGATTGCAATTTTTTTACACTAATCGCAATTAAGTTGTAAGCTTGCAAGATCTTAGATTTAAGTTGCTACAAACACAATGTGAAATGTATTTCTTGGTTGGTTTGAGGCAAATGCATGAAATGAGGTAAATAAATAGAACACACCGCTCAGCACTGCTGTGTCTGATCCACTCGTACCAGCACAACACACACTAACACACCACCACCACGTCAGTGTTACTGCAGTGCTGAGAATGACTCACCACCCAAATAGTACATGCTCTGTGAGGGTCCATGGGGGTCCTGACCACTGAAGAACAGGGTAAAAGGGGGCTAACAAAGTATCAGAGAAACAGATGGACTACAGTCTGTAACTGTAGAACTACAAAGTGCACCTATATAGTAAGTGGAGCTGATAAAATGGACAATGAGTGTAGAAACAAGGAGGTGGTCATAATGTTATGCCTTATCAGTGTGTGTATGTGTGTATATATATATATATATATATATATATATATGGCCCAAGAAGCTACAGCAGCAGGAGAAAGCCAAATACAGTTCTCTTTTCCAGCCACTGTAGCAGTTCTTGCAGCTGTCCTTTGGTCAGAAACTGGCCAATGATGAATGGGGTAGTGGTCAGTTGACACCTATACTGTGGGGCAAGATAGGTGTTTCTAATAAAGTGGCCACCTTTTTGGTACTAACCCCTCTTCTGTCTCCGTTAGGATCCGTAACAGCGAGGGCTTCACGGCGGAGGACGTGGCCTGGTCCGCCGGTCGCGAGCGCTGTGGAAATCTTTTGCGAATGCTCCGGAACAATGGACAGACGCTTACGTCCACAGCACCGGGCCGCAAACGGGCGCGGGAACACACGAGCCTGGACGCCGTAGATGGAAAGAAAGCGAAGGACTGGTGAAGGAGGACGAGGAGGAGGAGGAACAAGAACTTCGTGGCAATGAGGCCCATTTCAGTCAGGCCTTTGTGTGCATGTTAAAGGCAGAGTTTTGTCCAAATTGCTGACATGCTAGGAAATGAGTGGAAGGTAGCAGTACAGGGTAGCTTTGTTTGATGGTAAGCAGGTATGTCTTCAGGACACACTTGAGGCCTTTTTGGGCCCATTTTCTGGGCCCAAAATACTGATTAAGCCAGATTAAGTGAGCCAAGTGCTGAACTAAATTACAATGCTGATGGTGAATAACCATTGGAAATAGTTCTTAGTGTTGGCTAATGGCTTAATCTGGAGCCAAAAAAACCTGTATTTAAATTAGAGATGGGCACGGTAGTCGACTGAGCACTTGTACCCACCTACTTGGAAACATTTCTCAAAATATATCTATATCTATTATTTTCGCTGCTGTCGGAACAAAACCTTGTATCTCCAAATTGAGAACTTTACAGGAGAAGGAAAAACATACGATACTTTTAATGTAAGTCAATGGAACCAGAATGTTTTGCAAGTCATTTTGGGCCGTTTCTTTTGGTCCGTTCATCATGAAATTTACACACAATGTAAAGAACAACCGACATTTTCAAATTAGGTCAAAAACTGAAAAACGGCAAAAATGGAGATACAAGGTTTTATCATGGAGCTGTGCTCGTTTTGCTTGGGTAACTTTCCCGTAATTCTCACCAGCCAGACGTCTGGCTCTGAACGGCCCACTGTTGTCACGGTATGCAGGCAAATTGGCCACAAAATGACCTGAAAATGCCCGTCGCTAGTTTAAATCTACAGTAACTTCTGCAGTTGCATCAGTAGAGCAGATCTGTCCAGTTCAAGGCAAGTTCAATTGGGGATCAACAGCTTCTTCACAGATGAACAAGCAGAACTGTGAGACTGTATCAACCAAACAACCTCAGCTTCAAAGCAGCCCTCTGAGGCTATTACATAAGACACTGTGCACTAGGACAGTAAAACAGCTGGTTTCAGATAATGACGTCCAGTTATTTGAAATCTAATCAGGTGGTGAGTTAAGCTGAATAGGATAGGCGTAGACAGAGTGTAGTGCCATGCACTCTTTAAAAAAGGGTTCTATATAGAACCATGAACACTCAAAGAACCCTTTGCATGATTAAAGCGTTCTTCGCATCATGTTCTTCAGATTGATGGAGAAATGTGCAGGAATGTGCAGTAGATGGTTCTACATAGGCTACGTTCACAGGCCTCACTGCTCAGATCCGATCTCTCTGACACGATGGTTCACACTCGTTTAGGTAAGTGACTCAAATCTGTCATTAATGTGACGAACCGGCGTCCTGAAATGACCCTCATGAGCTCATCCTACTCAGTGACGTCACGTGAATGAATCACGTGCATCATCAGCACAAACTAACGAGCAGAACGAGCTTCGCTGAGAAGATAATTAACTCTGATCAGCTCTCAGCTTCATTATTAGAGCGAGGCGAAGGAGGAAAAGGTGCGATGAGCTGCTTTTCCACCGTTTACAGGCTTTAACTTCTGTTCGGCGCTGCTGCCATGGTAACGCTGAATGATGGCGCATGCACAGTGGAAAAAAAGCACATGAATTCAGATCTGAGCATCACATTAAGGTCGCATGGCCACGAATCGGATACGTATGTGATCCAGGACCACGTATGAAAGTGGCTCAAGACGGATTTGAAAAGATCAGATTTGTGTTCATACAGCTCTGAAAACATCAGATCTGAGTCACATTAGGGCAGAAAGTCGGATTTGTGCCACTTCAACCTCGTAATGTGAACGTAGCCATAGAACCGTTTTGAAAAGACTTCCATTGTTACAAGCTTGACACCTTAACAATAGAAGAACCCTTTGGTGCTATACAGAATCATTTTCAAAAAGGTTCTATATAGAACCATCTACAGCAAATTCTCCATTAATCTTAAGAACCTGTTCATGATGCAAAGAATTCTTTAATCATGCAGAGGGTTGTTTGAGTGTTTATGGTTCTATATAATGGTGTAGATTTCTTAGAGCAGTGATTGAGTGCCTCTAAAGGCTCTAAAGACCCCAAAGACCCAATCAAGAGTTGCTCCAAAAAGCAAGGCGACTACTGGGATTCAGCAGCACAGGCTGTCAGACAGCAACAGCTGGATAAACAAACATTTCATATTGATATCTGTACCATGCTGGGATCCACAGATGATTCAACATGTGTCGTTAGAGTGCAACATTAATTGGGCTGCAGTGCAGATGTGCTGGAGCTGGAGCACCTCGGGTTGGGGCTGTACAGGTGCTGACATCATAAACCTGGGAGGAACTTTTCTACTTTTTAAAGATAATCTTGTATATATTTTTTACATTGTTGACAACTATGTAAAACATTTTTGTATGGAAATGAATGTTGTGCATTTCTGAGACTTGACTACAAAGCTGGATTCATTCATTAGCCCCAAAATACAGGGTGATTCAAAGAGATTCATCTGATTTAAAATGATTTTTCACTTGTAAATCGTTACAGATCAATGCAGTAAACTGTAAATGGTTTAAATGAGCATAAAGTTTATTATATAATTGTACAAGGTCTCAGTATGAACCTCCTCCAGCTGTACAGACAACATCAACACCATAGTCAAACTCATCCCATACTGGATTGAGCATGTCGGGTGTCGCTGCACTCACGGCTCTTTCAGTGCGATTTCGGAGATCATCCAGTGTTGTGGAACCAACGACGAACGATCTGAGCTGTTGGAGCTTCACTGCCCACGAACATCACACTGCACAGTTATGACGGATTCACTCTTATTGAAGTGGAGAACGCAGAACGCTTTCTGCTCAGGGGTCTCATCTCCTCTCAGACTGAAGGGAGCCAGACTTCCACTGACAGTCAGAAACTCTATGACCCCCCTCTTACAATTGGTATGTGATTGGTTCCTAGACACCTCACGGCTGTAAAAAATATGCCACTTTGAAATCGGATGAATCTTTTTGAATCACCCTGTATATTCAGCTCCACTAAGCACTTGAACTGGGGCTGAGTGATACGGGCAAAATACTGCTGTTGCAATTATATTGCTAAATATTGCGATTGCAGTATATGTTGCAATGTATCAAAAATGGACTGGTAAATCAAGAAAGCCAATATCGTTATGAAGAGGGAATCTAGCTTTGTAACAAACATACCAGGTCAGCTGAATCAGGTAAAACCGTTTACAAAATGGAGGAATGTTGCTACAATTATGTTGTCGTGGAATAAAGTTGTCTTTAATGTTTGATGGTGGACGGTGTGTTTTTTTTCCGACAAATTAGATGCTGAGAGGTGGAAAAGCTCAGATGGTCTTTGGTGTTTGGGGAAGGCAGAGGTTATAATAGGCGTTCTGGTCCCAGAATTCAGGTCCTTTCCATCCACACCAGCCCTACAGACACAAACACAGAGAGAGAGACCAGATTTATAGACAGATATTATATATTTTAATAGCACAAATCAGGTTAACATAAGGACTAAGTTAGTAATGCATTTAGTCTTAATTTAGAAATAAGCTGTAAATTAGTAATAAAATTTAGTCAATAACTTAGTAGACCTTAAATTTAGCCTTAAGTCAGTAATAAGCTTTAGGTAAGGAATACATGTAATTATAAACTTAAGCAATAAATCAGTAATAAACTTTAAGTAAAGAATAAATTTAAAGTTAAGCGTTAATTCGGTTATATGCTTTAAGTAAGCTTAAGCCCTAAGCTTTAAGCCTTAAGCCTTCAGCAACCAATGAGTTTAGCCCGAAGCCTTCAGTAACCAGTGAGTTTAGCCTGAAGCCTTCAGCAACCAATGAGTTTAGCCTGAAGCCTTCAGCAACCAATGAGTTTAGCCTGAAGCCTTCAGCAACCAATGAGTTTAGCCCGAAGCCTTCAGTAACCAATGAGTGTAGCCCGAAGCCTTCAGCAACCAATGAGTTTAGCCTTAGGTCAGTAATCAAGTTGAGACCAGTTCAGTTAGCAATAATCCTCAAACTGTGAATCTAATGGCTTATTATTCAGTAACGATCAATTATTCTGTATTGTTAAACTAATATGTAAATATGGGGACCCACACACGCTGTTGGTGTGTCCCTTTAACCGTGTTTGTTGTGTGTGTGTGTGTGCGTGTGTGTGTGTGTGTGTGTGTTAGAGATAACAGGTTCCAGATCACTGGCACTGTGAGCACACGTTAAAGTGAAACTGTGTCACTGGACGTAACGCTGTTTCCGGCCGGGTGGTGCAACGTCATGGTTTCTCCATCGTGTTTCTCTTTCACCCTGACACAAACACACACACGCTGCCAGTGAGAGGTATGCAGGAAGAGCAATAAACCTGCCAGCTCACGGGCAAAAAATAACCTCTCAGGGTCTTAAAACACTGCGCAGTCAGCGTTAAGTGCCAATCAAAACAGCCATTAAGTACAAGTTACTCATTTTTCAGTGTCAAAGCTGAAAACATATCTAAAAGCCTCAAAAAAGCCTCTGCATGGATGTTTTTCCCTCCAAGGTTCAGTCTAAGTTCAGCTACACATCCTTTCAGACCCACAGCGCTGAGTCGTCTTCTCACAGTGGAAGGATGGACAGAAACACCTGTGGATGTTTTCAGATCTGATCAGCTTGATTTTCTCCTCTCTCTCAGAGATGAAAGTGCTGTTTATCTGATGGGGGCAGTTTTGGTGTCTACCAGCTCTTCCAGGTGGTTGTTAGGAGTCTCCTTTTGCCTTTCTTTATCCAAGCGGGTTATCTCTGATCTATTCTCCTCAGAAATATCTCTTGAAATATGAATAAATTGTATTTAATGGCCGTTTTAATCAGATAAGATCTTTTTGTGTGGACTCTATGAACCTCGTGGTTAGTTTGTGGTGACTGATTAACACAGTTTAAATGCTTCAGACAGTAGTCACACCAGGCTGAACTCATCTTGTGGTACGTTTCCTGTACTTGCTTTGAGAATATGAACTAAACTGATATCACAACTCTAGCAAATGTTACTGTAAATCTCCATAAAAAAGCAACAAATTCATAGTAAAACCAGCAAAACCACTTCTGTTTGCTGAGTCAAGGATTCAAGGCGGTTTGCATGTGTTTCACTGCTTTCAATGGCAGGAAACTTGGATTATAATCAGGCCTTTTATCTGCGCAGCTCACCAACTTTACCCATTAACTCTACAGCTTATCAGTTGGTACGTGTTTGTCTTCAGGAACAGGCCGGGGCGAAACTCGACCTGTGGACCTTTTACACACAGACTTCCTGTGAAACTTAAACACGTGCAAAAGTGCATTTACGCCGCATCACATATTTCAAATAACCACCTTTCTGATTATGAAACTGAGACCTGTTTCAAACTATGACCTTCCAAAAGTCAAGTCAATCAGCCATGTTTGCTGTTTGCTTCTTCCTTCGTTTTGCACTGGAGCTACGAGGCTAACGGCGCTATTAAGAAATCGATGACCAGTGTCCAAGCTGTCCAATGTTGGCTGCTGCTACAGTTGGCTATACAAAGTGCTTATAGATAACAGTGCACCATACGGTGTCAGAAGCCACATCACCAACTCGTCACAGTGTGAAGCGAGTGAGAGATTTAAGTACTCAGCTAGCGCAGTGCTAACTGATTTCTCAATAGCTTGTTAGCCACAATAGCCTCGTAGCTCCTGTGCAAAACTAATAATGCAACATTATGGCTGATAAGTACATTCGGGGGTTGACTAGGTCATCAGACTATTACTTCAAGAGACCATTTGACCACATAAAGCGTCTAATGTGAACCGAGGCCTGAAGTTTTCCCTTCACCTCAAGGGAGCCGCGTAAAATCTCTTCAAAATCATAAAGTGGAAAGTGGAAAAAATACATAACTGCATATTTTTAAAGCTTTAAAACCTATGTTTATGTTTCCGCCCTTACGTTTTTGACAGCTACAAAATTTGCAGTTAAATTTTCAGCTTTCAATTTAACATAAGATACATTGATGAGCCAGAACATTGTACCGCAAGTCATATCTTACGTAACTAACCAAAGCGTTCATCACTTTACCATGACGATAACATGTTCAGAACCAATCAGTAAACTCGCTGCCATGGAAACACGACGGCAGACTTTTTCAATGACAAAAATATCCAGCATAGATGAGAATGATATGTACAAGTTAAACTGAATAAAGCTAATTATCTATAGCTGCTGTTTATTCTTTAATATTTATATACATAAATATATAAATACTCAGCTTTCCAAACGACGGTTTCTGGCTGACCGACACAACAGCAGCCTCAGTTTAGCTGTTTGGGCAGCTGCTGTCTCACTGAGCTGGAGCTGTGGGTGTTTAGCTGCAAGCTTGGAGTTAAAACCAGGGCGATGATTACAGCTGTGAGTAAAATCACAGTGTACAGCGTTTAGAGCTTTTAGCTTAGTTAACCGAAAAAGTCAAGTTTTAGGTCTTTTTTTGGGCTTTTTCTGATGGCTTCCCCAAAACTTACACCTGATCGGGGTGTCCACTCACTGTCCACTCTATTAGACACTCCTACCTTGTCAGTCCACCTTGTAGATGTAAAGTCAGAGACGATAGCTCATTTGCTGCTGCACAGTTTGTGTTAGCCATCCTCTAGTCCTTCATCAGTGGTCACAGGACGCTGCCCACAGGACGCTGTTGGCTGGATATTTTTGGTCGGTGGACTATTCTCAGTCCAGCAGTGACACTGAGGTGTTTAAAACTCCAGCAGCACTGCTGTGTCTGATCCACTCAGACCAGCACAACACACACTAACACACCACCACCACGTCAGTGTTACTGCAGTGCTGAGAATGATCCACCACCCAAATAGTACCTGCTCTGTGAGGGTCCATGGGGGTCCTGACCACTGAAGAACAGGGTAAAAGGGGGCTAACAAAGTATACAGAGAAACAGATGGACTACAGTCTGTAACTGTAGAACTACAAAGTGCACCTATATAGTAAGTGGAGCTGATAAAATGAGCGTAGAAACAAGGAGGTGGTCATAATGTTAGGCCTCAGACTCGGAGTGTTCAGTATGCTGATTGGTCAGTGCGGCGGTCAGTCATACCTTGTCAGTGATGATCTGTAGGTCCTCTCCGCCCGTGTAATGTGGGTCCAGGATGAGAAACCGGATGTCCCCACTGGACTCACTCCAGGCCACGCCCAGGATGGTGTGCGCCAACACGCCCCCTCCTGGCACAGAAAAATGACACCAATTTGAAAGACGGGTACACATCATTCCGTTAACACCCATTTGTAACTGTCTTAAAATGTCACTGGGGTCAGCCGGATGGTGAACACCATCTTGAGTCTCACAAAATTGTACTGCTGTGCTTCATGGATTTGGTCCAACAGTACGGTGTGTCCTGGCTGTTTTTCGCACGGAACAGTCAGAGTGTTCAGATGAATTATGGGAGTGGCTCATTTGGTAATGATGTTTTAAACAGATGGCATTGAAATTAAAGCAGAAACCATATAACAATGGCCAGTTTTGAGACTATAACAGATGCTAGATACAGCAGAACTGGACAGAAAAGCTGAATACGTATCTCCTTTTGATGGAGAAGATGTTTTCTCTCCTTTCCAAAGTGGCTGCACCTTGATTTACCCACTCACTCACTTGTGGCCGATACCACAAAGAGTGAAACTAAAGCAAAAGCTCTTACGATTCTGGATGGTTCATCTATAAACAGCAAATACTTAGACTACAAAACATATTTAAGTTGCAGGTTGCGAGTTGCAGGAAACAAATTCTGTGCAACTTGACAATTACAAACAGCAAATAAAAAATAACTGATTGTTTTACTGTTTTAATAAGATTAGGAGCTAATATGTTTTAAATATTGTATCATTCTGGCTAAGTTAAGAAAATGTGCTGTTATTTCAGTTGAAAATTAATCATTTAATAATTTAATTGCTCAACATGTTATGTTATCTACATTCTGACTGGCTTATTAATAGATAGACAGATATATAGATAGATAGATAGATAGACAGATACTTTATTGATCCCGAAGGAAATTTAGCAGCCAGTAGCAGTCAGACAACACAGCACAGTTATAATAATAATAATAATAATAAGGGTGGGTAATGAAACTTGTTTTGCAAGTTTGAGACAGGTGCAATGGTTGTGGCTGAGTTTTAAGCTTTAAGTGTGTTGCAGGAAGCTTTACATTATGCAACGGAGGTGAAATTTGTTTTCCTGTAAGTTTCAAGCCACTAAAGCTGCGCAAAAGTTTCGTAATGTAATGCCAGCCTTAACATTGCAGGGCCAGTTCCGTTCACAGACACTGGCTGTGTTTCAAACCACATACTACTATACTATACAAATGAATGTATTGTTAATGATGGTGAACATTTCTCAAAATTATGACTTATTAACTGCATAAAAATGAGACACGTAAGTGTAAGTAGGAGAAACAATATTATGAGATATTACTATGAGATAAATTCTTGTTATTAATTACGACACAATTATGAGAAACTTTCTTGCTTTCATGACTAACTAACTGGAGGAAATGGGCTGACACAAATTTTGACCTGTGATTGTTTGTCCACGATTCCTCTTAGTCTACTGGTACCCTTGAGTAGGGCTGAACGATTTGGGGAAAAATATCTAATCGCGATTTTTCTGACTGATATTGCATCTGTGATTTAAATTGTGATTATTTTCTGTAAATTGAAGTTCAGACCTGTTATTTTGGCCGAAGGCTAGAACACCCACTTTTTCTGGTTTAAGACTTGAACACTAAACATGCCAGATTGCCAGTTAGTTGTGGTTGTGATGTCACAGCATAGTTGGTTGCTTCTGATTGGTCTAACTCATCTACAGGCAGTTTACAAGCTCTGATATTAGATTCATGTTCCCCAATTAAGACAACACTGAGTGCGTTTACATGTACTTGATAATCAGATAACTGCTTGAAATCAGATTTTGTCAGTAATCCGATCAACACGTTTACACGCACTAGAGTAATCAGAGTAATGTGAAACTGCGAGTCTACAAGAGTCAGACAGTTATCAGATTTCTGCTTTGCAAGCAGCCAATAAAGTCACAGAAAAAGACGTGACGAAAACGTAATGTAAAACTTCATGTTGCAGGTTTTAAAAAAAATAATGAACATATGAAACATATGAAAATATGAACATACATCATATAGAAGATGAAGAATATTTAAATCCTTCATTTCGTGTTTGGTTTCAGCGTCACTCCAAAAACGTCTTGCAGTGACGCTGCTCGCTTATTTCCGGTACCGTGGTCTGTTTTCGCACATGCCCAGACTGAGCAATCCGAAAGAAATCAGAATAAGAGTTTACATGCACTGAGAAATCTGATTACTGAGCTAAAATCCAGCCTCTTTATCAGATTTCTTAAACGTATTTCTAGAACTAGAGTATGGTGTTTACATGACCATTTGAATAATCAGATAACTGCAGAAATCCGATTATGATTGGATTATTGAGTGCATGTAAATGCACTCATTATTAATAAAAATGGATAGAAATAAAATTGCAGCTCTTGCAATTTGAAAATTGCACTCTTTTAAATTGCGATTTTGATATGAAAACGATTAATCTTTCAGCCCTACCTTCGAGGTTTACTAATGCATCTGCTGCAGAGTATCTGTGGAGAATTATGACTCACCAATCATAATGGGCGTTCCCACAGTCTCAAAGTGATTGGCCAGCTCTCTGCCTTTGGAAGCCAGCTCAGACCCCCGACTGCAACATAAGAGACGTTTCATCAGTCAGTTAAATCAGTTTGTTTCCATTTTTTAACAAAATTTGAGAAAATCAGCTGCATTTTACATTGTGTGAATATTTCATGATGAATGGACCAACAGAAATGCTCCAACATTGTTTGGAATAAAATCTATTTACATTAACTTACAAACCCATTTACAAAAAAGTTGGGACGCTGTGAAAAATGTAAATAAAAACAAAATGCAAATGATGTGCAAATCATTTAAACCCTGCATTTAATTGAAAATAGTACAAAGACAACATATCAAACGTTGAGGCCGAGAAATTTTATTGTTTTTAGAAAAATATTTGCCCGTTTTGAATTTGATGCCAACAACATGTTCCAAAAAAGTTGGGACGGGGCAACAAAAGGCTGGGAAAGTTGTGTTATGCTAAAAAACACCTGGTGGTTGATTGGTAACAGGTCAGTAACATGATTGGGTATAAAAGAGCATCTCAGAGAGTCCTTCAGAAGTAAAGATGAGGAGGGGTTCACCACTCTGTGAAAGACTGCACCATCAAATAGTGGAAATCACTGCATGGGCTCTGAAACACTTCTGAAAAATACTGTCTGTGAAAACAGTTCATCACTGCATCCACCAATGCTAATTAAAACTCTAAAACGCAAAGAAGAAACCAAATATAAACAGGACCCAGAAACGCTGCCACCTTCTCTGCGCCGGAGCTCATTTAAAATGGACTGAGCGAAGTGGAAAAGTGTCCTGTGGTCTGACGAATCAACATTTGAAATTCTTTTTGGAAATCATGGACACGGTGTCCTCCGGGCTAAAGACCACTCAGCTTGCTATCAGTGCGCAGTTCAAAAGCCTGTATTCATGATGGTATAGGGGGGCATTAATGCACATGGCATGGGTGACTGGGACATCTGTGAAGGCACCATTAATGCTGAATGATATATACATGTTTTGGCAACATATGCTGCCATCCAGACGACGTCTTTTTCAGGAAAGGCCTTGATTATTTCAGCAAGTCAATGTAAAACCACATTCTACATGTATTACAGCAGCATTGCTCCGTATTAAAAGAGTCCGGGTGCTAAACTGACCTGCCTGCAGTCCAGACCTGTCACCACTGATAACATTTGGTGCATTATGAAATGAAAAATATGACAAATGAGCTCCTGAACTGATGAGCAGCTGAAATCCTGTATCAAACAAGAATGGAAAACATTTCACTTTCTAAACTACAGCAGTGTCTCCTCAGTTCCCAAACCCTTACAGAGTGTTGTTAAAAGAAGAGGTGATGAGACACAGTGGTAAACAGGCCCCCGTCCCAACATTTTTGGAACGTGTTGTTGGCATCAAATTCAAAATGGGCAAATATTTTTTAAAAAACAATATAATTTCTCAGTTTCAACATTTGATTTGCACATCATTGCATCCTATTTTTATCTACATTCTGCACAGCGTCCCAACTTTTTTGGAAATGGGGTTGTACATTAAAAATAAAACATGTTTTGCCCTCTTCTGTAAAGCTGCCAGTTTGGAGATACTTGTTTTTATTTGCACAGTGATATAGCAAAAAATATATCTCAGCATACAGTCGCAGTCAATAATTTGCACATACCACACCAAATGTACAGTCGTACACAAAAGATGCTGGAGGTTAAAAGACGTTTTGTTGATTTTCTATGTGAAAACAGAGACACACACTGCACATTTTAATGCACAGTTACTGTTGATGGGATGTAGATTCTCTCCTGTAATCAAATTTGAGTCTTTCTAATTCACAATGTTTTCCTTAAGAGCTTATTTCTAATACCTAAAAATAACAGTTCTTTGGCTTTTGTGTCTCTGGGAGTGTGAGGTAAGTCCTTTATGTTGCTGTGACATGAGATAAGGACTTGTTTACGTTCATCTCCAAACGATCCTACCAGACACGGCAGCGGCCGATGGCTCAGGAGCTGAAACTGGGGTTTTCAGTCATCGTCTAACTGGGTGAAAAGTGACTATTCTTTATTTTTATTCTTTTAATTGTGTTTCCTTTTTCATGTTCCTGTAATAATGAGAAACATCTTTCGTATTTAATTTTATAATCTGTCTAACTTTTGAAATTCACTGTGTGAACTAATTATGGATGGGTGTTCTAAACGTTCTCAGTCATGCAGTTCATTACTCGAATGTAACATATTGAATAAAATGGAATAAAATGTGGGCAAAAGTGACGGTACATTTTATATGTTTAATTTTTTTTCAATGTGCTAAATTAATTAAGCAAGCAAATAAAAAATGTGCACTAAAATTTTTAGTATTTGTTTGTTCCCTGTAGAGGATGTGTTCATTTATTTTTCACTTGGAAAATCAACAAAACATGTAATCTGACCTGAAGGTGTTTAAACTTTTGCATACAACTGTATGTGTTTTCAATAAAATCTTAAAGACGTTTGATCTAAAGGCAAATGCTTGAAATTAGCTTCTCAGACAAATATAAAAAGTGAAGTAAACACCTAAATTGATATTTCCAAAATCTGAACGTTTTTTATTACGTTTACATGATTCATTTTTTTTTACAACAGCAGTTCTGAGCACCTTTAAAAAGAAAAATTTACACTGTACATCCTAAATGCTGAATTCACTGTACGGAAACAGTCTTTTGGGGTGCAAATACAAACACACAGCACATGGTACCTGACAAACAGGATCTTCGAGGTGACCCCCAGCAGCTGGTTGAGGACGGCCTGCACCTCTATAGAGCCGATCCACTGGCGAGAGCCCACAAAGGGGGGCTCTTTATCCCCCACATCCAGCAGAGCCTGGAGAAAAGAAAAACATGTTTTAACCGACAGAAACAGTGTTTACTATAGTTTTGAATCAATAGGTGTTGGCAAAAAATGTAATATTGTGATTCCTGAAAACTTTCTGACAACACACAATACACTTTACTGGGATTTGTAAACAAGCTAAAAGACATAAACCGCACCAATAAATCGCTAAAGCCAAAAAAACAGTGAAAAACTTTATTATACAGGGTTCAACACAGCAACGTTTCCCTAACATGAAAATTCACTGTTCCAAACAGAGTCTTGATTTTTGCTTAATAGAAATGAGCACATATACACAAATCTCTTTAGGGAAATTCATTTATTCTAAAAAGCTACTATTATTATTATTATTATTATTATCATTATTAAAACTATTATTATTATAAGGCTTCTATTGTTATCCATATTATTATTTTTCTTTATATTCTCCTTTTGCAAATAATACAGCTTGAATTGCTCAACATACAGACTCCATTTAAACTTTTAGCTTTTCAATGGATTGTGTGAATTTTTCCTCACCTCATAATTTCATAATTCTGCACTCTTTTATTTTTTTCCATATTTTCCCTTTTATTCCATTTCTCAAAGCTCTTTTAAGTTTTAAGGCCAGTTTTCTATGTGCTCAGATAATCATGACATAGTTTATTACAATAAAGGTACCAGATTATATTGTCTGCTCCTTTTTAAACACCAAAATGTGAGTATGTGTCTACATTTGGTATAAATTGCTTAAGCTCACTGTTTAAAAACATTTATTTTGGTAATAAGTGTGTTTTTGCTTGTGAAATCCACATATCATCAGAATAAATGCAAATACAAATAATAAATACAGTAGCAGCACCTGTTGTACCTATTTGTTATCTTGGCATGTACGTGTGTGTGTGTGTGTGTGTGTGTGTGTGTGTGTGTGTGTGTGTGTGCGTGTGTGTGTGTGTGTGTACCTGCTGTATCTCCGTGTGAGTGGGCACCGCTCTGTCCGTGTAGCCCTGCTGCTGAAACCAGGAGCAGATGGTCTGAAGTGAGCGATACGCACAGCCCCAGCCGTTATCATCCACACGATCCTGCATGTAGTGATGATAACTGTACACACCCCTCACCACGGACACCTGCGGAGAGAGACGGAGGCGGGAGGGGCAGAGTTACAGCAATATTTTTATTCTAATCTTTATTATATTAGTTCCTCAGGCCTAAAGACCATCTTTTCTTCAGCAGATGACCAGCACACATGAAGTCAGAGACTTAGAAGCCTAATTCTAGTTACATGAGATACAACAAATTTCTACCGTTTGTGATGTATTGGCTCAGAATGTAGGTACATACACTAATCAGAGCTGTTGTCGGAACAAAACCTTGTATCTCCAAAATGGTAACTTTACAGGAGAAGGAAAAAACATGCTTTACTTTTAATGTAAGTCAATGGAACCAGACTTTTTTCCAAGTCATTTTGGGCCGTTTCTTTTGGTCCATTCATCATGAAATTAAGAGACAATGTAAAGAACAAGGCATTTTCAAATTCTGTCAAAAACCGAAAAACGACAAAAATATACAAGATACAAGGTTTTGTTCAGCAGCGATATATACATTTGTATTATGTTGGGTGAAACTTTGCATGCATATTTGCAACATATTTGTGGTGCAACTTGACAGTTACATGAAGCAATTCAACAACAATAAATGCTGCACACAGCACATTTGATTATTCCACTAATTAAGACAAATTAGCAGCTTGTATAATGATGAATCGTACTGATCTCACTATAAAAACAACCTGCGATGTGTTCTTGGCTGCACTAGTAAATAGAGTAGACAAAAAAAAGACCTAGAAGGTGAGTGAATATATGGTATGAATGATGGGGGATGTGGTGTTAAGCAAGCGAGCATGCTACAAAAATAAACAGTAGCACAAACAGCTGTCATCGTTAGCTGGCTAGATAAACCAGACGATTACAGAAACGTCAGTTGTTATAGTTCAGGCAGTGTCTAGAAAGCCAGACAACATTTCAGGGCTGATTCAGAACATGGACCAACGTTGCACGAAATTGTGAGAAAAATATATTTCCTGTTGTGCATCTTAAGGCTGTGGGTGACGTGTTTTCGTACATTTAAAGCATCCAATTGGATTGATAGTCACAATAGATGGAAACTATCAATGATCACAGATACTATCGCTGAAGCCTAACTGAAAAAGTCTACAGTCCCTGTTCAGAAGCATCAGAAATGAACTCCGCAATAATTTCATGTAAAAACTAATAACGTTTATGTACTTGCACACACATAAAGGTGGGCGATATGGCAAAAATATAATATCGCGGTACTTCAAGAAATTTTTACGATCTTGATATATCACGATATTTACTTTTTCAGACATCTGAGCAGCGGTGCTCCATTTAAAATGTGACTACAGTGATTTTTATTCCATATTTGGCACTAAATCCAGTTAAACAGAACTAATTATGCTAAACACGCAGTTGGTCAGTGTTCTACAAGTACTTATGATATACAGGGTATGTTTAGAAAAGAATACTGTATTGTATTGTGGCATAATTCATCACAATAATGATATATTTGGTCGTATTGCCCAGCTCTACACACACACACACAAACACCCACACGCACACACGCACACACACACACGCACGCACACACGCATACGCACACACGCACACGCACACACGCACACACGCACCCACACGCACACACACACCCACACACCCACACGCACACACGCACACACGCACGCACACACGCACGCACACGCACACAGAAACACACAGACAATGCTTTACAAAGATGACTTCTGAAAGCAGCTTCATGTAAATCAGCATATAAAACATGTAAATCAGCGAATTCCAACGTATGTGTGTGTATGTCTATGTGTGTGAGTGTGTGTGTGTGTGTGAGTGTGTGTGTGAGTTTGTGTGTGTGTGTGTGTGTGTGTGTCCTCTCACCTTGGCATCTTCCATGTTGGGTGCAGTCAGATGAGTGTGTGGATTGCGCAGGTAGCCATCCTTATACGCCTCATCTGGGAAGTGAAACGCATTGGCCCTCCGGAAATACGGCCTGTCGCTAGGCAACCCATACTTCCTGTGGAGCTCCTGCATAAAGAGAGAATGCTGATTAGTAAGGGTGTAAAAAAGGGTTTTGACTGAAAATAAAAAGGGGTTGATGTATTGATCTGAAGATGCTGATTCAACTGCATCTGTTAGGTTACTGTAGATAATATTTTATATTAATGGACTCAGTTATGATGGATGAGGGGTTTTCAGCTCAGTCCTGGAGACTCACTGCTCTGCACAGGTTCAAGTAATCCCTGCTAAAGCTCTACTGGAGCTGGATTACCTTTACCTGCTGTAATCTGAGTGATGACTGATGAGATCTGTGATTTTAATCCAATATGAATCTGTAGTTTTTTACGAGTCTATTCAGCTAAATGGATCTTAATTTTATACTTTATACAATACTTTAATCCTCAACTTCATGAGACGACTACTGAAACAGTTTCGGTGATGACCGAATGACGAGGAAATGGAACGAAAATGAAATATGTCTCGCAAGGCATTGTGTTTTCTGTCTTGTTTCTTAGTTTCACTTTCGACCAGTCACTAACAGCGTATGCTATGATCAGCACCATCATTTCGAATTGCCGCTGATAACAGGCGTCCACTGTTGCGCTTTGCGGTTTATTTTTGCCGTCAAATGCTGGTGTAAACATCCGCATGATGATGTTTCGATCCGGGCTATCTGGCATAACTTGGGGAAATTACACAGCTCCTTCCTCTATCCTGTACGAATCAGCCAGTCAACATTACCGGACCTTCTCTGGTGAAACTAATCCAGCTCCAATAGGGCTCAAACTCGCGGGGTACATGATAATCAGCTAAGGAGTTGGATCAGGTGTGCTAGAGCAGGGACGACCTGAAACTGCAGTGGAGTTAAAACTAATTGATCATAAGAATATTCAATAATCAGTATCATTATTTAACTGAAACAAATTCTCAGGCTGTTTTCAAATGTTTAAAAAGTGTCTTTACTGCTCTGAATTTATACATTAATAAAATCTCACTCATAAATTCCAAACTTAAAACACGTACCACACTTGTAAGCAGAAGAGATGTTCTATTATGACTTAAATTCATAAGGATTAAAACTAATATTTTTGTTTTGTGATTGTTACTGGAGTACTTTTAAACACTTCTAAGCAGTAAGTACAGGTGCAGATTATTCTGAATGATGGAGTGACACAGTACTTGGAATTATACCATAAAATATTCCAACAGTGTCATAAGACCCACAACTTAAACTTTTCTTGTCTTCTAATTTTATTTCATCCACTTTTCACATTTGTGTACCACAAACACAGACCTAATTCCCCTAATTGTCCATTAAAATTCAATAGGTTGTTTTTATTTCTGCACTTTTTAGTCTGTTTTCACACCAAGGTCATTCGCTAAAACCCAAATCAGAATTCTGTGTAGACGTTTGTGAGCGATCGCACAACAGTATAGAGTCTTGCTTCCACAGTATTACCAGCTACTAAGTAAACATAGCTAGCAAGTAAAGTACCTGGTCACTTACAGTATTTTTATAGCTGCAAACAAAGAACAAGAAAAGACAACAAAATCTTTAATTGCAAATTGTTTACAAGACATTGTAAAATGCATAGTTGCGGTCCTAATATCTGATTGGCTGAGTCACGTTCAAAGCAGTTTTAAAATACACTATATCTAAGACGCCTCACAACAACTGAACTCTGTATTACTGCACCACAGCACGAAAAACCCTTGTGCTGTTAATGGAATAATCTTTGACTCTAATGCTGCTCACATGGAGCACAGAGTGTACTGATGAAGTAAGAACCTGTTTTTGTTTAAACTGAGGGGCTGAAAACTTTGTTCTTAACTAGAACCGGGCTGGTCTGCTAGCTAACAGGCTAAACAGCTCCATCATTAATATCACAGGCTCAAATTAAAGTACTCACGGTTTAATTCACTGTAAAACTGCAGTATAAAAGTCTAAAAATGTCACCTGAATGTCTTACACATAAGTCCGTCAATCCCAGGCTGAATCCCAAACGGCTCTGTACTCCCTAAATAGTGTTCTAGCTGTGAAAGGTTAGAAATTCTAGCCTCTACAGCCAAACAGTGCATCGTGTATCGAGTGTGGATGAGTCTGAGTCCCAAATGACTGTTTCTTAGCTGTATTTTGCTCTGTTGGGCTGCAGGATCCAGTATTTAAACTCCTACGTAGTGCACTATGTAGGGAGCAGGGAGCCGTTAGAGATTCAGCCCCAGTGTGAGAACAGGGTGCTGGATTGGTGCTAAATAAGAGTCGCGGTGGTGATTTGGTGACCAAAAAGTGCTTATAAAGCAAAGAATTTTGCATTAAACAGTGCTGTGATATCACATGTTCACTGTTATACAAAAAAAAGTTAAAAAGTTCATGAAATAAACACAACATAAAGTGATGGGTGACCGAACGTTCTCCTCATTCAATGGTCCATGGTTGCTTGGCAACGATGCCACACTCTAAAGGAACTACATTTCTTTTTCAGAATACGTGTTTATATTGATTGTTATCAATAATAACAAATTATTTGCTGAAAAATTGCCATCATATTTAATGTTGGCCGCCACTGTATAAAAACAATGAGCCACTCAAGGCTGTACATTACAGTGATTTTATCACGGAGAACAGGGCTTCAGAACAGCATTCCTGTGATAAAATCACAGTAAAGCACGGCCTTTTGTGGCTTATTGCTTCATTTAATTGTCAGCTTTTTTCATGACTTTCATGATTTCATGATCATGTCAGCCCCACTGCTTCATTGTAATTGTACTGCCTGTCTGCTGTTCTTAATGCAAGAATGCTATGAATGTCTGTAAAGAGCCAGACGTGAAAAATTATGCAGACAGTACAGCTCTGATGTTCTGCTAGAAGAATCAGAAAAGCATGCTGTGATGCTGGTTTCTCCATTTCACCATCACAAAAATACGTTCCCAAAACCGCGAACTGGACAGGGTTCGTTTGGAAGCGAAGCGAGACCCGCAATTTTTGCCAGACCGCAGTTCACTGGTGCACGCTCGTGTCCAGGTGGAGCTTTAACACCTGTCAAAACGGACTGAGCTAAAGACAAAGTCTGATAGGTCGGCAGCAAACAAGGTTGGTGTGAAAACACCCTAAGACTGATTCGTGTAAATGATCTTGGTTCTGATTGGCTGCCTTGTGTTGTGCTGTCCATTCTAAAACATTACTTAGAACTTCAATATGGTTGGGCGGGGCTAAACTGCTGCAAGTGGAACTGGCAGTCATATGAAAATGTGTTGGTTTTTGTGACATCAAAAAAACAATGAATTTAAAACTGCAGCTGACGTTTCATATATGGACCTAATGGACGAGGAGTGGACACTGGTTGGTTTGACACTTGGGCCCTTTAAATGTGTCTACTTGATGACAGTCATGACTTTTAACACTAATAATGGCGATGAGCAATAGACTGCAGCTGACTGACTGACCCTTCTGTCAGCTGTATGACAGCAAAGCGACCAGGCCGGCAGACTGCATGGGCGTGTATGTGTGTGGTGGTTCTACCTCTCTCACGGTCAGCAGCTGACTGTCCGGCACTCCTGCAGGGTAAATAACAGTGACCAGTCCACTAGACTCTGGTAGCTGAAAGTGGAAAGGCTGAGGCACCAACAGAGACGAGCCTTTCCTGTACCTCAGCACCACTTCCTGCATGTCTGATAACTGGCCGCACAGCGCCCCCACCAGGCCTGAACACACACTGCAGGAAAAATAGTGCTTAGTGTACCTACAAAGTGATAGATAGCTTTGTACAAACTTCATTTCCTGAAATGTTGGGACAGTAAGTGAAATACAAATAATAAGAGACAGCAGTGATTTATACACTGATCAGGCATAACATTCTGACCACCTCCTTGTTTCTACGCTCATTGTCCGTTTTATCAGCTCCACTTACTATATAGGTGCACTTTGTAGTTCTACAATTACAGACTGTAGTCCATCTGTTTCTCTGATACTTTGTTAGCCCCCTTTTACCCTGTTCTTTAGTGGTCAGGACCCCCATGGACCCTCACAGAGCAAGTACTATTTGGGTGGTGGATCATTCTCAGCACTGCAGTAACACTGATGTGGTGGTGGTGTGTTAGTGTGTGTTGTGCTGGTCTGAGTGGATCAGACACAGCAGTGCTGCTGGAGTTTTTAAACACCTCCGTGTCACTGCTGGACTGAAAATCGTCCACCAACCAAACATATCCAGGCAACAGCGTCCTGTGGGCAGCGTCCTGTGACCACTGATGAAGGACTAGAGGATGACCAACACAAACTGTGCAGCAGCAGATGAGCTATCGTCTCTGACTTTACATCTACAAGGTGGACTGACAAGATAGGAGTGTCTAATAGAGTGGACAGTGAGTGGACACAGTGTTTAAAACTCCAGCAGCCCTGCTGTGTCTGATCCACTCAGACCAGCGCAACACACACTAACACACCACCACCACATCAGTGTTACTGCAGTGCTGAGAATGATCCACCACCCAAATAGTACCTGCTCTGTGAGGGTCCATGGGGGTCCTGACCACTAAAGAACAGGGTAAAAGGGGGCTAACAAAGTATCAGAGAAACAGATGGACTACAGTCTGTAACTGTAGAACTACAAAGTGCACCTATATAGTAAGTGGAGCTGATAAAATGGACAATGAGCGTAGAAACAAGGAGGTGGTCATAACGTTAAGTTAATTTTGGTCAAACTAAATTTACTAAATCTCTGCTTTCTTCCTTGCTATTGACTTTTGTGGCTCCGGTGTAAACCAAAGAAGCAAACTTCTCGATTTGGGGCAAGACTCGACTCCATTTGCCAAACTACTGCTTTAAACCAGTGTTTCTCGGGGCTTTTCCTGTCCCTCTACTTTCACACGTCTATCTCAACTTTATGGAAGGCTTGGTAATTAGATGATGAATCAGTAAACACCACCGCAGAGGAACTACAGGACAAATGACTAGGAAACACTGCTAAAGGCAGGAGGAGTGTGGACGGAGGTGCACTCACGAGCCGAGCGAGTCCTGCCCTGATGCAGAGAACACACAGTCCACACACAGAGGCATCCTCGCACTGTGCTGCTGCTTGGTCACTCTACAGAGGCTGAGAGCTCTACTGTCCCCCGACTCTGTGACCTCCAACAGCAGCTTCAGGTTCACCACACTCTAAAAAAAAAAGAGACAGAGAATAAGACGCAGTAACTCTGTCAATTTAATTCAAAAGAGGTGGAGAACACAGCCTCGTTAGAGTCTGATTGATGTTTCATTTGGCTGATAAAAATGAGCTGATATTTAAGGTGAAAGTCATAAATCTGACAAAATAAGTTTTCTTTGGGGACTATTTTGCCTCACAACGTCCTGCATGCATCCCTCCACCATGAACTGATTCGAATAAAAGGATTAACAAGACATTCCAAAATCTTATCACAGAACTATCATAAAACAGTGTCTCAGTCATCAGGCAGTGAATTCATAACCATTTCATGTAGTAACTTTCTGTGAGGGAGCTTTTAGAGGTGGACGTCTGGTTCCTATCACCACCACTGTGAACAGTTCTGACTCGGTAAGTTTCTCTAGAACAGAGCGTTTCACACCAAACCACTCTGAATGAGTTTGTTTACATCCTAACCATTTAATTATGTCGAACTTTCTGGAATCAGAATTTTAGCTCCTTAAAATTAGATTTGGCTCCATACCAACCATATCGCCCTTGTCACAATATAGTTTTAAGTCACTCTAAGCATCGCATGATGCAAAATAAAGAACGGTTTAATGTTTTGTTTTCCATTCTAATAAAAGATGTACTCACAGGACCAGCATCTCTTTTATCCTTCCTTTTGGACTTCTTGCTCCCTCCATCTTCCGCTCTGTGGATCAGAGGCAGCAGGAGTTTAGGAACTACAGCTAAGGTTTTGCATCCACACTCCAACATAATAAGCATGTTCTTCAAAAAACAGCTCCACTCGCTATACATAAACAGAACTCAGCTCTCTGTACTCACTCTATGTACTGCTGGATGTCTCTACACGGCGTTCCTTCAGTCAGATGCTCTGCCGTGGACTGTAAGCCCTTGTTGGGCCACAGCAGTACAGAGCTGTTACAGACGGTGAAAACGAGGCTTTCGGACGACACTCTGGAACGGAGGGCCTGGAAGGATTTACAGATGGCGCTCTGTCCTTGGGTTTCTGGAACAAACAACACTCCCTGTTCAGCGTCTCAGGCCCAGGTCAGTTCATTTTACAACTGCAAATAAAGCCATACGGCTCGAGTGCTTTCAGCAGGCAGCAGGAGTGTTGGTAGTTAGTATTTAGATAGCTTTAGCATCTTGTATATCCATAGCAACACCTTAGTAACCACCTTGGATACCATACCAACTGTCTAGCAACGCCCTAGCAAGCGCCTGGGATACCACAGCAACCGTCTAGCAACATTCTAGCAACCACTTGGGATACCATAGCAGCCATCTAGCAACATTCTAGCAACCACTTGGGATACCATAGCAACCGTCTAGCAACATCCTAACAACCACCTGGGATACCATAGCAACCGTCTAGCAACACCCTAGCAACCACCTGGGATAACATAGCAACCATCTAGTTACATAGTAACCACTTGGGATACCATAACAAGTGCCTAGCAACCCCCTAGCAACCACTTGGGATACCATAGCAGCCATCTAGCAACATTCTAGCAACCACCTGGGATACCATAGAAGCTGTCTAGCAACATCCTAGCAACCACTTGGGATACCACAACAGCCATCTAGCAACATTCTAGCAACCACCTGTGATACCATTGCAACCCCCTGGGATACCACAGCAATCGTCTAGCAACATTCTATAGTAATCACCTTGGGTTACCACAGCAACCATCTAGCAACATCATAGCAACCGCCTGGACTACCATAGCAACCATCTAGCGATACCCTAGCAACAATCTGGGCTACCATAGCAACCGCCTACCAACACCTTGACAACATAAGCTGTGCAGTCACTCATATGAGTATCTGCAGTGTCAGTAGGCAGCATCAGGTGAAGGTTAGCTGACAGCAGTACTTCAGAAGTGTATTAATAAGAGTATCGGCCGTTAAAATGGTGTTACCATTAGAGTCAAGTTGGCAGGAGAACTCCAACACGCCCCTCAGCCGAAAGATAAGGGTGCTGTTTTCTGTGAGAACCTGTTAGAACCCAAAAACAAACAGAAGTGGTGAAAAAATCTGAGAAAAGTCTCATTTCTCCATTTAAACTGTGCAGAAACCACACGGAGGCAGTAATCACTGACTGTTCTGCTTATAAAGAGAAGACCACGACCCTGAAATTAGCTCCGTTCCACCTTAAATAGTGCAGCGGTTACGTATACCATTTAAGGTGGAACTGAGAATTGGAAAAGGAAACTGGCGAACAGGACGCCTCGTGATATATGAAGCTGAAGCTGGATTCTTATTCGGATTTCCAGTTCCACCTTAAATGATGCAGCATGTAACTGCCATTCCATTTAAGGTGGACCGGGAAACTTGGAATAAGAATCCAGCTCCAGCCTCTTCAGTGACACGAGCTCTCACAGGTTTAATAAGAGCTGTAATAAGAGCTTTAATGAGAACTGTAATAAGAGCTTTAATAAGAGCTTTAATAAGAGCTTCAATAGAGCTTTAATGAGAGCTGTAATAAGAGCTGCAATAAGAGTTTAATAAGAGTTTAACTCACCATTTTAGTGATTCAGCCTCAGGACAGAGTGAGAGGCATGACGTATCACAACACTGCCGGCTTCTTCTGCTTAGAAGAAAGAAAGAGAATAGCGCCCCCGCTGGACTGGAGCTTCGGTTACAGCAACCATATGACAATAACATGTCAAATACAATTAAATCAGCAAATTAATAAAATAACATCTACTTAAAATTACAAACACATTTTATTGTACACTTTTAGCAACATGGTTCTATCATTGTTACGATGGCAGAACCTTTTTTATTCTACACTTTCAGATTCTTTAAAGGGCCCACATGCTAAATATTTTCCTGTATTTTTGTTGTTTTTTTCCCCTGAGGTTACAATGCTTTTGTCGTTTTAGGCACCAAAAATGGTCATAATTCATTTTTACATGACCATTTTTTGATCTCAATTCATCCCTTAAAATAAACCAGGCTGTTTGGTTGCCCTCTATCCTGCTTTATTAAAGGTCAGTCCCGGCTGAAACACTGCTTATAACTTCAGCGTGACTGGGCGGAGCTAAACTGCTGCAGGCTGAACAGGCGGACAAACGTGAACTAGTTTTTTTGTGACATCACAGATTCAAAACAGACATATTTTCCATGTTGGGACGGTATGGATTGTGAAAATTTAATAATGTTCACACGTGACATCAAATAGCTTTATTTCCAAAAACGAGGGAAATTTAGTTTTCCATGATACACAACAGGGCTGTGTTCATCCCCACCAAAACGTAGCAAAGCGTTCATTTAAACGTAACTGGTGGTGCGTTCAGCACTGTTGTGTTACGCAACCTTTGCAACTATGGCAGCTCAGAAGGCCATTCTTAGTGTCCTTTAGAAGAACTTGAGTTGATAACATGGTTTAAATACATTAATAGACCTAATTATATAAATGTCATGTTTTTGAAATGCTTTCAAAAACATGACATAAACAGTGTGTGGAGATCTACACATACAATAACCAATACAAGTTATAATTCAAAAATGATCTTATTCTATTAAAAAAAGCTTCACAGTAAAATACTGTATGTCTTCTAACATCGTCAGTAGTTGCGAACACCAACCTACAGCAGCCGCATTTGTAGAGGACTTCATTAGAATCCACTGTGTGTGCTGCCTTTTTAATACAGCAGCGTTTATATACACGTCGCTGCTGATTGGGTAACACCTCTGACACGCCCACCAAACCAGAGAAAATGGACCTTAAAGCCCGCTGCCCACCATTTCAACAAAACATGTTGTTTAACCAAGAAACCCAACAAAACGTGCACAACGTTTCTGAGATTGAACGCGCCCATGGGTTTCCAGCAGTGAAGAACCAGTTACCCATTCAAAACCATTTATACATCCAGTGAGTGTGTTTACATGCACTCAATAATACAATCATAATCGGATTTCTGCAGTTGTCTGATTATTCAAATGGTCATGTAAACACCATACTCCGATCTAGAAATCCGATTAAGAAATCTGATAAAGAGGCTGGATTTTAGCTCAGTGATCTGATTTCTCAGTGCATGTGAACTCTTACTCTGATTTCTTTCAGATTTCTCAGTCTGCGCATGCGCGACAACAGACTGCTGTACTGGAAATAAGCGAGCAGCATCGTCGTGAGACGCAGCAAAACACTTTTGGAGCAACGCTGAAACCAAATACATGCTTGACGAAATAAAGAATTTAAATATTCTTGTTTGTTCATATTTTCAGGTAAAGTGGCACAATGTTTTTAAAAAAGCTGTGTCATGAAGTTTGAGTTTTACATTATGTTTACGTCACGTCTTCTTCTGTGAGTTTATTGGCTGGTTGTAAAGCAGAAATCTGATTATTGTCTGACTCACGTAGACCTGGAGTTCCCTCGTTATCTGATTACTCAAGTGCATATTAACGCGTTGATCAGATTACTGACAAAATCAAAATTTTCTGCGGTTATCGGAATTTGAAGTGCATGTAAACACACTCAGTGAGTGTTCCTGATTCTATATATAACCATTGCCGTTTTGAGTGTGTAGCATGAGGGCAGTTAAAAAAGCTTTTTCTATTTAAATATTTGCTGCATTATTTATAAGTGAATCGATGAATTTTTTGTGCTCCTAAATGCAGACATAAATAAACCTTAACAGAGGCTAAAGGACATTAATCAGAACTTACGAGCCATGACAAGAGGCATCATAGCAAAAAATGGATCACGTATTCACTCATGTAGGGCTGTATGATATGGACAAAATATTAGCATTGCGATTAGACTGCTATATGTTGTAATTGCAATACGCTTTGCAATATATAACAAATACACTAATCAATACTGAGATAACTAAAAAATGAAATATTCTGGAAAAAGATCACTTTTGCTGAAACATATTTACAAAGCACACACAAAAAACAAAAAATGTTGTGATTGGTTGGAGCACTCATTTGCATATTGTAGCCTTCTGTGGTATCAGTACTGCAAAAGCTAATAATGATTAACAAATAATATATCGTGCAGCCCCTACATTCAAGAGAGTATCATGGGTGTGATGTGGAACACAGCAAATCAAACCAACTAATCAAATTTTTGGAGTTTTTTTAATCAGAAATAATATTATAAAGAAAGCTTATATTACAGCAGAATAACTGTACACTGTTTATGATTGATAGAAACTTTGCTTGCCCTTTAGTTTTCACACAGTAACAACTGTAATAACTTCCAGCAAACAATAGGTGTTCAACCCTGAAAACAACTTCATACACACACACACACACACACATACACACACACACACACAGTATTCCGTTTCTCTCAGTCCCTCAGATTTTCCGTCTGACTGAAACAGGCCGACGGTTTTGCCTCCGTTTCCGTCTCTTCCTCTTTAAAGTGCATCATCATCCCTTCCACATCTTCGTCTCCTGTAGAGCACAAACAGAGTGTTGAATTCAAGAACAGGTGTGATGGATGAAACTGTACTTCTAAACTGACCTGAGGTCAGTCCTGCACTTTGTCTTAAAATGGTTAACTGTGGGGCGACTTGTGTAGGGAACATGTTGCAGTAACTTATGGGCGATCCACCATTTTGGCAGGGTTAGTAAGTCTAAGCTGGCTCTGAATATTTTGTCAATCTTCTTTTCTTATCAGTTTTCTCTGGCTACGTTCACTCAGCAGGTAAAAGTGGCCCAAATCTGATTTTCTCACCAAATCAGACTTTTTTGTTTGGCTGTTCACATTGTCTTTTAAATGTGATCTGTATGAGACATCAGTCTGAACAGATCAGCTCCTAAACTGAGCCGCATGTGTAAAAAGAACAGAGCTTCACGGTTCATCCAGAGGTAAACAATCACGGCCGCCAGCGAACGCCAGTCGCTCCCGGAGGATCAGCTTCATCTTTACCAGCATTACAGGAGCCATCATGAAGCTTCACTGACTGACAGCTGGGCTCATCACCCAGAATGTGTTCAAACCATAAAAAGGGCGCGGTCAGTTCTTTGGTTCGCGTCCTCGGATTCTTTAAACTTTGCTTTCAGGCTTTTAACTGTTCTTTGACGCTGCAGCCTCGTACTCCTACGGCTGCGTTCGGACATTTCTTTCGCAATTTCTTGGAACACGAAGCGGTTTGGAACAGCAGCCTCACTCCACTCCTTGGAGTTTTGGAGTTTGTATGTATTCATTCCGTAAGTAGACATTCATACTGGTGAATCAACTATGTGACAGTTAAAGATTGACCTACTTCAAATTTACTTTTGTCAGATTAAATTAACACCCATAGAAACTCATTTACATATTGGGCTCATCAGTTTTGCAAAGACCAATATCACAAGAACGATTAACAAACAATATGTTAAAGTGATTCAATAAGTGTTCGGATGAGACTTAAATGCTAAATGACAAACCCAAAGAAAAAGACGGGAAAAATGATTCCAGATCAGCACCCTAACACATAAATGTGAAGGACATTCAATAGCTGAAAATAAAAATCAAATCAGTCTCCAATAATAAGTTCCAGTCGGACCTGTGCTGGTGTCTACGGCAGCTTTCTGCATACTGGGCCTTCCTGGTCCTCCCTGTGTACCCATTATGTCCTTCTCTTCAGGCTCTTCCTGATACAGAGAGAGTAGAAGAGGGATTTAAAGTCAACCTGAATTTAAAATGGACCTTTTTTACCTTGTTGCTTCAAAATAGCACAATTCATGACATCATTTGAAAGACAGAACTATTAGTTTTCTGGAAACCTACATCCAAATGTAATGACTGTTACCCGCCTTGAAAACTTGGTTGGTGGAGTTGCGCTTTTCCAAGGAGGCAGGGCTATCAAAGGGGAACTCCTCCGATTTTTCTAAATTTGTGTATAATTTTGTGGTTGAGACGTAAACAGACTCTTTCAGAGTGATTTGGTGTGAAATCCTCTGTTCTAGAGAAACTTACCGAGTCAGAATTGTTCACAGTGGTGATGATAGGAACCAGATGTCCACCTCTAAAAGCTCCCTCCCAGAAAGGAATTACATGAAATGGTTATGAATTCACTGCCTGACGCTGACGGAAGTTTTGTGATAGTTTTGTGGCCTAAAACAAATTTTAATCAATTTATTTCAATCTACTTATGGGAGAGGGATACATGAAGGGTGTTCTAAGGCAAAACAGTCCCCATAGAAAACTTTTTCAGATTCACAACCATTTTACTGACTTTGTTTCCACCTGTTTGACGAGTTGAGAGATTTCAGCAGGATGGATGGTCTTGGGCAGATACCTTTACTGCGCGAGCTGAAGCTTGGAGGTATGAAATCTTCTCCTTGCTCCATTTGAAAAGGCTCGGCCCTGCGGCCTTCACTCCTCCGATGAAGTGACAGCTGCAGATTCTTGAGTTCTCGTTGGAACAGTCCGGGGGTCGTCTGGACCATGAAAGCAATGGAAACCGAGACAGATGTTAACAGCATGATACCCGTCATATACATGGTTCTTCATAATGTCCAGTCCAAGTGCTGAACAGTGAGATTTATCCACCTGTGAAGCTAAACGTTAGCTGAGTATTGATCCTGATTCTACTAAATTACAGACTGTCTCACTGTATGAAGAACAACACAGACCTGGTTTATAACTGACTGACCGACTCACTCACTCACT